GATCAGAATTTCTATGCATAATTAAATGAAAACTTTAAAATTATCGATAAGTGGTGATTAGTGTACTTTAGAAATGGTGAACTAGATTTCCCCGCACTTATCGGATGTCTAATAAGTATTCTTGACTTCATCAGCAATAGTTTTTACTGGGTGCAAGGCGGAAAAAAACGCCCGTTTTAACATTATCGTTTGAATGTATTATCTTATCATTGATTAACGTATTCTACCGTAAGATAGATATTCCGACAAAAAAAGAAATCAGAGTGACCCTAGCGCCATCTATCAGACATTATCAGAAGACAAAAATGAATTTAGAAATCTACGTTAAAAAGAGATACAGTGTTTAGCTCTGCTACTGCCTCATAGATGGCGCTTAGATGTTCAAACCGCCTTATTGGCGGCTCTTTAATGCCTATTTTTTAATTTTGCATCTTCATGTAGAATACGTAAAAATTGATAATTTCGGACTTAATAATGAAAAAACTATGTATGAAATGGGTGAGACTGCGATTGATTTCCGTTGTTTGTACTCAAATTAAGTAAATGTAATCATGATAAGTTCAAAAATACTATACAATTATTCAAAAAAAAAGTTTTCGTTTTCCCAGCGCGAAAAATTGGTAGTATACGTACATTGCCCGTACTAATTATTACAAAAAGTGACCCATATTGTCAATTTTCAAAATAGTATTTAACATAAGTATGAGAGCGTTGAATTCTTCACAAATAGTTAAAAACCCCTAGTCAAACCAATATAGGACAAATAGTATTAATACTGCAAAATCTCAAACATGATAAAAGCAGGAACTAGAAACTAAATGCAGACCTCTACCAGATAACTAAACTGTTTTTTTTTTTTAGAATAAGTGTCATTCTGTTTCTTCATAGGATTTTGGAACTATTTATGAATATATTTATTTAACTTGAGTACAAACTCCGAACATGAATTGCAGTCTCACCCATATGTCACATAGTTCTTTTATTATTTAAACCGAAATGTCCGATTTCGGGTTATTGTTAAAAGATTACAAAAATGAAAAATCGCGAAATCTATTGATTTTGGTCTATACATATTTGGAAATCTTGGTATTTTACTCCCCATATCACGTCCTGGAATTAATACGACGTATTGCCAGTAACCCTGTGGACTTGAATATTTTTTTCAAAAAAAATGGCGTCAAGTAGGTTGACTACTCTGCACTTCATGTTTGTCCCAAGTTAGTCGCATTGAGCTAACCACAAACATATAACAAATCAAGTGGGTCAAGTTAGCTAAACATGGCCGTATACAATTAGTCCATACTCCACATTTCTCACCCATTTGATAACGCTAACGCTTTCTTCACTGCTCAGTAACGACCATCTGGCAAACATGTCATAAGCGTCAGGCACAATAACAACTCGAAATCCAGAGCTCGGCGATCGTTAGACGCAGACAAAGTTCAGCGTCGCGTCGTTCAGACCTTTGATGTGTGAAATACATATTGATAGTACGCAGGGAGTGTATAAATATACTGCTGCAAAAAAATATATATATCCCTCCCAGCCCCTGAATTTCAGCCCCTACATTTTTTCCTGAAAATGATCAGGAGCCTCTGAAACACCAGCAAACGAAGTTTGAGCGATTTTTGTTCGTATTTTTGCCACTACTTCCGCCGCCACTGGACCGATTCTGAAAAACTATGATGCTTTTTCATCCTTGGCATAATAGTAACGTTGTGGGAAAATTTTATACAAACAAGTGGCGCAGGAAGTAAAAACAGTAATTTGATTGAAAAAAAATACGCTTCAATATGCGATTTTGATTTTTTCTTACTATGACTTCTAATAGCACAAGAAATATATACCGTGCCAAAGAAATTTGAGTGGCTGTCAACTTGCATTTAATTAAGCCCCACCGTAGCAAGTATTTCAACATAAAATGGTAGTAGGCACTTTCCAAAAACATCGATGTTTATTCTGATACAGTAAATCGTGAAGAACATGGACACAATTTGAGGTAGATTCGCAATCTACAGATCGCAGATGAAGTTTTTTTAATTTTTTCCTATAGAAAACTTCAAAATATTCTAGAAGAGGACTATGTAAGCAAAACATCTATCTTAGACGCTCTTTGAGGATGAGACCTCGTACGCAGAGGTAATCTGGGATGCTGAATTGTCTGAACCTCAAGTGCCGTTGCGCCCAATTAGAGGTAGAAAATGAATCTCTCGGCATCCTACTTAACTCCTAGCGTCAAACTGATGTCGAATTCAAAATCCACCGACTAGGTTTACCTAGAAAACAAATTTTCGTCTAGATCGCAGACGCCCAGCGCTTTCTCATTTTTTTTTCTCAAAGGAATATCAAAATATTCTAGGACTATGTAGGCAAAATATCTGTTATCGTCGCTCATTGTTGTTAGCGGATAACACTTTGTAAACATATTTGATTTTTTTGGGTGCTGAATACGAACATTAAAACCAAAAAGTGTGAAGATGCTGAATTTGAGATAGCAAACGGGTGCCCTACGTACTTCCCAGTGGCAAATTGATGGAATCTATCCCTTATTGAAACCTCTTTTACTCCGTGTCGATCGTCGCTTCTATGCGCTTGTCGGTGCCTGCCCAGGCGTTTATGACCCGCTTATCAATAGGAGCGCGGGAATTTGGACGTCACGCGCTGGTTTATTTTGAGATGAATACACTCTTGGCATCTAGTTTACCCAGAAAACAATTTGCCCCAGATCACAGATACATATACAATTTATTGAAATGTTTCTCATGAGAAACTTGAATAGGTTATACAACTTTATAAAATATATCAATTTTGGTTGCACATACGTAATTTGAATGTGACGACGCAATTTTCCATCGTGATCACAAAATTTTTAATTTTCTCATAGGAAACATTAAAATTATTCTAGAACACCTTGGGTTAACCAAATACATTTTTGAATAAGCATATAGTGAAGCCAATAATTATAAAGATAAAAAAGTTACTATTCCAATGTAGATAAGTAGGTCTACGTCATGAAAAATTGGAAATCTAGACTTTATGCGAGATATCTTCGAACAAAAATACCAAAGGCAATTTCGGCAATTTTCTCATCTAGATGCACGAGACAATACGTTTGTATACAACTGATTTTAGTACTCTTTTAACCACCTGTTAAGTACTTCCTCCACAGAGCCGCGATAAAGTCATGTGAAAAGCAATCCAACTTTGAAATGCATCTGTATCAGCGTAAAATCCATAGTAGGTAATGATAATCGATCTACCTACTTATCAGTAGATCTTATTTAATGCACCTGTAGATTTCAAGGTCTGTTCAGATCTGCAAAATCATTTAAAAGTGACACATTTCGAGCAAAATATGCAGAACATTGACAAGCTTCAATACAGCTACATAGAAAAAACTTCAACAAGATGATGAAGAAAATTATTATAATATCTATAGTGCTATCAGTGGTTGTAGCCTGCGATTTAAGGAGAAAATGGGAGAGTTCAACATTTTGTGGCGAAAATACTAACTTGGAATTAATTTATAACATCTGAAACTAATCCTGTGGTTTTCATGCTGATAAAAGAATAATAATAATGTGTATGAGAGAGAACCGCGAGAAGCGTGCAATACAGGTGTTAAAAAGAGATAGCTAGCAAACCGAGTAACGAGGTCACGAACGCCATCAGCATGCTCTTTCAAACATACATATGGACGCTTCTCGCGTTTCGCTCTCGTACATATTACGTCAGCCAAATTTGAACCTCACCGTATGTGGTTTCATCTGGCCAGAAAAACATAGAGACTTATTGGAATACAAAATGTAACTTTTTTAAAACGGACCAGCTGTATTTTCGAGAATACCTCTAGAAAAGAAATAAAATGGAACATAGTTCTGTTTTATAATAATTTCTCAATCAGAATTTTAAGTTTCCATTCTTAAACAGGAAAAAATTATTAGAAACCGTATCTAAATGAGCAAGCATTTTTAGATTTTTATCTACGACCGGTCGGTAAAAGGTACTTTATGAATAGTGTTTCAGGTGTTAGGTTCTACTTTTCGATGTTCTTATTTGTATACATTAACTCAATTGTACACAATATGGCGGACAATCGGACATGGAAATTGTCCTTATTCATTCATTGCCAGGCGTTAACGAACCACCGGTAATAAAACAGAGTAAGATCAATCCATTTTTTTAATTCCCATTCTACTCTAAAGCTACTCTAAATTTTTTATTTTAACCGCTCGTAAATAAGATTTTATGTGTATATTGGACGTAATAAAAGCTTTTACAAAAAGTAACTATTATATCCTGAGGCATTACGCATAATGACTTGTATTTTTCATGTCTTAAAGGCACACTCTACGCCCTAAGTCACCATGACTTGTATTGCAGATTCAGTATCACAAGCAATACAAAGACCAAGATAAAGATTACTTCCGATTCCAAGTATTCAAGCTGAATCTGAAAATGATCGAAAAGCACAACAAATACAGAGAGGGAAAACAGACCAGAATCAATCAGTTCAGCGATTTGGGACCAAACGAACTTCCTAATGTAGTGAATGGAGGGTTGTAACCACTAAATTGAAACATGTTTTCTTAAAATGTCAACGTCTAAAACTTTTCAAATATTTGAAATATTAGGCACTTATAGATCATTGTTATAGAAATCACTTTTCATTTATGCTGTCTATATTCAGGACTAACAATATGGGAGAAATCCAAACCTCGAAAGCAGAGCTATTTGAAGAGTATGTGATAAACTTCATGATATTCGTTTGTACGTAACACATCTTAATAAATATATAAATACATGAATAGATAAATGGTTCCCACTGATTCGCAATCTGATCTGCCTGATATTTGATACCTTAGGAACAAACGGACGAGTGAGAATGAAGAGCAAAAGCCTAACGGATGAGTTTGTCAATCCTAGAGATCTCGGCAATATTAAGGTGGAGAGCTCAAGCGGCGCGATGTATCGGTTTCAGGTTTAGGGAAGAAAAACTATTTTGAAAAACTATGTTATATTTTCATAACCAAAAAACATATAAAACAACAACAAAACAAGTGCATACATTGTGTGATAAAATACGATGGCAGTGAATTTACTTATTTAACTCTTGCATTTTCTGCTTTAGGTACAGATCCAACTGTGAATAATCTAATAGAGCATTCTGTACAAAGTTGTGCAATATTGTTGGCCATTCCTCTTCAAACAATCGTAACTTATTTACAGCATTCACCATTTCTTCCAACAATGTCGAAATATGTTGCTTAGCCTTTTGCTTCATCAAACTTTCCTCCTGAACACTAGAACATTTCTTCCATTGCAATGCCTCTTTGCTAACTACGCTTCTCAATTCTGGATCTGCAGACAACAACCATTTCTTCGCGTTTTGTTCTGTAATACCATTATTTACGTCAAGTCGCAATCTGACTAGCAAAGGTTGGAGAAGTACGTCAGGCAAGGACCACAAAACCAAATCACTCAGACTTTGATAATCTTCATTTGCTGTTTTTATTTCTTCCTCTGTTATCTGAAAGAAAATTTATCAATTTGACACCATAAACACCTTTACAATGCAGTATAATCTTGATCTATTGATTTTCTAAGCAATCACAAAACAGGCAAGGTCCTGACCAGTGGCGTAGCAAGGGTAGGGCGACAGGGGCGGGTCGCACCGGGTGTGGGTGTCACATTTTCTGGGGTGACACCCATCCGGTGACTCAACTACAAACCATCATCGGCGATTGCTCCACAAGCACTAGCTCAGCTGTATGTTTAATTCAGGGATCCTCCCAAAAGCGCACGACGCTGTCGTGTGGGATTCCCCGTCCCATAGTCGTGATCCTTGACGTCGCAGTTGCATCATTTCTCATTTGTTTTGTGAAGTGTGTTGTGTTTGATTGGTGTGAATTGTTAAACATGTAGTGATACAAAAAGAAACAGAATTACTGTTGGAGGTTACCAAGTCTGCAAAGCCACTTAAAAGCCGCTAATCTTACAGTTTCTGATTGGGTATCTCTAGATTTTTTAAAATTCATTGTAGAATGGGATTTTACAGAATCTCTTCCAAATCTTAAGGTTGCACTAAAATTATTGTTCACGACGGTTTGCGTGTCCGTAGCTTCATTTGAAAAGAGTTTCAGTAAACTACAATTAATAAATAACTATTTGCGGCAGAGTTGAAATTTTTTTTTAAATCATGTTTTTTTTTGTTTAAAACTGTTTTTTTTTGTTTAAAACATTCAAATTTAGCTGAAAAAAACATGTTTAAAACACTGTTAATACATGTTTAAAACAGTAGAAAAAAATGAAAAAACTAGCCTATATAATCTAGCAACGTTAATGAAGTATAAGCTTACCTCTTTATCATTAATAACCTTCAACCCCCAATGAGCCAGCCTGTAAATAGCGTACATTCGCCATTCTTTTTGACATATAGGGTTACCCTCAGCTTCAATAGATAGAGAACTGAACCCTTGTACTTCAGCTAAAGCATTGAATTGCCCCAGGCAGTGGATGTTTGTCTCTTTAAAAACTAACGTATCGATATTTGGAAATCTGTGTCTTAGTTTACAGAATGTGCTAGTAATACTGTTGAAATTGACATAGTTGAATTTGGCGATTATGACGTCATTTGCCCTACTCGCATCCCATGGCTTATCGATGAATCTAACTGCACCTTGACCATATATGTTGAGGTGCCTACCGCAAATCTCTATCAAGTAATCCCCACCTAAAAAATGACGTCAAGTAGATTGACAGTATCTCAATGCTATGATAATGATAAAGTGCAAGATTCTTGACGCCTACCTATACTGTAGAGATTTAATGACATTTATATTTTTTTTTCTGATGAACTATGTCAATAAAAATTCAATTAGTAAATCAAAAGGCTACCTTGTTCCCTATCTTTAGCCACCAGTGGTGTCTGTTTTTTAACTTTTGCGGTAGCTGCCCTAGCATGACATTTCTGACTGAGAGATTTGCCATAGACTGCACTCTTAACAGTCCTTGTTAGCGATCTGTTACTTATGCTACTATTATTGCTAGAATGACTCGGACCTGACAGATTTGAGGATGTCGTAGTTGCTACTGACAGAACGCTAGAGGAGTCTGTTTTATTTTTAACTGAATGTTCAGATGACAGTAGAGAAGTTAGGGTTTCCTGTTGCAGGTTACTGGAAAATAAAATCAGTATTATTATTATTAGTCTCAAAAGTACACTACAATTTTGGTAATCAAATTTAAGGTCGTTCAATATCTGAAACTGTCAGACTCCAATTCCTTATGTAAAATTGAGATTTCCTATGTCAGAAAAAGATTTTTGCAAAACTCTTACTGCAGACGAGCTTTCAGCAACTTGCACTAGCTGTGTTTGTTGCCTACTTTGAAATTGTGACTACTTGAGAGATGACATCCACTTTGCTTGCTCATTGGAATCAAGGATCTAATTGCACTAAACCTGTACACATGTCAGTTGTTGCACAGACAAACAGCTAAATGCGATCTTTGTACTCTGTCATATTTCCTAGACACATCTTGTTCCAAAAGTATACTCAATATAGCATACTATGACGCTGAAACTGCCAAACCATACTAGCAAACTAGGGGTTGCAATAGTTTAGGTAAATATCAACAAGATGGTTGTTGTACTATTATGCCATAGGTGGAGCCGAAGGCATATGAGGTATCTGTGCAGAGTATTGCAATTTTGCAAATTGTCAGATTGCGAGTTTTTCACATAATAAGCATGCAGGTCTATGTGATAGCACTATTCATTTTTCAATCCTCACCTTTCAACCACTGAAGGCTCTTTGTCTACCTCCTCTTCTAACTCATTATCAGACTCCTTTGAGCTAGAATTATCAGATTCTTCACCACCACTACCACTTGCACTTGCTAGGGAACTGACAGAACTATCTGCATTTGGCCCGATACTAGACAAACTCCCTGACATTCTGACACTGCTTTGATCCTCAATTTTCTGCTCCATTTTATTCAAAATCGGCACCAAAATCGGCGGAAGTTTGAAAAGATCGCTCCCAGATGAGGATGTATTCTGTGAATTCTCTGTTTCTTGAGATGTTGTTCTTACCAAATGCAACTTCTTATCAGGTAGCATAGGAACCTTAGTTTTCATATTGATGTAGCTCTTGGACTTGGTCATCTTGACAGAGTGCTTTACAGCTGGTTTTGCCAAAGAAGTCAGGACAATATCTGTGTCTGGTTTGAGATTTTTGCTTTTCTCCACAGGATTGCTGGTCAAGCATTTCGTTTGCGATCTCAGCAGTTCCCAATTTGTTCTAGCATTGGATATTACTTCCTCCCTTCTGAAGGTAGATGATACATCTGTGGTGAGATCCATGAAAGCAGCATTTGTAGCTTCTTTGTTCCTTCGCCAAGCCATTGCTGCTTTGCGGACTTGTTCTGTAATCTGCATGGAGTTGAGTTTGACCAAATGGGACAAGTAGGATACCAGGAAAGAGACACAATCACCTCCCAGAGCTACAGGATTGTTGTCTATTGAAATCTCCCGAATGTTGGGTGATCTAGCTAGGCTACTTATGTCTTCTAGGCTGCAAGGAAATATTGCTTATGATTTTGAAATTTGTAGTAAAATAATAAATTACAAAGCCAGGCACGCGGGAATCAAACTTGGCGCTTTTTTCTTTCAGATGATTTTACGGAATCTCAATACAGAGGAGAGTGCTGAATATTATTTGAGGCCTAAGACAACTAAAAATTTATTGGAAATGTTTTTTTAGCATGTTTTAGTCAATATTTCTCACGATTTTGAAGTTTTCAAAAAAATTTATTATTTCAACAACTTACCTTTGTAGATCATTATTGCTCAAAAACAACTTTGACAAATTGGGAACTTGATCAAAACCTAGCAACTTCCTCAACCTATTTCTTCTCAGGTTCAATTCTAATAAGGAGTGCAAACCGTGTAAATCTCTAGAACTTATAATTCTTATTTGATTCCCTGCCAGATTCAGTACTTTCAGTTCCATCAAAGCTGAAAGCCCACCTACTTGACTGATTTGGTTACCATGTAAATCTAGAACCTCGATTTTTTTCATATGATCTAATCCTTCAATCTTTTTAATCCTAGAATGAAGTGTATCAGTAAATGTTGTTTCCACTTTGACCATATATGTAACATAATACAGCTGTGCATATGCTGGCATAACGGATTTGCACATCTCATACAGAGCATTTACAGCACCTCAATTTTACCTCAGTTAACAAGGTGATGAAATTGTCCAAATGGTTTAGGATATATATATATATATATATATATACAGGGTGACTTTGAAGTTGAGTCATTAATTTTCAGATAATGATTGTAGAAGGAAGATAAACCAAAATATGTGTGTAAAAATAAAAAAAAAATTAAAAAAAAAATGTTTACCTTGTTTTATAAAGTATCCTCCCGACAAGTATTTCAGTGCGGACCTGTATTTGATCGTGAGGTCCCCTGTGAGGTCTTAAGTCACCTGATTCACGAGCCTGTTGTACTACATTAACAAAGGCACGAGGGGTTGGTTGCACTCGATTGGGAAACCGATCCGCATAAACATGTGCCATTTTTTATTTCGTTTGAGCCACGCAACAGATACCACTATTCACTGACACTGACTGTATACAAATGAATGAAATAATTGTAAAAAGCATCGTTCCAAATTCTTTCGCTTTTTTGTTTCCGATGCGATGAACCGATACGGCGGATTATATCCGTTGTCGCCAAACACGACCACATAATATTATTATTGAGACAGGGCGGTACTCAAACTTCCAAAGGGCTATAACTTTGTTACTTTAATTTTACCAGGAAAATGGTAAAGGAAAAAAACATTTCTTTTGATCACTGTTAAAATAAATGACTCAACTTCGAAGTCATATATAAACCTAATTTTCAGGGAGTTGCACTGCTGTATTTCATTAGTTAGGCTGTGTGTTTAAGTTTCTATGATAGTTTTATGATTCTTTTACCTATTTTTCCCCATCAACAAAACCCTCAAATTCTCTAACTTATCTAAACTTTGCATTTGCTCTAATTGGTTGTCATATATGTCTAAGAAAACTAGTGCTGGAAATGACTGCTTGCTGAGCATCTCCAAACTATTTATCAAATTATGTTGCAATGACAATAATCGAAGTCTCGGTTCTCCATCTATTATGGGTACCATCGTCAGTCCTTTTCTATCTAAGCTCATTCTGTCTGGGTGGGTTTCCTTCTCCTCTTGTAGACGTGATACATGTAGAGACCCATCTGGGTGTGTACGTAAAACAGATGGCTCGCAATGCAAGGAGCCATCCTGGATTTTTGACAAGGTGGAAGCATTTAATGTACTGTGTGACCTTACACAAAGTCCGCGTTTATCTTGTACAGGTAAAGCTGGAGCTATTTTAAGTAGCGATTTTTCTACGGGTTGTAATTCATTTTGTTCTAGATTTTTTGGGGGAATTATTGGCTTGCTGGATTTTTTTCTCTCCTACAAAAGTACATTACTCAGTACTGAAGCATAATTGTGAGGGATATAAATACTTACAATAGTAGCAGCACAGCTACTAATTGGCATTTATAGTCCATATATCGTAAAATGATCTCACACAGCTCGCATTTTTTCAAAATACGAACATTTCGGAAACTTGACGTTCGTGACACACTTTTTGTTTGTTGTGGTTATGTAAGCATAACCTAAATTTTTTCTACGTCAACTGTGTGTCAACCTAAAAATTCTCAAATACACACCACTTTCAAAACTCAAAAAGTGGTGGAAAATAAGTACAACGCCATGAGTGCCCCTTGTGTATTTGGTTTATTCAATATAAAGGCAACAATAAAATACTATTCTCTGCTAAACATTCCTTGCAGAACCTACGCGAAAAAAGACACATCAAGTGAGATTGCAACTTCCTCCTATTGTTCGAAAAATTCACATTTTTGTAATTTCTAGGCGTAAGTATGATCGGAGGCGCATTCAAAAAGAAAAAAATGGGCGGCAAATTGGGTGCAGTGATGGAGAAGAAAATTCTACCAGTAGAATCAGATCCTGAAAGGCTAGTGAACTATGTTTGTGGTTCAAACATATTTAAAACTGGAGAAGATGTGCAATTGAAGCCACCCAGTGAATATCCAGAGTGGTTATGGGGTATACGTTTAGGTTCTCCACCTCCTCTAGAAGAACTGGATCCAAACTCAAAGGAATATTGGAGGCGGATAAGAAAAATGGCAATGAGGAGGAATAACCAATTAGCAAAATTAAAAAAGTTTTGAATATTTTGTTTGTATCTGTACATAGGCTGTAAGTGAATAAAGTGTTTCCAAACTTGATTTTCATATGACATCTAGTCTCTTGGCATAAAAACTGATTTCTACATTTGCTGACCTCAGTTTTGATATTACTCGTAAATAAAAAAAAATAAGAGAACACCTAACAAAATAACTCTTTATTTGTTGTATTAATATTCTATAGGGTGTTTCAGAAAGATATGCCAATATTTCTAGGGTGGAAAGTATATAAAAAAAATTCCTATAAATATGGGTCCAAAGATGCTCTTCTACTGAGATATAGGGTTATGAAGTTTCATTTTTGTAATAAAAAAAATGTCTACAGAGCGGGTAAATATACCAAGTTATGTTCTTATAAATTTAGAAATAACAAGTTGTATCAAATGTGTTGTGATTAATTCTAATTAGCTTTATTTTTTTAATTTTGACATAAACGGTCTTTTTTGCTTTGAAGTTTCATCTATAAACAAAAAGAATATACTGACAAAAAAAGTGGCGTGCACAGGAAAGGTTAAATGAATGGTAACCTTTTCATAAGAATATTTTGGGATTGTACCCCAAATATTCAAACATAAATATCTCCAAAATGAGTGATCTGACAAGAATTCTTAAAGACAAAATTAATGGAAAATTGAATGGAATTTTATAAAATGCGTTTTTCTGTGAAAAGGTCAGTGGCATAGAAAATATCTCCTAGTTTTTACGTCTCTGATTTAGTTTATGGGTTTATTACTTATGATGTGCTCACTGAACATAAAATATCTTGACTCAGTATCTTTATCTGCTCCATACATATATTTTTTCCATTTCATAAATAAAACTTATCTCCCTGTATCTTTGTAGGGATATATATTTATAGAAACTTTTTTGTTATTTCTGGATGTACTTCCTACCCCAGAAATATTGGCATGTCTTCTGAATCACACTGTATATACAAACTGCTAAATACATAAGACTATTTTACCAGCTTTTTATATCATTTTCTATATTTTCTATCACTAATTTCTCTGCACTATACATCTGCCCAATTGCTGCCTGTAAAAAATAATTAATCATTGTACATATTGTGAAATATACAGGGTGAAAAGCTAGAACAGACACAAGAGTGTTCCATATGCAATTATAAATACAACTATTACATGGCACAATGCCTACCTGTCTTTTCATGATATCCAAATTTTTAAATGCATCTTGTACTTCATTCTTCAATAATGTTGCATCCGTAATACTACTATTGGCTTTAAAGCTATCCCTAACTTTTCTGAGGGCATAATTTCTGAAATCAAATGAAATATGAATGTTGATAATCAACAGCTAAGACTACTTACCTGAAATTGTAATCAGGAATTTTTTGAGATTCCCTCATTAGCGATTTGTATAATTTCAAAATATCGATTTTCTTGCTCATTTTTGTGCACAGAATTTTTGTACTTTTTGAGCATGCAAAATGTGGGGTTATGTAAATGTCAGTTTGACAAGGCTGGAGGTCCCACAACAGAGATGGGATAATCTTGATGTGAAACGCCTTATCTCTAAAATAAATTTAAATTATAAAGTTTTGGTCGTAACCTGGCCAAGCAATACAACTGTTGAAATATATTCTACTAGACTCTAGAAGACTATCCGTAGCCAAATTTTTGCCAAAATCGTTGCACAACACTTAAAAAAATGCTAATGAAATTTGGAAAATTGCCGCTTTGACTTTCGAAATGACACCGTCGCTACCCCGGGATAGACATCCGTCTTGACAAATAACCTAATCATTCTTGCTTCCTGGATTGCGGCATTGCCGGCTCGTCGGACGATTTTGCTACCTCTGCTGTTTTGATAGAATGCCATAAAAAAAGAAGTTTTGATTAAAATATTGAGGAATACCAATGGAGATACATAAAATTTGAGGCGTAGCGAGGTTTGGCAAGAAACTAAGCAAAAGCTGTTGTTTACATTTTGCGTCGCCTGGCGTCTATGCGGCGGAATGTTAATGTCTCTGAACATTTTTTAAATGCCTAGTTTTATAGGATAAAATACTTTTTGAATACGGGACTTCTTCCAACAAATAGAAAAAACAAGGTTTTATTATATAAATCTATTTATTAACTATTTGATCTATAATTACATAATCATTAATAGGAGAAGCACAATTTTCATTTTACTCTACTATTTATTAATATCCGTCTTATTCGCAGAGATTTTAGGCATTCATTTTGAGGAAGCTAAAAATGGACAGCTTGATAACTTGAATCCAACTTATAAGTCGTCGATTATGTGGAATTACAGGCAGACGCATTTTGGAAGCATCACATCCCTCCTCTTGTTCTACATTTGGTGCCCACGTATCCTACAACAACCAAAGTAAGACACTGTAGTCCCTAAGCACGGGGCTGACATTTCTTGAAATAAAGTCAGGCAAAAATAAAAACGATGGCCAAATTTTAGTTTTTCCCAAATACCTCAGTATATGACTAATCTCTAAGTGTATGCATGTGCGCAATTTATTTAAAAAACATAGGATGTGAACCCTTACACACAAGTAGATAAGTATATGCAAGGCTCCCCTAGTTTTCAGCACATGTATCCTGTTCCCCTCAGAAGAGTTGAAAGTAGACCTAATTTCCACTTTGGATACACTTCACACCCGTGTCACAACACTAAAACACCAAATCACCCTGAGAGACAATCGAGAACCCCATAGTGAACACCACTACTAAAAATACTAGCTTAACCGAATAGAGCTCTGCACGAAGCTGTGAACGCGTGGACATCTGCTGAGCCGACGGATGCCGGTGTAGACTGAAGCGTGTGAGTGATGAGTGCTGTACCTCGCTGCGGCGATACAGTACGGCCGGGTAGTACAGCCACGCCCCTTTCCAGCTCCCACTCCGCAACGAGGTACAGCACTCACCCGCTTCAGTCTCTCGGCAACCGTCGGCGCAGCGGAATGTTTACGCGTTCACAGCTCCATGCAGAGCTCTATTCGGTTTAGCTACTTTTTTTTAGTAGTGTTCACAATTGGGTTCTCGATTGCATCTCAGTGGTGCTTTAGTCCTGTGACGGGGGTGTCAAGTGTCTCCAAAGTGGAAATTAGGTCTACTTTCTATTCTTCTGAGGGAAACAAGATATCTGTGCAGCAAACTAGGTGAGCCTTGCATGCTCATTTACTTGTCAGTTAAGGTTGACATCCTATGTTTTTTTTAAATAAATGAGAATTTTAATAACGTTGTATAGTAGATGACAACAATATTGTATTCGTTTATATTTTTTGCCGATATTCATAACACGGATATAAAACTGAGAACCGAAGAAATGTGGACAGAGACGGATCTGAAAATTTTCAAACATTTTCTCTTGCAAGTCTGAATGAGATGACTGAATCAAGTTGTTGAAGTAACGTGGATTGCTACTATAATTAATTATATAGACATTAGTTAAAAATTCATACTATTAACCAATATATACATATGTATTTGATGGTAGCGATGTCAAAGATGTAAAGTTACTCATCTAATTTGTTATGTTGAGGAGCCTTCTTTCAGAAACACCCACTTCAAGATCGTTCACCTAAATACATATTTCATTTCACTTCCACACTTTACTTCTTTATTTAAAAAATATGCTACAAAACTTAATCCTTTTCTTCCGAAGAATATGTTCACGAGTACCCACCCCTCTGCTTCATCGCGCTGGATTCACCTGCGTGCAGTCACATTATGCAAACTTGTTGCTATCACAGTATCGACCTATTAGAGTGTTTTAGGTTATTGCACATTGCACAAATGTATAATTTATACAGATGAAATAGGTTAAATTATTATTTACACCGTGTAATATAATAACCGTACTATATATGGCGGGTAGGAACACAAGGAAGCAGAAAAATGTGAATCAATGTCACTTGGTTGATTTTTTGGTAGTTAGGCAGTCGAAAAATATTTTTATTTGACGTTACTAGTGTAGTAGCTCATAGGACTCCGAACTGTGAACACCTTCTGAAGATGCCAACCACTCGTGCTGGCGAAACGTCAAATAAAAATATTTTACGACCGTCTAACTACCCAAAAATCAACCAAATAACATTGGAAAGCCTTTCGCAATATCGTTGTCGTCTACCATACTTGTATACTCATGCTGTTTCTTCTTGTTCCAGGGACTAGACCAGTTTGCTGAAACGTAAGTGCATTTAGGGTTTTCTTATTGGTGTAGGATTCACAGCCGAACACGAGCGAGCCTCTTCATTCTGCCCTAGCCCAGACATGGTGCCCCATTTATATAGTTAGGGATCACTAGGAAAAAGTGTCGGTTCAGTAGAAAAGATCGCAAAAATAAGGAAACGGTTGCAAACTTTGAAAGTAGCTAGGAAAATTTTAGTGAATTTTATTTGGGCACCCTGCGATGTGGGGGGCACATCGAGCAATATGGACAACTCTTCATCATGTCCTGGCTCAGATCTTATAGGATTAGGTTTAGTTACTCTAAACTTGTACTTTCCAAAAACTCTTATTTCTACTGTCATACAATTTTTCCATCTAGAAATCATTCGTAAATCAAAATTGCGCGTTTGTGATTCGTAGAAATTAAGCCAAGGGAAATAGTCGTCGTCCTGAAAACCACGGGATAAGTAAATCGTGCGATTTTAGGTCCAACCAAAATTTCAAATTTTTCTTCAACAACCAATCTCTAAATTAATTTTAGGATCAATTTAAAATTGCCGAATACTTCTTTTTTCTTTGCTCTCCCTCCTTCCTTCCTTTCTTTTTCCCGTCTTTCTCCCCGACTTTGTTCCATATCTGGGCAACCCGACCTGACAGACTTACTGACTTACAAGACTTTAACCAAGAGCAAAGGTCCTACGGACCGCTCAGACAGACAATGACGGATAGACCACAGGGTATGTTTCAGATGCTACATTAACACAAAGACTGGTGTCACGACTTTACTTGTGTTTGAATGTCTTTAGTAGCTATGTTGAAAAATGAAAAAAGGTTCAGATTTTAGCTTGTTATACAATTTGCATTCATAAATAAAATTTCTCTGACTAGATTATAAACGGTTCTTACTTAAAAAATGACCCTCGTATAACTGTGGCATGCTGGCGATTTTCGTTTGTTCAAATGAAGCCAGAATTGTGGAACGACTTAATTTTTCTTCACCTGATAAAATTAATCTTACCAGTCACGGTTGAGGTTTTCTAGGGGATCCCTCAATACTTTATCCAAAGCTTTTTGCTCTTTGAACGAACCCCGTATATTGCTCAATAACCAGTAGTGAGACCCGGAAAACAGATGTTTTGGGATAAACAATCAGAAATTCTTAGAAAACTACAAGTAGTCAAGACCAATGAACTCCAATTTTGTTGTTGTTATTCAGAAGTACGGATCCTACTAATTTGAATAATTTCAATTATCTGCGAGAAACCATCGTCGCATTACTAACAAGTGCCAAAACTTGCAGTTTGCCTCGGTTTTCGGCCATAACATATTTGCTATTAGTCGGATCTTGTCACGTGTGATCTCATTTTGTAGATCTCATTTATACCTAAAAATTTTATGTAAAGAGTGTTTTCATTCCCGCCAACACTTTCGATTGAATCCCAAAAAACGCGTTTAATCATTCTTTTTTGTCAAATAAAAAGTTTTCCCACAAAAATTGGTATTGGTGTACCCAATTAATGCGTCCTTGTTTTGAATACCGCCTTGAACAACTTGCAGCAATAAAACCAGACTTTGCAATTAGTTAGCAAACCAGGGGTATTTTCGTCTAATATAATTTAGACTATTACTCGGGTCGCTAATTGTGTTTACTTTTGATCATATTAGTTTAAGCTGCCATTTTTTTAAAGGAATGTCACTTAACACGTACCTGAGTAGGGATGTTCGATACGATCCGATATTTAGAAGTATCGATACTTTTGTCTCCGATACCCGATATTTTGGATCGATATTGTTATATACGATACTTGGGTGTATCGATACATTTCGCGGGTATCGTTATCTTTTGATCCGAACTGTATCAGAAAGAGTGACTAACTTCAATTTACTTTCCTTCTTTAGGCAATTTTTTTATCAGAGGTTCTGGTTGACCTTGAGTAACAGAAATCACACAAATGGTAGAGATCAATGCATATAGAGTTACCAGAGCGTGACGACGGATTTTCATACATAGTGGAAATTGGCCATTACGATTTGCCAGAATGAGCAATCCAAAAGAAAAACTGCTCTCAAATAAAAACTGAAAGACAAAAAAATCCCTTTTCACCATTTGTGTCAAAATTATCTATTTTCCATGGTCTGGCAAATCAGTTTCTTCTTCGAATTTCGATGAGTTCCTGTTTCCTGTTAGTGTCATATGTCTGTTACATATTTCAAACAAAGTGTCAGATCAGTTAAGAAAAGCGCAACAGCATCAAAACGCCTTTAGACTAATTCAATCAGTGCCAACCAGATGGAATTCAAAATATTTTATGTTAGAGCGATTTGTTAAACTCCATGAATATGTGGCTGCTATTTTAATAAGAAATCCCAAGTGTCCAGAAATGTTACGTGCTTTATAATTGGAAACAGAAAAAGAGGTTTTAAGTATTTTAGCCCCAGTAGAGGTAGTTTCTAGAGAGATGTGTGAGGAGAAATATTTAACCTGCAGTAAAGTTATACCCATTGTAAATTGCCTCTTGAAAAAAATTTAAAATTTTACTCCATCAACAACAGAGGCTTTAGCTCTTAAAACACTAATACTCGAGAAACTTTTAAAACGTTTTGAGAGCATCGAGCAGATGATACTTTTAGCTGTCCCAAACATCCTAGACCCTCGTTTTAAACGATTGCACCTCAACAGTCCAATTTCTTGTGCAGTCACCTTCCTGAATCAATCATTTCAGTTGCGACAGAAAAGGCAGGGCAAAACCAAATTATTATTCTTGAAAAATCTGACAGTGTTTGGGTCTACCATGAAAAATTAGCCCAAAATCATACAGATAAATATGATAATACCAGATATTGACCTTGAGCTAAAACTGTATTTCAATAGTCCTACTATGCCCCTAAACTCGTATCCCTTTTTGTACTGGAATAGCTCAAGTTCTTCTTCAGAGGTATTTAAAGAGCTGGCTGATAAATATCTCTCTGTTGTTGGCACATCAGTTCCCTCAGAGACACTGTTTTCTGAATCCGGAAATATTCTTACATTCGCTGAGTGCTGAGGAATGGTATTTTTAAGATTTCGAACTTCGAGTTATTGGTAGTATTGTTTTTAATACTCTATGTTTATATATTTTATGTTAATAATAAATAAATAATCGTTTTGTAATGAATTTCTTAGTATTTGTTTTTTTACCTTTTTTTTGTGGACTTATTTGAGAATCGTCATGCAGTTGAAAAAAGTGACGCTATTTAGAGGGTTGTAAAAAAGCAACTTCGATTTTCGGCAGTGTATAGTGTATGCGCCGTATCGAAAGGTTTCGATACTCATGATATCGATATTTTTATTCCGATATTTTAATGGATCGATACTCCAATAAACGATACGAATCGATACTTGGTATTAATATTTTACGTGGATCGGAAGATCCCTATACCTGACTTTAGAAAATAAGGTTATGCTTGTCTGTCATGTCGTCATGTGCGTTTTGTTTATAAATTTGGTGAACATGTTTATTGATTATCCCGAATAAAGAATAGTTCTGATCATCTGGTCATATTCTACTCCACATCATCAATATACATTCAGCTTTATAGGCATATACTGTCTATTCAAATTTGTAGGTTCCTGAAACGGGAATTTTTAAAAAGATGGAAACAAAAGGAATACTAACATTGCAATTTGGGCATTATTCAAATTGCATAGGAACTCACTGGTGGAATATACAGGAAGCTGGATTTGAATACAATTCCTCTGATCCGTCAGAAATAAACCATGATGTCCTATATCGAGAGGGACTCACTGAGAAGGTAAATTGATAATCTTGGTCTACCCTATATGCAAGAGACAGCAGCATGATGGTGCCACATTTTGTTCATCCTAGGCAAATTCGACAGGCTTCTGCTTTTCATTCTAAGTTGGTTTGGTTGAACAGAAGGGGGTCAGTATGACTTGTTCTTCACTTGAGTTACAAAAATGTACCAATATTTTTATAGTTTCTTTAATTTTAGAAAGTTGAAACTTATATCAGCAAGATCTCCTGAGTTCCCTCATCGAAGTATAGTTTTTTCAGTATATAAACAGTGTTACTGTCGAATGAATATGATAGCAATTATTGAGATAAAGCAAAATAAAAAATACAAACTTTAACATACACTGCTGTTTTTCTCTCAGAATCAAGTAACCTACACCCCCAGATTGCTCTTGGTTGACCTCAAAGGTAGTCTGAGGACCTTATCAGAGCGTGGTGACCTGTACGAGCCATTACCTGACCCTTGCAAAGAAAAATCAAGAGTAGAATGGCAACCAGGCCATGTAGAAGTACAATCAACATCACAATATGAGAAAAATCAATTCCACAAAGACTTGGAGGACCCTGAGAAAGCTGAACAAGTTGCCAAGATGACCTATGACTTTGATAAAGGGGTATGAACGAGATAGGTATTATTGTTTTACTTAACCAAGACCTGATTTTTTAAGTCAATGTTAACAAACCATAAAAGAGTATTAATTCCCAGGTTAATTAAAAAACATTCTACCCAAAGGTATCTAACCTAATACTAATAATTTAGTCAAGATGAAATTAGATAATGTAGCATCGTCTATAGTTGTAGTCACTGTTCTTGGCAGGTCAAAGTAAGACTACCAGTATCCCTTCGTATATCTCCATCTCTCCCATACATACACATGCAACCTACCCCTGGTGTGAACGTTTTTTTGGTAAGCTCAATGACATACGTTTTTTGGTTGCGTGTCTCCCTCTCTAAAACTTTGTCATTACATGTGAGTGCCCTTCAATCATATTTGTCAGAGTGACAACGTACTTGATATTGCATGCATTCTGGAAAGAGTAGTAGATGCGCTCAGGATTAGTCTGCACCCATGGTACAGCGACTCAATCTGTTTACTTATTTCATATGGCGTTGATGACATAACCACCAAGAATGGTGACTACAACTATATCAGAATTCGTCTTAACTATAAGATGTTTCTCCCCTCTGCTCTAATAGAAATCTACTTTTAAAAGGTTAACCTCTCATACATAGTGCTGTAACCAACTAAGCTAAGGTAGCATGTAGCATATATTTGAAATTGTCTCACTGATGGTGCTGTAGCATATAGCATATATTTGAGACACTAACCCTTTCAAGGTACGTTTTCAATTAGTGCAGATAGGAGAACCATAGTTGTGACAAATTCCCATGGTTGACACTACTGTATGTCATTTCATCTATCATTAGGTTGGATATCTTCAGGTAAAATAAGTTAATCAATGGGTATACTTAACGTGCCCATATATTTTTGGAGTCAAAACAGGATAAAGTACATGGTGATTCACAATTTGTGAACAAAAATAAACATCATACATTTTTTTATTTCACCTTAAACATTTTTAAATTCAAACACTGTTTAATTTCATTATTCAATTCACTAAATTCAAATACTCCCTTTTGAAACAATGATTTGCTAGTTATGATAGTATTACAATTTTGTAAAGGAAAATCTATACAACCTCTAGTTACATAGTTATAATACTGACAATTTAATTTTGTGAAGTTTCCTAAATGAGGTGGTTTTAAAATAATTTTTTTTACATTCAACCACTGTAGTTCTTCAAACATATCAATCTTTGCATATTTGTTTTCATTTAAAGTGACTCTCATATATTCATTTTGTAGTATTTGTAATTTTGAAAATATGTTTTCATTTGGTGTAAACAAAATGGTTGATTTTGTTCATTTTTTCCAACATTAATTATGAGCTTAATTGTATTGTTTCCTAAATGTTTCCCTATTGACATATATTTTGTTTTATTGGCGCTTAATTTGGGTTTATTAACATTTAATCAATTCAAAATTTTTGCTTAACAAAACAAAATACATATACTATCGCTTCAATTTCAATATCTTTGTGCAGGTTCAAGTGTGGTCCGACTTTTTGTACGCACGCTTTCATCCAAGAACAGTGAATATTGTTAGAGAATACGAGCATTGCAACGAAAATACTCCATTTGATGCATTTCCTTTAGGCACCAGTTTATGGAGAACTCCAGCTTTTGAGGAGGATTTTGCTGACAAGATTCGAAACTATGTGGAAGAATGCGATCATTTTCAGGTAAAAAAAATAACCTCTTGGACTCCGACTGGACACCTCAACTATCCAACCAAGCAGCCCACAACAAAGTAATTGAAACAATCAAAAAAATAAAGGGAAAAAAAGAGGATCCCCATGGGCGCCCATTAGGGGGGTAAGGGGAGTATATGACTACTGGCTTCGTTTATACCTGTTTCTTAAGGCGGCTCCGACGCAGTGAGTTTCATGCCATTTTTCAATGAAATTCATGCAGTATGTTGAGAAGATAATTGCCCAGGGTGCTATAGGAGCACTTTTTGAAATTTTGTTTTTGCACAAGTTTTATGATGGGTTGAAGTGCGCACTTTTTCTGTTCAACTTCGCGATTTTGTTTAAAAAGAACCTAGGGAAAAAATGAAATAGTGGCTCTATAGCACCCTGTGGGATTTTGTTTTCAGCACACTGTGGAAATTTCATCCAAAAATATCAAAAAATAAAGCGTCAATTTCGAAGCGCGCAGAACTCTAAAAATTGTATTTTGGACGAATTTTGTCTACTGTTTCGTGCTGCCAACACAAGCGTTGCGGCGCAATGTACGGACTAAGAAAGGACGTATTCAGATAATTTGGTGGCCCTATTTCATATAATATCGCGTAGATAACTCGTTCTGCAAATAGGTACTCATAATCGCGATCGCTGATACTCCTCGATTTTAAAGACGTTTTACTTCCCACGCCATTGGCGAGGAAGTATTGTAATCGCGAAAAATTTCTAAAATGAGATGTTATGTTTATTTAAGTTATATGACATCTACATCACGAATAATTGTATCATTCATCATCAACTTGGAAATTAACGCTCGGATTTTTATGAAATTTCCACACTGCCAAAGCTTTGTAGTTCTACTCCAGTGGCAACGGTGCTATAGGCAAAAAAGAAAAAGTAACAATTGCTGAAACTCCGTTTTTGACGTTTCAGGGGTTCCTAATCGTTGACATAAAAAAATTGTATTGCTTAAAAAGAGGGGGGGGGGGGGGTGAAATCAGTGAAACACATTCTATTATCGATTTTGTGTGATTACAGCAAATTTAAGTAACGAAAATCCGACGAATAATGTGCTCACGATTTGAAAAAATCGGTATCAGCTCTATAGGTTTGACACCAAGAGCCAACAGATCTGCAACTACCGACAGTAGGGAAGAATAAATTCGGATATCACTCCAGTCGAGTATAGAGGAATTTAGCGTGGAACTTTAAAATTATCGATATGTCAAGGAAATATGTTCTTGAGAATGATAATTTGGTAGATTTTATACCTGCATTTTCATTTGAATTTCATGACCCGGGAAATGTACCCATTTCGCCGTTACCTTCAATTTGTGTTCTGCAGTTTGTGATATTTCTCTGGATATAAGCAGGACGTAATTGCCTAGGGTGCTATCAGAGCTTTTTACAAAATTTTGTATTTGCGCAAGAATTATGGTGGGTTGAAATGCTTAGTATTTGTGCCCAACTTCTTGATATTTTAAAAAGATCCTAGTGGATAAAATCGAAAAAGTGGATCGCTGGCACCTTGTGGACTTTGTCTTTAGAACGCTGCAAGAGTTTCATTTGGAAATAATAAAAATTAAACGTAAGCTGTGAAGTGCAAATCGGTTTTTGGGCGAAATACATCTACTGTTTCAACCTGCCAGTCCAAGCGTCGTGACGGTGCGTTCCGACTAAGAAAAAATCTATTCAAATAATTTTATATCTTTCCCAAAATAAATTCAAGAACTCAAATTCAAATTCGTTTATTCATGTCAATAAACACAATTATATTTACAAGGGTCATGTGGTAGATGGTAACAATTGAACGAGGGTCATAAAAATATCTTATGCCGTCAAAGTAAGAGGAAACAGTTAGGTAGTTTTTGCGAAGCAATAAACAGGTAGGCTTATACCTGGATTAAGTACATGTCTTGTCTACTGTAATAGGTAGATGGTGGTGATGCTGCCAGAAATGGATGTGTGGGATCAATAAACAAACCTCAAGATTGAACTGCCGTGTCCAATGATTTTTGTATTGACTTTTTTATTGCCTTACTAGAAAACCCTGTTGGGTATATGATGGAGTTTACTAGAACTTTACAGCTTGTTGTCTGCCTTCTTATATAAACTTCACCAAATCGAGACGCTGTCAACCTTATCTTCCGTTGAAGACGCTACAAAGTACAGTCCTGTGATTTGGTGACTTGTTCGATCTACAAAATCTCGTCGTCACTTTATTTAAGTTTCCCTAAAAAAATTTTCTTTTCAAACTACAAATCAGTGTAGTTAATGTCAGGTTGTTGACTGAATTCGACATAAAACTATTGATTTTCTTTGGAATTGCTATCCGAATTGTTAGTTATTTCTATATTAACTTTTTTTGGTCTGAGTTTCTTTTCAAGATTCTTGCGTTTGAGTTGTTAGTAGTGATAAGCGAGGTTGGACTAAGCTTAGCATGCAAATGTATTTGGACCATATAGACAGACCGCTCGGTATTGTGGCTCACTACAGCTGCAGCACATTTTCCATCGTATGACCTCTTCTTGCAATAATTTATTCGCTTACCCCAATGTATTTTGCGATTATACAGTTGAACTGCTCCACATTATTGTTGTCCTCATCATGAATTAAACTCACTGCATTCGTAATTAAAATTGTCGCATATGACCTTTTATTGTCCATTATCAACCTTGATAAAAAAGGCACTCAAGAACAATCACACCAACAAGAGTACAGCACAACAATTCAACAACACAATTTCGACGAACAGTAATCAGGGTAGAACAATACTAGATGATCACTTGCCGAGTACCAAAATAGGAAACAATTTACAGGCTAGATCGCTAATCGAAATCCGACTCTGTTGTTATAAAAATTTACCTCGGTATGCACCCGCAGTCATCCTTTCCTCTTTTAAAGTAGAGCCGACAACCGTCTAAGACCTGCCCACCCTCGTTTCCTTTTCACCCCCCCGTTACCTCTGCAGATGATACTCGTGATTGTAGGAGCCCCGTTAAGCAACACGTGGCGTGTGTGTGTTTTGTTTTCAAAGCATCCAGTTGAGGCCCATAAAGAGACATCACATTTTTTCTCAACGATTGCAATCAATTAATATAGGAGGTTTATTCCAGTTTTCGGAAATACCCTTACATTATCTGTGCGATCACTTGTTACCGAGATATCAGTGGTCAACGACCGCTAAAGGCAGCAGCGGTGGCCGCAGTAGTAGACTCTTCGGTCTCCTGATCAGTCGCCGTGCGCTATGCGTGTTCGAATCCCGTCACAAGAGTTAGTCTAGGTTCCTTATATCATATCTTTATCGAGCCGCATTTAACCTACGGTATATTAGCATGTGCTCAATTCATATTCACGATTTGGATATTTTTCAAATAATGATTTCAAAAACAATGGCACGAACACATCTCTTCAATAGCTGCAGCTGCTGGGAAAAAGCTAGGCTATTTGTTTAGGGCTAAGAAGTACTTTTCTCCGCATGACCTTCTCACTCTATACAAGGCCCAGATAAGGCCTAGCCTCGAGTATTGCTCACACATTTGGGGTGCTGCCGCCCCGACTACATTGTCCATGCTCGATGCTGTCCAGAGGAGGGCGGTCCGACTGATCGATGACTCTTCTCTAACAGACAGTCTCGGAACTCTTTCACACCGGCGGGCCGTCGGCGATCTGGCTCTTTTCTATCGCTACACCAACGGACTTTGCTCCTCAGAGCTCTCTTCCATGATGCCGCCGCGCGATGTGCCTGCCAGACAGACCCGCCTGACTTCGGCGTCCCATCCTAACCGTGTCAAACTTCGTACATCCAGAACTGGCCGATACGACCGCTCCTTTGTCCCGAGGGTGTCTAGATTGTGGAACAATCTACGGGAGGAAGCTTTTCCCAGTTCTACTAACCTTGGGCAGTTCAAAAATCGTATTAACAAAATTTCTTTGGGATCATCATAGCAGCCGCGGTGTTCCGGCATTTAGGCTTCTGCCTGCGCGGCTGTTTCGATATAAAAAAAAAAAAAAAAAAAATGTTCAACAAACCAAAATTGTATCCAACTGATGTCTTATACAAAGATAAACATGTACTCGTCTATGACTTAAAACAGCTTTATCTCTTACGTGCTATAACCAACTATCACAAATTTATCAATAACGACAAAAAAATTAAAGATAATCACCACACAAGGCATAAACTAAGAGGAACAGTTGTATCTAGGCCAAATAAATCTATAACGCAACGATCATACCTTTATTTAGGTTTAAAATTATATATAAATTTACCTGACTGTAAAAGAATCTACGCTTTGGGAATGAGTTCAAGAAAAAGTTAAAAGAATGGATTTTTTCTTTGGCAAGACCAGAAGTATACAAATTAATAGTAACTGTGATCAAATAATTCGTTGATTAATTTTATCTCTACTTATAATACAGTTGCAACATCAGTGGTTCATGTACAGGCAATGCCTCCTATGGGCTGTTACTTCATATTCATTTACTCATTCTTTGTATTGTGTTTCAGGAGTAAATAAATATTATTATTTCATGTTGACCAAGTTTTTTATTTCAGGGCTTTCACATGTTATCAGATAGCTTCACCGCTTTCGGCGGTCTAGCTTCAGGCTGTTTAGAACACTTACGAGACGAATATGACAGGAAATCAATCCTAGTGTTTCCAGTAATTCCATCCCATTTTCCTACTACCAATGACTGCACAACAGCACAATCTGTGATAAACGACTCTGTTAGAACGGTGAACTTGGCCCTGAGTTTTAACCAATTCGCGACGCATTCTTCGATGTTTGTTCCCTTGTCCACATCAACACGAAGCTGGAGACAAGCTGGACCAGGCAGAAACTTTCAGTATATTGATTATGATGTGAGTAGTATTGAATAATATGCACATAACGTAAGTGAAGTTTTAATATTAAAAAGGTGTTGACAATCTTTTTACCGATATTACATCGGCGATTGGCTTCAAACTAATTTCAAGCATTTTTCATTTATACTTGCATACAAATTTTGAACGAATTCAGCAGCATAATTTCGAGTCTTTTGAAATTTAAAAAAAAATCCTGACCTGTGGCATGGGCTAAGCCATGTATCGGCTGCTGCAGTGACTTTAGCAGAAAAATTTACTTTAAATGTCGATATCTGGAAGATTGTTCATAGTGTATTTAGAGTTTTAGTGACAATTGCAATGCAAAAGTTTCAAATCGCATTTTTAATCCTGGTTCTATAAACGAAGGTTGCACTTAATTGAAAGAACTCTAGTAATTATATATTTTTAGGCAATATCTCCTTACAACACCAGCGCCATCCTAGCTACAGCGTTAGAAACGTTAACTATGAAACACAGACTACGTGCGAGCAGCAATTTCTGTCTATCCGACCTCGCTGCAGACCTCACTCTGCACGGTAGAAAAGCAGTTGCCGCTAGCTTGAGGTTACCTTTCGCTATGCGCACTGGCGAAACCCTTTTGGATAACCTCGATCAGTGGCAAGGACCTCTTACGGTTGCTATCACTCCAAATTGCGAGATCGGTAAGTTTGTTTACGCATCAATACATTTTCTATTTATCCAGTAGGGATCACCCGATATCGATATGTACAGTAATGGACAAAAGTATATAGACAAATATGAATATTTACCTAAATACCTTTAGAAAACGAATTCATACTTCATTGCTCCATAAACAATTGCATAATTAGTAGAAAAACTAAATTCCTTGTTTTTACATTATCTGCAATGAACACAATACAAGTCTGAATATAAGCACTTTTTTATGAAGGACATAAATATGTAGACAAATTCTTTTCAACATTAGTTTAGTACAGTTTCGTGTCAGAAGAGGATTAGTTTGTGTTCATCAACTATTGTGGAATAAGTTGAGTGATTTTTAGAACGTGCCGCGTGGTCCAGAAATTTCTTTCGATGTGAAAACTAAGATCATTGAGTTATACAAAGATGGTCAACGTCAAGTCGACATTGCAAAAAATTTGAAGCTGAAACGTAAAGCAGTTTGGGCAATATTGATCAAATATAAACAAAAAGGTATCTTGGAAGCCTCTAAGAGAAGTGGTTGGCTTAGAAAACTAAATGCTAGATCAGTTAAAACGATAAGTAGAAGATTAAATGATTTGAAGTTATTTGCACGTCGCCCGAGTAAGAAGCCGCTAACCTCGAGGAAAAACCGTAAGGACCGATTACAATTTGCACGGTTGCATCTTGATTGGAGCATCTGTGACTGGAAGAGGGTATGTTTCAGTGACGAATCCAAGTTCAATATGTTTGGATCAAATAGACGTCCTAGTGAACAAAGATTGAACCCCAAGTACACTTTGTCCACTGTCAAATATGGAGACGGGTCTGTTATGGTTCGGGGGTGCTTTTCGGGGTTTGGGATGGGACCTTTACATCGAATAGATGGCATTATGGATAAGTTTGTATACACAGACATACTAAAGCATGTCATATTACCCTATATGGAAGACAATATGCCCTAAGATCAATCTTCCAGCAAGATAATGACCCGAAGCACACTTCAAACCTGGCAAAGAAATTCTTTCTGGGTGAAAAAATACCAGTTCTCAAATGGCCTTCACAGTCTCCCGATATAAACCCCATTGAAAATCTATGGGAATACTTAGATAAGCAAATACGAGATAAAAATTATTCAAACAATGATGAACTTTTTGCCGCTTTAGAGCAAAAGTGGAGACAGATTGATGAATCTTATATCAAGAAACTTCTACAATCTATGCCGAGACGATGCCAGGCGGTGATTGATGATAATGGTTATGTTACAAAATATTAACACAAAAATGGTTGGTTTTCTGTAATTCAATGAACTTTGCTTCTTTTTTCTATAATTGTTTTGCTTTGTCTATATATTTTTGTCTTTTGTTGGTGTATTAATAACACAAGTTAAAAAAGAAATACAGCACAATATTAATTTGTCGATATACTTTTGTCCATTACTGTATATCGGCAATATCGGAAAAATTTGCCGATATATAAACATATAAATTATGCCCATATGCTGATATAGGCCGACCCATATGAATTGCAGATTAATTATGTGTAATATTATCCAATTATATTTTGATTGTATTGATGTATAGGTGTATAATAAATCGAAACTTAACATCCATTTACCAGTTTCACTTGGATCCTTTAATGACTCCGTTTTGGTATACTCGACTGAGTAGTATTTAGAAAGGTACTACCACGTCATGTATACGCAATTTAGTCAGTAACTTTGTCGAAATATTACCAGACGGCAGTAGTTTTCCTTATTTCCGTATTAAACTTCTTACAACTGAAAAAATGGAGTAAACGTTCTATCTTTTCATTTCTATAAGTCGGGCTCCCGTAAATACACGTATTACGTGTATATGACATCGGCAGTCTTTTGCAAATCTGTTTTTGTATTTTGATATTGCAGTTTGTCACTGTTTACACCAGGTACTATGATTTTTTTTCGAGGATCAAAATGAAGGCAACCAATGCCATTACGTGGTTGCCATTCATTGTGCTTTAAAATGTTAGTATTCAAGTCCGTTTGTACCGCGGATTGCAAAAAAACATATAAGCCTTCTTGTCAACTATATGTTGTGTGTGTATCCGCCAAGGCATTTTGAACATTTATTGTGAATTTAATAAATGCATTCACAAATTAATAAAAGTCGCGTTACTATTTGTCTTGCTGTCACTACGTATAATGACACTGTCCATCACACCATCTAAGAAACAAATGAAATTTGTATTATTGGTAACTAAAAGATCATCACAGGGTGTAGTTGGATTTTTTAATATTTTCCTGATAAGTATTATGACTATCCCTCGATTCCGGATTGAAGGACAGTTTTTTCAATATGTATATTAAATGATAATTTTGAGTAAAAAATAACACACAAGTCACTGATCTGGTATGTAGTTTGTAAAGATCTACAGTTGAAGTTATAAGAATCAGTAATAGATGAACGAGACCGACTAAATGTAATTTTGAAAGATTTTGCATAATTTAAAAAAATAAATTACTAAACGAAATTACGAGTGCGGAGCCCCATTAACGCCAAATCCTTTCCTAGTAAAACATGTTTGCACTAAACAAATCTATTTTCGTTGGACAGGTAACGCAAGAATGATGCAACACGTCTGCATCCGAGGCATACCGACCACCCGTCTGAAAAAACCCGTAGAAAAAGCCGGCAGTCAGCGAGAGCTACCCGCATACAAGTGTTGCACCGTTCAAGAAATGTTCCAGATGTATTTGTCTTTCGTGACGGACGCCACTGCCAGTCACGTGACCACCGTCAACAAACCGATCAATGTCCGCGCTCCATTTCCAAGAATATTCGACGCCAAGATTGGGGCAAATGGAGATTTGCTGCCTGAAGGGAGCTCACGCTATGATAACACTGGTAAGTTTCAAATACAGAAAAGACCATTGGAATTAAAGGTAAAAATCGTCTTGTTATGTGTTCCTGACAGTATTACCTTTTATGGTGGCAACATCCAAGGATTGGGACAAGTTGCAACGCCTGTTCAGAATCAATAGCTGTAACGTTTGTAGTGTTGTGTCTATAAGACACCTGATCCTCACTATCGACTTGCCTAGTTGTGCTGATGGCATCAAAGCCATGTGTATAGTAGAGAATATGCACTAAATATTATCTTTGCTAGGGGCTATCATTTTATTATTATCATTATCATAAAATTCTACACGTCATTGGTGACGAGTGGAAAAATATGAGAAATGCCTGGTTTTAAATTTATGTAACCCTCATAACTGCCTCCTATATGCAGTTTTCCAAAGCCTACAAAGCTTTTTCATCCTTGGTATAGTAGTAACCTCTTCCTTCCTACATCACTGGTGAGGAGCTATGGAATCGCAAAAAAAATTTGCAAAATAAGACGTTTTTTTTTGATGTTATATATTATGTCACGAAAAAACACGTCGCTTTGATAAATTCTTCACACAAAATTACTACTATGCAAAGGACAAAAAAGACTTTGTAGTTTTTGAAAATTGATGTAGTGGCAGCGGAGCTAGGGGCAAAAGACGAAATAATAAAAATCTTTTTCGGTTTTTTGAGAGGCTTCTGACGATTTTCAAAAAAAAAGTAAAAATTCGCGATTGTAGGACTGGGGAGGGTACATTTGCCCTTCAAACCTAGTGATCGAGAAATATATTCGACACGCGGTGCTGTCCAATTTTACCAACGTCACAGTCTCACTGATGAGTGTCGTGCCGTACTGCCGACTTTGACGTGTGAAGTTATGGATGAAGGGCGACGTTGCCAGAAGGACGGTGCAATCGGTAGGACATACAATAAATGTCTAACTGTATGGGCCTGTTTGACTGCCTTGATCCGGTTAATTTTTCTGTTTTATATGTGTAGCTAACTTTTTTCTGAGGATCTAACTTGGACCGACCATAATATTTTATGATCTGATGACAGTGTTGCGTGGGAAGTACAGAGTCAACATATGTTACGCCGGTTTTTTCAATATTTGATCAAATCCAAGCAGTACCTTATGGAGTTTATAGAGGCCAAGGATTACCGACATGCACACAGACATACCAACGTAAACGAGCGACATATTTTTTCGAATATGTCACGTAATACCCAAAAAAACAATGCCTCGATTTTTGGAAAATTTTCTCAGTTACAATACTTCCTCGCTAGTTGGCATGAGAAATCACGCTCTACCTAACGTCATGTTCAGATTATATGTAATCTTTTTATTGGTAGATCGCAACACTTATTTTCCAGCGTTTCTATAATATCAAGGAACTTTTACTTTTTTAGCTGTAGAAAAGATAGCAACAGTGTCTGGCCTTCACAACTGTTCAGAAATTGGTGACATGTTAGAATCATTGCATACAGAAACCAGAAGGATCAGAATACCAAGACTGCACCAGTTTACAAATGAAGGTGGAGGTTTAGAAAGAGACGACTTCGAGGAATGTCTTGACAATTTATTCGCGCTTAGAGAAAACTATGAAGATAATTATGTTATTTGAAATGTTTTATTATACTATATTTAGTTATAAGTTTTATAACACTGATTTAATAAAGAAAATATCTTCCGAAACAGTGTTTTCTAATTTTGAGAAAAAATGTCAGTCGCTACTTCCTACACATTTGTATTAATCTAATTACACAAACAGTCTAAGCATTATAAGTGATAATGAAACATGGTACATGCTCGATTTCAAAAGTCTTGAGCTCGCACCCGAAAGTTCAAAAAACACGAAAAAGGTTACAATTCATCTAAAAATTTTGATCTCCAAAAAAATTTTCCATTTTCAAAACATACATACTTTTTTGTACTTTCCGAATTATAAGAGGATCTAAGGATTATCGGACAGTACAAGAGAGAGGGACATACAGACAAATAAGTTTTGAGTTATATTCTTCGTTCCACCAAAAATCAACTTCATATCACGATTTCCAGGTCAAATTTAAGACACCCAGTGTGCTTATTTTTACAAAAATCTTCATGACGGCTCATACAATTTTAAACACTCTTTGTTCAAAAAGATTTATCTAACTGTGCACGCCCAACTTTTATCTCGGCAACTGTTTCGTTTTTACAAGATTATAATCTTTAATGAAATACTGGATTAAAATTTCGTTATCATCTTATCTAAATCAAAAGTTAATCACTTGCTAACAGTCTATTCTACTATACTCATGTCGACATTTCCAAATAACACGAAAATTGTCGAAATGATAACAGACGCAGTAAAATACTGCGTTGTATATTTACTAATTGTGACAGGTGAGATAGTTTATAATAATATTACGTGTCGGGGTACTGTTGCAATAAAAAAGGTAAACGGGTAGACAGTTTTTGCGGAAAAAATGGGAGAATATTTTTCAGAATCTATTCTCTTCAAATGATATTTCATATCAGGCTTATAATATGATAAACAATCTACTGGATAATCTAAACTTTATGCTAACTTTGAAATTCTGTAGACAATGGAAATCTAAAATACGGGGTGAGTCAAAAACATTGACCACCTTCCTATGGCACGTCTACCTAAAGTTCTTTTAAACATGGGCACTAACATTTCTCCTTACCCCTTACTGTTGTACAGAGTGTGTATGTGTTTAATTTCAAAATCATGAAAAAACGATATCTCCCAATTGGATGGAGGTATCGACTTAAAATTCTGTATAATGTAATATGAACAAGACCAACACATGCAAAAACATTCCTGACGAAAGCTACACTAACGGCTTAGATACTGAGATATTTTGACCCGTACAAAAAAAATAAAAATGCATTTTTGGATAGAAATTACAGATACCCTTAGCTTAGAAAAAAAATTGTTTATATATTTCAGTAAAATCAATGTATAAAACGGTCAACCACTATTTTGAAAATACGTTGAAATTAGTGGACGTCCCCCCCCCAACGCCCGAGTGAAGTCAATTCAAAGGATTCCGTACAATATGCGGGAAGTAACATTCAGGCATAACACCGAAAGAGAGGTACTTTTGTCGTTCGGCATCAACAAAGCCTCTGGTCCGGACTTGATTCCTGCCGTTGTGTTGAAGAGATATGCAGCGGAGCTTGCTCCAGTTCTTTCACGTCTCTTTCAGATATCTTACGAATCCAACGCTTTCCCAGACAATTGGAAAACTGCTCGTGTCCAACCCATGCGAAAGACAAAAGATCTAATACCGACCCTTACAACTTTCTGTTATAAGTAAGGTGATGGAGATATGCATACATCAGGAACTTCTAGAGTACCTTGAACGTCACGTCACGGCTTGATTAGCGACAGGCAGACAGCCTATGGTCTCCCAGAGAAGCTTTGCAGATGGGTGGCTGACTTCCTCTCTGGTCGCCAGATATCCGTCGTTCAGCCCACAATGTCAAAGCGGGTGTTCCCCAGGGATCGGTCTTGGCTCCGACATTGTTCCTCTTACATATCAACGAGCTCCTTTCCTGTACGATCAATCCAATCCACATGTTTGCCGATCACAGCAGAGTTCCTCTATTACAAGACACTTGGAGGTTATCACTGCTTGGGGACACAACAATCTTGTACAGTTTAATGATTCAAAAACACAGTACTGTACGTTGACAGGCAAGAAGTGCCCTAATGATCATCCGGTTTCGATGGATGGCCGAGTTCTTCCAGAGAGCCGTTCATTTCAGATGGTCGGAGTCCAGATCACCGAGGACTTGATTTGGAACGAACACATCTCTCGAATAGCGGCCCCTGCTGGGAAAGGCCCAGATAAGGCCTAGCCTCAAGTATTGCTCACACGTTTGGAGTGCTGCCGCCCCGACTATATTATATATGCTCGATGCTATCCAGAGGAGGGCTGCCCGACTGACCGATTACTTCTCTAACGGACAGTCGCGGGCTTTGTTCATCGGAGCTCTCTTCCATGATGCCGCCGCGCGATGTGCCTGCCAGACAGACCCTCCTGACTTCGGCCTAGCATCCTAACCGTGTCAAACTTCGTGCATCCAGAACTTGCCGATACCTTCGCTGCTTTGATCCTTTGCTTCGGTGTAAATAAGCGAAGTGGAAATTGACAGCCCTCTCTGTATCTTGGTAATGAGACATTTAATAACTTACGTCTATAGGCACTTTTTATGTTATTTTTGAATATACTTTCTGCTTGGTCATTGCTATTTGAATCACACTGTACAGCTTTTAATTTACCATATTGCCTAACTTACAGCAAACGTCCATGGTGTAACGTCTAAATCAAAGGACGTGCATCTTACAAAACATGATAAAACGTACATTTGGGTACCGCAAACATCTGAGTCGATTACAGTCACAACCGATGAACGCTGCCAGATTGCAGTACAGGTGCTCAAATGTAATTTAGATACAGAAAAAGGGGAATATGCCACCTTATTCGCAGGTATGTTCATAGAGATATTTTGAAATTCCTTGCGAATGTGTCACATATACGATATCAAAGTTTGTTTTTTATTGAATTCCAGGACCCAATAATAGAGATAATGGTATGATGTTCACCTACGACGTCAAAGAAAAGCCCTTATATCTATACAACGAAAACCATGTTTATGCTGATGTTGTTTTGGCGGGCCAGTCTACGTTGAGTACAATAAAATTCAATTTCACACGAATAGGTGAATATACATCCAAATGTGCATTATGTATTATTAAAAAAAACTGTCTGAAAGTTGTCCAAAGGTGAAGAGGGATGAGCTATGGCAACACAAAGAAACAGATCTTGCAACTGCTGAGTTTTAAATCGCACAAATAAGAATGCTATTGAAACAATAAAATAAACACATTGATTAAGTACAGGAATACTGAATAATTTCATGCTATAAAAATATCAGTAAAGTTTACGGCTATTTTAGAATGTAAAAAAATGATTGTTTTCCATAAAAAGAGCTCAATATATGCATATTTTTTTTTTTTTTAGGAGATGCTGCGTCATCAACCACAGTTGCACCCACAACCACAGAAGATCCCCTCTATCCAATTCCTTCTGGCGATGTTTCTGACTACTCGATTGTGGTGAATGTGTCTGGCAAAACACTGGCCAAGTTCAGACAAGAAGGCAACAGACAGATGTTCAAGCGAACGTTGAGTAAAATGGCACAAGCATTCTGTATTAAAAATGACATCAGGCCTTCCAAACCGATCACGTAAGATTGTTTTTAATTTCAACGTTAGATAAAGATGTATAGTTTTGTCCTCTAAAGCAAAAAATAGTGTCAAACGGATTCCTTGCATACTCGTATAATGACAACACTGTAAGTTCCATTTAAATCCAAGATATATTGTGAACACATATTTCCTATACGCTCGATATAGTTCATTGAATTGAAATTGCTCCTGGTATAAGAACAAAATTAGGTGGCTTTGCGGCCGAATTTTTTATATTGCCATCTTGCTGAGAAGGCTTCCTCAGGTTACACCCGTATCCGGATGTATGAGCATGTGTATCTACTTTTGTAGTTGCATATGTGCATTCATTTCGGATTTGATGAAGCCAACCAGCAGAAATACGTATCGCTCGGGTTACCTATCCTATTTTCTGCTCGAATCCACTTTCCTTCTTTTTGCGGATTTTTTCCATTATTTTCCTATTTTTTGTTATATACCTTTCTCCGCATGATCATTTTTTCTATATATAAATCGTTTTTTCTCAATTCAATATTTTTTATATCTATGATTTGTATCATTCGCATATCAGCCACCTAGGCCGATATATACTAAGTGACATATAAATCCGAACACCCAGTTTAAATGGTTTTATTTTAATAAAATTTTGTATAAGTACTTAATGAAGCATAATAAGTAAATGATAAAAATTTCAAAATGATTGCACTGCTTTAAAGCCCTTTGACCTTTAATAATGTGTGGATGCACCCTGATGTGCTACGCATTCTCCAACGCGTCTAGGCATGCTTCTGATCAGGTGGTCAATGTCCTCCTGTGGTATCTCATTCCAGGCAACCACCAACTCCTCTCGAAGTGCTTCTAGAGTCTGAGGAGGACGTTGCAAATTGAGCAATCTCCTACCCATCATATCCCACACGTGCTCAATTAGGGATAAGTCGGGAGATCTTGGTGACCATGGTAACAATGTGACATCATTATGTTGAAAGAAGTCTATTGTGACTCTTGCAACATGTGGTCGGGCATTATCTTGTTGGAAAGTTGGATCTGCCAGGGTGTCAAGATAGGGTAAAAGATGGGGTTCTAGAACTTCGTGGATATAACGCTGCGCGTTCATGTTACCTCTGATGAAGATTAAAGGTGACCTGGAACCATAAGCTATAGCACCCCAAACCCTAACTCCAACAGTGTGATAAACATGTCTTCAACAAAAAAATGTGGATTCCTCCTTTCACCACGTCGCCTTCTAACCCTGGCACGACCATCGTGCATGCCTAAACAAAATCGAGACTCGTCACTAAAGACAATACTGTTCCATTCCTGATCCCAGAGTGACCGTTGTCTGCACCATTCAAGGCGATTACGTCGGTGTTCTCAGGTTAAAGGGAGGACCCAGTGTGGCCGGTATGAAAACAAGCCAAAACTTCTCATTCGTCGGTAAACACTTCGCATGCCAATAGGTCTTCCGTGTTCTGCAAACCATTCATTTGCAATGGACCTGGTAGTGGAGAAACGGTCCCTTAAGGCCAATAATCTTAGGCGGCGATGTTCACGGCCAGTTGTTCTACGGCGGCGTCCAGTGCCCCTTGCTCTTTGCGTACGGCCTTCTCGAAGCCATGCCTGACAACACCTAACCACAGTGTCTACAATTCTTTGCACTCTAACTGCAATTGCCCGAAAAGAAAGTCCAGCGTCCCGAAGTCCCACTATACGGCCCCTATCAAACTCACTAAGTTGAAATCGTACAGGTCTCCGTACTCTAGGCATCGTAACCGATCGTAAAGGATGTAAAGAACCAAAATCCGCCAACGTTGATTCTTCACTGCGGCTGAAATATTCATTTTTAGAGCGTTAGTGAATTAAAAAAAAGCAGTATAAAAACCGGAATGTCCAACTGATAAGGCTGAAAAAATTTTCACTTGTTATTTACAGTAAGATGAATACATTCACCAACTTTTATTAAAATAAAACCATTTAAACTGGGTGTTCGGATTTATATGTCACTTAGTATACATCATAAAATTATCAGTCGATCCCTAATCCAAAACTGGCTTGCAGTGAGACTTTATCGGCGGTATCTGGGAGCCGAGTCAATCTTTTTCATTTCCATTTTTTCTCTTGCAGTACCTCGTCAATAGACATTCTCTGGACATCAGAATGCCCAGCGACCTGGACCAACTGCGCCCCATGTGTCAGTTGTGGCTTCGCCATCCCCCTCTTCTTCAATAAATCAGCGACAACCCGCGATTATCAACTGACAGCTGACAATCTGGACTCCATGTGGCGGGAGTACGCTGACAATTACTTGGATGGGGGACTGAGAGTGTGTCAACCGCCTGACACAGTAGGGCTAGTTAAGTGGCAGTTGATTGCGTTTTCAGCCATCACAGTGATTTTTGTAATAGGATTGCTTGTTATAAGGCATTTCACTATCAGGATAAATGATCGGATACGGTGAGTAGCCAACTATAAATGTTCCCTAGATGCATCTAGGAACTGACAGTGTGTGAAAACGACCTGACACAGCGGGGCTTATCAAATGGCACTTGATTGCATTTTCAGCTATGACAGTTGTTTTTGTGATAGTATTGCTTGTTATAAGGCATTTTACTACCACTGTCAATAATGGGATACAATGCGCAGCAAAGTATGTAGGTAGTGAGGGTGTCTATAGGAGGCTGTGCAGGTTGGAAAGTTGCCCCCCTTTTTCATAGGGGGCGATTTTTGTGGAAACGATTAAAAAAGTGTAATGGGAGCCCAAACCGATATATTTTTTCCTCAAACTCAGGTACAAAGCACTTCACTACTCTTTGAATTTTTCTCTCATAATGCCCTTTAATTTGATATCTACATAATAGGCGTGGCTATGGTAATTATAAACGCCATATTGGGGCGGTCGCCATACTGGATTTCGAATTCCGTCACTTTGCTTATTGCGTTTCTTTCATAAAGCCCTTTCATTTGATTGTGGAAATGATAAACTGACATTTTGTAGCATCCGCTATAATAGATTCGATATGGCGGCAGTTTATTCATTTTGTATTAGCACGCGAACCAGACGTATTCAGTTCAGTTGGTTGAAGTTACCTAGCTCAATTTTTTTTCAAGATTTTTCCGACATATACATACAAACAGGTCAAATTAGATAAAAGCTTGTAAAAAGAGGTAATTTGTTTTTTTTCTTTTGAAATCCGCGAGTCTTGATCGCGACTTTTACAGCTCCATATACCCACGATTAATAACAATGTAAATGTTCACTTTGTTTCATCACATGGTTTAGTATGAATGGTCATTGGCCAGACTCCGCCATTTCTAACTGTATGTATTTCTTCTTCTTTACAATAAAGTCGATTGAATTGAATCTACTCAGACTTTTTTTATTTTGAACAATCACTATTTTAAAAAAATATCGAATCACGTTTATTGCTGCTAAAAACATTAAAAATGAAAACATTTTTTCAAGCTCTTTCTACATTTTTTCTTACAAACAGCTCTAAAAACAGTTTTGTTTTAAAGTTTTTAGCAGCAATAAAGGGGATCCTTTAATTTCTTAGAAACTTTGTTCAAAACAAAAAAGTCTGGGTAGGTCAAAGTGAAGCTTGGGGGTATAAAAGGAGCTGTAAAAGTCAGTCTTACCATTAGCCGTTTTAACAATATTTGCAATTAAAAAAAAAAACATAAATTACCTCATTCTTTTCTGATTGTTCCAGCCCATATGAAAGATGAAAAATTGTCTTTCGATTCATGACCATTGATGATCTTAAAAAATCCATTCCGGCTTTTGAAACCTTAAATTTCCTGTACGATGATTGGTTCCTGAGATATTGATGTTGAAATCCAAAAGGGTCCCGTATCGAGCAAATTGAACCTAAAATCTACAGGCTATCGAGTTCACGCCAGCGGAAAAACATTTTGCACGTTTTAACACTTTTATCTAGGATTGCGGGGAAGCTACAGTTTCAAAAATCCTAGACTTAAGAGGTTTAAAACTTTAAAATGTTTCTCTTATAACCTTTTGGACCATTTGTTATTGAGTTACAGCTTCAAAGAAGCACTAAAAATTCACAATTTTCATTTGGTCTCTTACTTTTTTCCATTAGTGCGTCTTTTTATTTTCATCAAGCTTTTTTTAAGCTTTTGAAATGCAATCGCACCATCTACATTTCATAATATTCCCGCTGATTAGGCAACATTTACAGTATATTCAGATAAGAGATAGACCGGATGTAAACAAAAGGTTCGGGTGATTTTCACGCTAACGCCGCCGTCTCGACGTAAAACAGGAGCCCTCATTGGTCAATTCGCAATTAAATGCCTATGCCGAGCGGCAGAGCAGTCGTATCAAGGCAGAGTCACATTCAGGTTCAGACGTGTTACGTATGTCGTGTGCATCATTGCAGTTTGATATTTCTTTGGACGTTTTCGTTTGTTATCTTATTAAGTTGTTGAGTTTGTCGTTGTTATTGTTATAGCTTGTTATTGATTGTTATTGTTATCAACTGCTTGCGCAAAATGCCCAGTAGTACAGATACTGCCGATGAAGTTGTAAACTCCTGTAGTCCACCTAGGAAACGATCTAAAAAAAAGACACCTGAGTGCAGAAATGAAAGAGGTCATTTTGAATATATATAAGATCGAGCGCGAGGAGAACGAGGCATCAACCATCAAAGAAATTGTTGTGAAGGTTTCTCACAAAGTTGGGGTGTGTCGCGCATCAGTGTTTAATGTGTTAAGACAATACAAAAAAAACACCTTTTCTGAGCCAATAACCAGTAAACATCGCAAAAGTATTGTTAAATCATTGGATGAAGCTGATAAGCATGCGATTAGGAGGAAAGTGCATGAATTCTTCTTTAGGAATGAAATACCTACTATAGATAAAGTACTGCAGGAGGTAAATGGAGATACAACGTTGCCAAATTTCAAACGATCAACTTTCCATGCGTTACTGAAGCATTTAAATTTCAAATGGAAAAAACGGGGTCGTAATAGTTTACTACTGGATAGAGAAGAAATTGTGCTATGGAGGAGGGATTATTTAACAAAAATTGGGAAATATAGAAATCAAAACAGGAAGATTTATTACCTTGATGAAACGTGGGTAAACGCAGGACACACTACAAGTAAAGTATGGGTTGATGATTCTGTAACTTCATCCAGGAGGGCCTTTCTAGATGGACTGTCCACCGGATTAAAAAATCCAGCAGGTAAATACGAGTAATAGACAACAATCGGATGTTTTTCAAACCTTAGGAACAAGGTTCTAAACATTAATTCCAGGGGGCAGATAAAACATATTACAAGTAACAAAACTTTTATAACTTTCGATAAAATGCGTGGATGTTTTATTGTCATTTTCATTTGTTAGAACTTTTTTAAGCCATGTTTTTATGTGTTTTCGATATTTCAATAATTTTTTAATATAATCTTAAAATATGTCGAATATTATAAACTTAAAAAAGTTACTAAGTTTTATATTGTGTACCGTTCCTAATATTTCTAATCATTTTAATTCATACTTTAAGCTTTATAAAGTTATAATTTGTTAATATTAATATTTGCGCGTATTTCAGGTTCCTGATCATTCATTTTTTAAAGGTTTATAACTTTAAATTAAATTGTGAAGCGCTGAGTAATCATACGACGTTCAATATTCTTTCTTTCAATATGACTAAATAATCCCAATTATAGCAATCTGATACTCATGTCTCAATGTTTTTTCGCTGAATGTGATGAAAACATTTGAAAAAGGTTCGCTTATTGAAATAAATCTACACTAGTTAGTACTTCGATTTCCAGGTAAAGGGAAAAGGCTCATTATCTGCCATATTGGCAGTGAGGATGGATTTGTTGTTGACGGTCTGTGGTGCTTTGAGTCTAAGAAAACTGGAGATTACCACGAGGAAATGAATGGCGAATCGTTTGAACAGTGGTTTTCAAAAATTTTACCGAACTTAGAGGAAAACGCAGTAATTGTGTTGGATAATGCGCCTTATCATTCTCGAAGAATGGAGAAGGTCCCAACAACGGCTTCAAGGAAAGTTGATGTTCAAAATTGGCTCCGCTCGAAAAATATCAACTTTGAAGAAGCAATGCTGAAAGTACAATTATTAAGAATTGTCAAGGATCACAAGGCGGAATATCAAAAATACGCCATTGACGAAATGGCAGCAAGTCAAAATAAAACTGTACTCCGTTTACCTCCATACCATTGCGAGCTCAATCCCATTGAGCTCATATGGGCAGAGGTTAAAAATTATATAGCTAAGCACAATACAACTTTTAAATTTTGTGACCTCAAGGGACTTTTCAAAGAAGCACTAGAATTAATGACAGCGCAAAAATGGGAAAACTGTATTAAGCACGTGAAAGACAAAGTTGAAAAGAGAATGTGGGAACTGGACAATATTTTAGAGGAACAAGTCGAGCCATTCATTATTGACGTTGGTGCTTCAGGCAGTAGCGATGATGAAAGCTCATCAAGCTCATCTTTCCAATAAAAGATGTCGTTCATCAAATTCGGTAAGTTATAAGTAATTATAAAGCTACTGTATTTTTTAATTAATTATTGACATTTTTGAACCCATTTTGGCAAAACCTATTCAAGAATCTACTTTCTGACAATGTTCAACCATGCACATTTTTTTACGTTTTGAACGTTTTAATTTGGTTACATATTTACATAGAAATCAAAAAATATACTAATCAATATTCTAAAAGCAATTTTAAGAGATATACGATTATTTTTAATTTAGGCTAATTTACACGCCATTTTGAGATTATATTCGACTGTATTTCACCAATCAGGCGGCATCCGAAGCTGGAAATCGAAGCGAAAATTTTGAAACCCTTATGTATATTTACATCATTATATATTTCTTACCCCACCCCCACATGATCCTATATCCATCACCAATCGTATACACATCGAATTGTGCTAATTTACTACAAAGTTACGCAAAGCAGCATCTACTATCTAAAATATGTACTGCGTGACTCTTAATACGTCCCTGCCGAATGTTACAGCGTTCGATGATCACGTGGTCTTGTTTATGTCCGGTCTATCTCTTATCTGAATATACTGTAGTAATTTAATTTTTTTAAGATGGCGGCCGCCAACACCTGATGTCAATAAGTGTCTATTTGAAAATCTGGATTTAAAGGGTTACAAGGTTTTATGAAAATCTACCACCTATATGAAAAATGCATATTTCTACATTTTATATCATTAGTTGTTTCCAACTTTCACTAGTTCAGAAGGTTTCTCTAACCCCTTGCCTCTTATTTTTTATGGTTTTTCCCCCGTTAGACGCAGGTTTTTTGGAGTAAGAGGTCGAGGATAGAATACATGTAAAATGGAAATTGTTTGTTTGATTTGTCATAAGCACAGTATTGTCTGCTTAGAAATTACGAACTTTCTAGAAATAAGTGCTACCGCACAAACATTTCAAACCAAGCCTTCGTCGATTTTTTGATGTAAAGTTCCAATCTAGCGTTAGAACAATGTACCTATCTGAAAGCTTATTTTTTCTTCTTCAGTATAGCAATACGCTGAAAAGCATGCACAGAAACTAAAAAAGGTACTCACCATCGCAGATTCATCAGGCACGCAAAGTAAAAATTTATCCAATACCATGAACGACCGGCACTTTCATTATTGTTATATTTCGAAAACGCGGTAAAACAGACTGAAAAACGTACCCGAAGAGCTAAGAATCTAGAAGAAATTCCGAAATGGAAGCACCAAAGTACCTGTGCCTCTTTAGTTGAAAAACTATGGCCGATCACTAACCATTAATCAATCACAAAAAAGTTGCAACAGTTTTTTGTTTTCCAAAGCCACCTCGGATTTTGTTTTCGGCGCCGGCTCACTGTGACCAATGCTGCGGCTGCGATAGTGGGATGTGTGTGTACGAGGGACATTCGATTAGTACGTTGAGATGGATTATCAACTTGAAAATTTGGGAAGCAATTTTACCTTTGAAGAAAAAGTGATAGAAATGTAAAATTTTTTGGTAATAGCTGCTGGATCACTGAAATTATTGTAAACATACTGAAATAAATAACAAAATTATAAAATGTTAAATCAATGACTTTTCTCGACTATAAAACGTAAATGTGCAAAACGCTATTTAGATACTTAGATAACGAAAAAGATGAAAAAATTAGCCCCATTAGAATGAAATTATTTCGTGATACTTTTTCCTGAGTTCCAAAAAACTAGTATCGCTTTAATACTCTTCACTACTCAAATTATTGATGATTTTCTAACTTAGGAGCAAGATATTGAAGAGCGATGACCAGTGGTCTGATAAAAAGAGTATATTGAAAGATCTGGGCCCACACCCACTGCAAGAAATGCCACAGATATTTGAAGATACCATCTCAGATCATAACCAGTATGCTCTGATATCCAATCCTGTAGAACCTGTATTGAGAAAAACCTTTGAAGGCAAGTGATTTTTTTTTGCATGCTCTTAATTAATTATTTGTATTGTAGTAGTTTATAATTTGAAGTATCAGTAATTTCATGATTATCAGTTGTTTAACACATTTGAATACAATTGGAAAAGCCTTTTCACTTTTACAGACGTCAGAAATGAAGAAGAAGTTAATAATGAAGTAGATGAAGGTACTTACACCTAAATATGTTTATATTACATGTAACATTAATAATAAAAACTATTTATATCAAAAATGTCTACTTACTTTTTCGTTTTCGTGTATTTTCGATGGAACATACTGCCAGGTAAACCAAATAAAAGGAACCCTTATTATCATAAACTATATTAAGTTTTCGATTTTTTTTTGTTGGATATGAGCAATAAAAAATTCAAATGAAAATTATAATAAAATAATGTATATTTTTTATTGTAAAAGCTGTTACACAACAATTTTGGTGTATAAACTATATACTTAATCGAAATAATAAATATTGAAATACCCATAATGTAAAGCTTATAGTAATTCACATAAAAATATGTATTGTTTGATGATTTTATAACATGTATGCCATTACTATTAAAGAATAAACCGTTTTTCATCCATTTTTTATATTAAAACCAATCAGCTTGCAATATTTTTGGCCAGTTATATGATAAATATAATTATAATTATGTATAACTAAAAAATGCAGCAAGTATACCCTATAAATTATACTAAGTAGAAATATACAAAATATATTAATACACTTTAAAAAATCTCTTGGTCATAATTAGAAGGAAAGAAGTGGCGCAAGTAGCCAAAATTTGAATCAACTTGCTTTATAAACACGTTTTTTGAAGTGAAAAATGTTTATCACTATATATATAACTAAATAAAATTACATATAAAAACAAAAAGGAAATATCCTCAAAAAATGTTGTTTCTACTAACTTTTAGGAAAAATAAAAAACATTGTATGTTATAAGAAACTTGCAAAATAGGAAGGGGCGGGTTCAATACATGAAAATACCTTATCAACATGAGTAAGGAAATCCTTTGTGTTTAGATTTTATGTTTAGCTTAAAACTGTACGCCACTGGTTTTTGCAAATATGGATATTGTTCTCTCAAATCCACGATTCTGCTTGGAAAGTATCTCTTGGAGTTTTTTATTCATTTTCTTAAAAATATGTCAGTTCGATTCGATTTCAAATATGTTTAATTATTGCACATTATGGAAAATAGATTTGGCTACCTGCCCACCTCAAATAAAAAAGGGTTGCTACGATTATATATCACAAGTGATTTGGACATTTTTCTATAAACTAAAAATACAATCAACATATAAAATGATTTGATTTTGAAGTGCAAGCATTTGATGCTATTGTAACGTACTAAATAAAAAAGTTAATCAACATTTTCAAATAGAAAATCTATCAGCTTTCAGCATCGGCATATAAAAATTGCTTCAAATATTATCTCCGTTTTGTCCAAGTATCTACCAGATTCAGTCTAACTTAAATTCGAATAACTGTAGAGTTTTTGATAATTGCAGTCATCTCTCACATTAACATATATTTGCTGTATTATACATGTTATTTAATAGTAAGTAACTATTCGGCTATTGCCCCTTCCAGCAAATACTTGATTTCAAATAGATAATTCAGGCTTTCTATTTTTTATGCCAAGCGTTAAGTACAAACACGTTAAAGTACACAGCAAAAGTGAATTTGCGACATTGATTTTATGGCATGGCGAAAAGTGAGACGGGAGAGAAAAAACGGACTTGTGTACTTCTTCGTTGAATAACAATGTCAAACAAAACAATCAGACGAGTTGCGCTGCAAAAAGTTTAACCAAAGCGTAGTTATATGAGGAGAAGACCGATAGACAATGCGAATAAAATCAGAGAGAGGCAAGAGATGACTCCAAAAACATCGCGTCCCTAAATCAGCTGATGGCATCTAAACACGGCTGTTCTCATTTAGTAGGAAATAAATGCGATGCTGCCAGATATTTTGGATGAATCCATTGTAGTAAAAGCATATTTTGTTCAAATTTACTTTGGTTTGGACATTTATTGGTGGGGATATTTATCATCCATTTGCAACCTGCGAAATATATTTTTCATTTAAAGTTATAAATCTCACTTTTCGCGAGAGGAGCTATTTTCAAAACCTGTAAGTTATCAAATAGCTATCTAACTTTTGGGGAATTTAGTTATAAAAGAAGTATCTACATTCAAAACCCGTTTAACCTCAAATTGCTTATTTGACCAATCGTCGGTATATTTGACATAGTTGCGAGTTATCTAGATACCCTAGCCTTAAATCGATATGTTTATTTATTTCTTAGGACTGTGAAAAACTGAACTCTATTCTGCTGTAGCGCTTTATAAATATTTCATGGCAGCTTGGCAACACCGTCTCGGTACATGCAGACTCACCTATGAGCGAATCGCCAAGCCAAGGACATAGATCTGTTTTTTTTGTAAACCAGTCCAAGAGCCGATCGCAAAGTTTAAGTTACATTGCGCACAGATATGAAAGTTTAAAAACTAGTCAAATCTTACGTATCATATCAGTACGCGATGATATAAAACACAATTTAAGATGGGCTTCCCTACTATAATAGAGATGAATGGGGCCAACTGGCCGATCATAAGGGCCTTTCACAAAGTGTCTTCTCTTGATATATCTACCTCGTGTGGTTTTTTGATTTTAACATTTTCGATCCTTGATTCCCGTGACATATTCAATTGATAACTGAAATTGTAATTAACGCATATTTCGTTCCTTTCAATATGACAGCCACAAAACGTCTGATTTTTCAGGCTCGAAAACTTTCCAACTATCCAATAAACTGACGACATACAACCCTGCATACCATAAGGACTAATTTTTGCATCAACAAAAAAATCGAGTTAAATATCGACAGCTTTTGGGACAACCTGTATGTATATTTGTTTCTCCAACATCAGATTTATTTTTTAGTTTAAATTATGATACTATGATGAAGTATTGATAACACAATATTGTGAGAGTAGAAAGAGAGAACGTAAACTATGTGTAGTAAACTTATGGCATTTTGGACTTGTAACGAATGGCAATAAGATAATCTGGAATCAACGAGCTGCTAGATATTTAGTGGATAGCGCGAAAATCAAGAATATAGCCTTACTGCATCCTTAAAATCAACTTATACTATTTACACTGTATACACAGAAATAACAACACCATAACAGTATTATATGTATATCATAGATATTGAGGAAAAAGTAGCTACATTATCCGAAAATTGGACAGAATATGTTCCACAGCATTTTGTTTTGGTAAAATTAGTGCCATTGACAAGTTTATACATGATAGGAAGTAAATCCAAAAATAAGACGAAAAGTTTATGTAAATATGGATCCTAAAATGCCCCCCTTTGGAGATCTAGATAAAATGAAAAAAAAAAATATCTCCGAGGCGGATAAAGATAACGGCTTCAGGGGCCCTCATATCGTAACCAGAATAGATACAATGTTTGTTTCCAAAATCATATGACGTTCCAATAGCACTCTCCACTATGCTATAAGTATAGAGCTTAGGGTCCCACATATCTTAGATCCGCCACTGAACGGTTTAAAATTTTATTCATACAGTACTAACAACATTAACAATACAAACGATGGTGCATTACATACCTTGATGGCGAAGTATGTTATTATTGACCGAGCACTTTAATGTGCGACTACAATAATGGCGTTCTCCGCCGAAATATGTATTGATTTTTTTTCACTACTATAATACTACTAATATAGTTTCAAATTTAATTTGTTTAGATTATGAATATCTGAGAATTGTCTAACCGTCTGTCAACACTGTCAGAATAAAGCCTACGCACTGTCTCGATCACAAAACGGTGCGTAGAAGAGGTACGCTGCGCTACATGATAAAGACTCACAAAAAGTTTTCAAATTTACCAATTTATCGATTGCATGGGTCTTTCAGGTTATCAAAATAGTGGGGTAAATAAATACATTCAACTATAATTTCAGTAATATTCAAAAATGGAGTTTAATAAGTGACAAGATTGTACCCAACAAGTCCTAAATGGATACAGACATTCATTATTTATCTCGCGTAACTTCTTATAAATATACGGTAAATAATGGCGACTTATCAAGTTAGTGGTGAAAAAAGTTTTATGGCTCTAACAGCGTTTGCGTAGAAACTGGTATATTTGACTTCTACAAACTGAGAAAAAAATAAATATTTTCTACGCCACTGATTTGTCTGATATATCTATTACATTTTTTTCAATCGAAGCAGCCGCGGAGGCAGAAGTCTAAACGCCATGGTACCGCGGCTGATATGAGGACCTTAAAGAGACTTTGTTAAACCGATTTAATTTTTACATAAGATACTTAATTTTGTCTCTCTTGACAAATATTGTCAGTCTATTCCTTGAGATACTTTTTTTATACTACAACTACCACGAAGGCCTAAGCAGCCATTGGGTACCGTGGGGCTATAGGGGGATACATGGGAAAGGGGGGGACGCCACACGGACTCTGGCGAGGGAACACGTGTGCATGCAACATGCACACATTCTGGTTCCGCCTACGAGAACCGCCGGATGGTACCTTCGCGTTCGACAGTCAGAGACCATCTACCACCTACGGACAATCACAACATCCATAGCACAGCGCACGGCGACTGATCAGTAGAACGAAGCGCCATCTATGAGAATTTGCTATAGCTATGTTTATCCTCTCTGAATTAATTAGACATTTACTTTTGGAAGGTGTCTCATAGATGATGCTGTAGCTATATTAGCATATACTTGTCTTCAGCACCATCTATGAAGCACTAACCTTTGCAAAGTAGATGTCTCATTAGTGCGGAGAAGAGAAACATTGGTGTGACAAATTCTCATAGATTACCCCGCGGTATCTCATTTCACCTCGGATAATTTTTTTGACGCGGGACTATAGTATTAGGTTCGCTATCTTCAAGAAAAGTACGTCAAAGTTCCAGCACACTACAGCGTTATTTGAAGAATATTCATGTTTGGTTCTTAATGAGTATCATCAGTGGCGTAGAAATTTTCGACACCCTATACCTCGGTAATGGGACATTTTACAATACTATTATTATAGGAACTTTTCATTTTATTTATGGTTGTACTTTCTGCTCAACAAATATTGCCGTTATGTTTTGATCACAGTGTATAATAGATTTATAATATATGCGGGATAGCTTGATTTTTATGCATGTACAATCCAACAGGCAGCAATAGCTTCTTTGCAGAGGTCGTCAATTTTCGCATGATAGAACGATGGCGAATTTAGATGGGGGAGTGGGTAGAGAAAATACTGGAACTATCAAATTTGGAAAATAGACCTTTTTCTAACCTCTCCCCAAATATCCAGATCTAGAATTATAATAGGTTGATACATATTCAACTTTTTTTAAAATTATTCTTGGTGATGTTTGGCCTTACATTTTTTTAATGTTATCGCTCTGAATTATTTAATGAATATGTATATTGTATCATACCAAAACAGTGATGCTTACAAAGCAACTATAAACTTTTTCCAAGTGAATCTTAAAATAGTACATTTTGTACCTGTTGACAAATATCTTTGTACATACAAGTATGAAATGAAATTCCACTCACACTTTTTGTACTCGACAACACTGCATTTACCAAAAGAAAACGCAGCTAGATGAGACGATTGGAGCATCAAAATAGTGCAGACAACAATAACAATAAAATTTGTCTCACTTCTCCTTAATCTACACCGGCAAAGCCTTGTGATCCTTCGATTGCTTTTATCAACTTATCCTTCAGATGCTTATAGCTCTCGTATGGCGGTAGGTCCAGCCGATTGAAGCTGAAAAGTCATACATTCAGAATAATCTTCACTTTTGTGATATACTGTGATACAGTATTGAATAAAGGTTCAGTATGCAACATATTACAAAATTATTTTATCAAAGAAACAAAATTGAAACGTTATCAAGCACTAAAAACCTTTCGGTAGGTGTGCCATTTATATATTAACGATATTCCCGATACTTTACAACACTAAATAAAAAATTCAAATACTTGCTGATGAAACATTTCATGAAGTAACAGCGTGTGTAGTTGATCACATCGTTAAACGATTTATTATCATTGATCTGGTCAACACACATCACAATCTGGTCAATAGACAATGATACACTTCATGAAATGCGATCAATTTTACGATATGGCTACGACATATGTATATTCAAATACAAACTTTTTATTGCAATATAGCTGTGAAATAATATGAAAAACCTTCTTCATTGGTTAAATGTGAATAAACCCAAATTGAACACAAACAAAATATAATGTATGCTTATAGGAAAATCTTTAGATGAAAATACGAATAATCTTACGACTAATGATGAAAAATTTGAGCTAACTGAATCATTCATATATTTGGGCATATGTGTAGATAGTAAATTATAATTTGAAGATCACTATTAATATATTATTTAGATATAGATATCCAAAAAGATAAATTACTTTTAAGGACTATGTTGTTCACTACAAATGAAACTGTATTTTCAAAATTACAAATATTACAAAATAAAGCTATGAGAATAATTTTAAATAAATATACTAGAATAAATGTTATGCTAGGCGAACTACATTTTCACATTCAAGTTAAAAAGTCATCGATTGCCAACTCATTTAGAAAATGTTATTGAATTGAACAATGAGTACCACAGTTATTCTACAAAATTGCAGTAGCAATATAACAAACAAATCAATATTTCAGAAGTGATTGTACGAATTTAATAAATTAAGTCATGATATCAAGATATGTTCCAGTTTGAAAATGTTCAAATGGAATTTGAAAAAATATTCCATGGAAATCCAGAATTCATAGTAGTGAAATTTTGTTTGAAAATATGTATACTTGAAGAAATTATTTTGTGATATACTATTGATATTGTAGCATTAATGCTGAACAAATCTACAACAAACAAGCCTATGATATGATATTTTTTCAATGGGACAAAGATGCAAGGGGTGGTTATTTGGATTACTTGAAGACTATCTTTGCCCTTTGACAATTTTCGATAAACCAGTTCAATTCGGAGATAACAAAAAAATTGAAATTCAGAGGTTGAATGCAAAAGCTGTGAGTTTTTGACGAAATATCATATATGTTTTTTAAAACATAACTTACCAAGTGTGAGCCCTGGGAAAATTCTCTGTAGTACCCCATTTCTCAATGGTGAACAACTGTGGACCGTTACTGCCATACAATTCCTTAAAACCATTCATAGGTACTCTAGAAGTACCTGTCACAAACTGTAATAACCTAGCGCGCATCTCGTTGTTAAACGACAATACCACCTAAAAATCAGACATAAATACGTACATTTCAACAGCGGAATATATAAAAAATATTCTATTTTTAAGCAATCTGTTACTAATTTTCACCCAATTCCTAACAAAATTTAGTGCTTGCTAAAATCAATTTCAATGAAAATGATTCTATACAAAATTGGTTTTCTCAAGAAGGAATGGAAAAAGACCTTTTGGAATACGAATTTGCTCTCATTCTTATGTTGCTTACTTACCCTCCAAAACCACTGTATGACAATATGATTTGAGTGGTAGTCCCCTTTATACAAACTGTTGGTTTTCCAGTCTTTAACATCGATGTGTTGAATACCGCACATCAACAACTCCAACTCATTCTCGTCAAATATCTTAATCAGATTCATGGGAATCAAATCACTAAAACCATCTAAAAACGCATTCATCTGCTCTTGTACTCTACCCACGAACCTCCATTGGATAATACATCTGAAATAATGTTTTATGAACTATTTTTATACAATATCTATGCCGCAGTTCAAACATAGCATATTTGCCCCTGCTAAATGTAAATCAAAATTACTAAAATCGCCAAAAGATGTCTTCAGAGCTAACAGTGGATTGTACTCCAAAACTAGGCGACTGTAACTAGACGAGATTATGAACTAACAGAAATACAATGAAGCGTTGGCGACAAAAGAACATTGCATTTGATTTTATTCGTCGTTGTCTGAGAGAGCGGTCCTTAGGACCTTTGCTCTTAGTTAAAGTCTAGGTTAGTAGGTCTGTCATGTATGGTTGTTTCAGATACTAAACAAAGTCAGGAAGAAGGAAAGAACCGATCTAAATCTTATTCAAGCATTGTTTACTCCACGTCAAAATAAACATGAGAAATATACTTACTTTATGTAATCGTCCTTATTAGAATTATCTAAGGGAATGTCAGCTCCACCGTCAACTAGCTCATGCACGGTGGTGTGGCCAAAAGATTCTTCATCTACCGAAAAAGTCAGACCCAAGTCTGAGGGGTCATTTTCTTTAATCCACAACAAAGATTTATAGTATTCAGAGTCCACTGACTCCATGTCCTTTAAGTCTATGGGCTTCGACAACATCATTTTGTAAAATGGACGAATGAAAAAGGCTGAAATAAACATACAAGACCTGTAGAAGTTGTTCGCAATAGATTTGTTCAAGTTCAACCTTTCCAAAATAATTAATTCACTGAATAAAATAAAGTAAAAGTATATTTACCATCTAACAGCTTTCCATGATATACTGCCATACCAGCTACCCTTCCAATGAACTTGAAGTAACTCAAATGTTCTTCATTGCAAACGCCAGAAAACGGATTAATTTGCAACGTATAATTATCCCTGAAAAGAAACAACGTTGTTGAGCAAATCTTTTTTCCAGATTATATTACTCTTCATATTTGAAGGTCATCCAATCAACAGTATCACAAGTATAGACAGATCAGTGGGAAAGTTCATTTTTTGATTTAAGAAAAAAAATACAAACTTAATGAAAAGAAAATATTTATTACTATCAACATATTCGTGAATTCGGTGAGTTTTATTTCTTAAATATCATTCCGACCAAATGTTTGCCGTCCCTTCGGACACACTCTTCTAAATAATCGCGCGCGTAAATTCTGATACACTCTCTTGCAGAGTTCCGGAGTGATGTTGTCTATTTCTTGTTGAATGTTGTCTTTGAGCTCCAGTGTTCGTTGATTATTGGAATACACTTTTGACTTTAGATAACCCCACAAAAAATGATCGCATGGCGTGAGTCGGGTGACCTAGGAGGCCAGTGAATGTCTCCAAGCTTCGATATAACTATTTGAGGAAAAAGTGCATTCACCGTGGCCATCGATTCTCTGGAAGTAAGGGCAGTGGCCCCATCCCGTTGAAACCACGTTTTTATGTTAAATCGGCATTCTGTTCTTACAATAGGAGCAAAAAAGTGTCAATCATGTCTTTGTATCGCTCGGAATTGACTGTCAATGCATGACCATTTTCATCTTCAAAGAAATACGGCCCAATAATACCGCTAGAGAATATGGCGCACCAAACAGTCACCTTTGGACTATGTAGCTGTTGTTGATGTTTTCTCTTTTGGATTCGTTTGTGCCCAATATCTGCAATTTTGCTTGTTCACATAACCGTCTAAGTGAAAATGGGCATCGTCACTGAAAACAACGTTCTCGAGTCTGCAATGCGATGCGTAGAAAAAAGATACAACATCCGCTCAGCACAAGATTTCCGTAATACGTAATCACTTTCCTTTAAAGCATGAACTGATTGGATTTTATAAGGATGAAAATCCATTTTTTCCTCATTATGCCACGCAGTGTTGACCTAGGAATTTCCAAAACAGCGAATGCTTCCGTACAGAAAGCCGAGGATTTGCAATGACCGAATCACTTACTCGACGCACATTTTCTTCGATTGATACAGTAGGTGTGGGGCTAGGAATGAGTTGATTAAGAGTTTCACGGAACCTCTTAATCCACTTTTTCAATAGGTTCTTACTTGGGACATCTCTTGGTAGGCGAATGTTGTATCGTGTACAAAATTTCCGAAGTGCAGCTGCGTATGAATCACCACTCTTAAAGTAAGCCTCGCTCGATAGCAAAAGCACGTTGCGCTCCGGTCCAACGTTCCATTGTGACTATTTAACCAGCACGCCGAACGCGATCGATCAAGAACTCTCCCCAGTTTCTCACGTGTACGGTTGCCGCGTAATTAAAATTTGAAATGTGAACTTTCCCACTGGACACACTGTATTACCAAGCATCCAGCACGTTTTTCCATCATCCCCCAAAGTTAATTAACGCCTCATAGGCGTATTGATACCTGGAAGACAAAGGGATGCAGGAAAGCTTCGCACTAGAAACCTGCACGACACTTTTCCAGGCATACCTAGAGAAGCTTCAACAGCGTGCCGAGGCACATTTATAATATGCTCAGACAGTTAAGCTGCCTTGAAGGCAGTGGCATCTCAGAGGCCTTGAAGGCAGTGGCATCTCAGAGGACAAGTTCACCCCCTAGTTCAGGAATGCAATACAGTTCCTCAAAGTTTAGCTCGTTCCAAAGAAGTGATGCTGTTTTTGGGTTCCCGTACAGAGTGCTGTACTGGGCAATGAGAGAGCAGATTTTCTGGCTAAGCTGGGTCTGGGTATAAGCAGACGCCAGGTCAACGTCGCACTGAGTGAATGGGCGTTTGGAGACCTAGGAAAAGTGTGGCAAGAGATGACTTCAGGTAGGCCAAGAGGTTCATAGTGGACACCGATAAGCTTCGGAGGCGCTGGCTACTGGACAAAGGTGAAGAATTGGAAGTGGCTCTCACCGGCCTCTGTAGACAGTCACTTGTCCTTTCTAAGGATGAAAAGAGATTATACCTGCCCCATGTGCTGGAAGGAGGACGAGACACCGTTCCACTTTCTAGGCTTTTGCCGCGTATATCGCAGTTTAAGGGAATAATCAGAGCCATGGAGTTTGAAAGCTAAGTTCCCTACTCAGCGGAGCAGCCAGGCTCCCAGCATGCATTAGGACATCAGGAAGGTTCGATAAACTATGGACAAGCATTAGAGTAGAGTGTTGGTACACACGGGGACGGCAAAAAGTGCCAAAGGTGGCATTTCGCCTTCCCACCTACTACTACTACTGCGATACTGTGATTGTGAAACACTGCTTTATTCCTACCCACCTTGTGGCAAGACACGAACCCGCATCACCGCTTTACCAAATCGCACACCGCTAAACGAGAAACACCAAGCCAGTAACGTCATTTGCTTGAGTAAACGATGAAAATTGATTTTTGTACGTAGTGTTTTGTATGCTTTGATAAACAATTTTGTCGATAACCGGAGCAATTTTTAGACACTTACATGGCAGAGTACTCAAAGAGTCCATAATAAGGATTGAACATTTCCTTAGAGAGTAAATAAAACCACTCCCTAGCAAGACCCCCATAATCCAAACCAACTTCTCCTTCAAACTCAATCCATAACTTCGTCTTTAACAGTTCTATCCTAGGCACAGTTGTTATCACTCGGTACGAGTCTTCAAGTATACTTCTTCGCCTTACTTTTATCTCAAACTTATTTGGTACATTGGTCTAAAAATGCAAAAGAGATTTAGCATATTGATTCTTTAAAAAATAATATCTTTGCACTCACAGGTTTTCGTAGTTGCGTTTTCATATATTCATACTTTCGTTTGTAATCTCTAGAATATGGTATCGCTGGACCAGCAATTTGTGGATTTGATAACCTTGGATCCTCCCACTGAGTAGTTCTAGTATCTGAAAATCGAAATCATATCTTACACTACTTAGAAAGTACCGCTCGGAATTTAATTAAATTTTGAAACAAGGTTACTACTACGCCAAGGACGACAAATCTTTGTAGTTTTCGAAAATCGGTTCAGTGGCAAAAACGAAAACAAAATCGCTCAAACTTCGTTTTCTGACAAGCCTCCTCATCATTTTCGGAAAAATTTTTGTAGGGGTTAAAAATTAGAGGTTGTAGGGGTGGTGGAGGGTATAAATGTGTTTGTCGGTATATTTATACGCCTCCAACCCAAGTAAGTCTACGCACCTATTAGATATATTCCACTCATTATAAATGTTCCCGTACATTTACCGTTATATCTTAAAAATACAATCTCCAACTCAACTTATTTGGCGCCATTTTCTATGAAAGAGTTGTGGCAAAACCTGCCCTCCAAAATAAAAACGTAAAAGTTCGCGACAAAGCTAAGAAGTGAGAAGCTTCCTCACGCCCTGTCCCTTAAACGGCACATTACTTCTGCCTTGAAGGTTAGGTCTCTGTCAAGTGAATACCCTATTTCACGAGTATTCATCACGCTTTGACAATTATTGAGGTGAACAGGTGATCAGCAAGTGACATTTTTGTGTTAGTCTGCAACGTTGTCTATAATGGATCGGGTATCTAGTAAAACTTGTTTATGCCGTTTTGTTTTTTGTATGCAAATGAACTTTTCTAAATAAAAGAGCTCTTAGCAAGTACAAAATGAATCGGTAGCGTACAAAAAAACCAAAACAAAATTCGGCTCTGTCTACCTGGCGTTGACGGATCCATCAGAATTATATGTCCTGTGCCGATATGGGGAATTTTGAGATATTTCTGATAGCTGTCATTCTACCGTGATGGATACTCGTGAAATAGGGTATACAGAAAACAATCTTTATTCTGTTGGCATTTAGAGAGGTTTACGCCCAATGTACGAATTTCAAATATATTTTTCCACACACTGGATCGCCCAGCGTATTTCATTCTAATGCAGCAATGTGTAATTTGTCAATTAATCTGGGGGCGCTAGATGAAATATGTTTGAAACTCTATGTTAATGTCATATGAATCTTCTGAAGACTTCTGTCACAAAGGACCACAATGAAACCTTATGAGCTTGGCTAGTTTTTTAACAGTTTGGGATGTCGTAGATCTCCAAACATAGAACACAATTTACTGTAGATCTCAACACGTAAAACAAAACTGAGTGTCCTCAAGTTAAACAGTCTGTACCATATTACAGTGTATTCGAGCTTGATTCATGATATTTAATAACTGTTCGATATTATGTTACATTCTTATGGCCGGTCAACAGTGCAATTCTGTATCGTACAGGGTGAGACCTAAACTTTTTTAAAAACTGTTCAAGCTTACTCTGCACGTCTTTGTAGGAATACACTTCTCAAATATGCAGGATTATACAAAAGCTACTGTAAAAGTTTCACAATATGACTTAACAAACCGACCCAGGAGGCTGCATGTTACTGCATGTTGAGACATGTCCATGAGTGCATAGTAGCCGCCAGCAGCACGTCTGTTGATTTAGTTATTTATTCATATTGACAGTGTGACAGAGGAAAACATTACTGCTGTGCTTAACTTTTTGAAGACCGGATAGTGACATACCAACAGAGAGAGGAGACCTTACACGTTCATGCACCAGCAATTCATTCAATTCTGCACTACCATTTATACGTAAGGAAACTTTGTTCTCTCTGGGCACTGCTTTGTCTGACGGAAGAGCAGAAGACTCGTCGTACAACTTGGTGCCGAAAGGTGCTCAAAATGTTTGATAATGGGCAATCTCGGTATGCGAACAGCATGCTAACAGGTAATGAGACTTGGCTCTATTATTACGATGTGCCGACCAAGGCTCAAAACAAAGTTTGGGTCTTTGATGATGAGGACACAATCAGAAAATCCCGATCTCTTAAGAAAAAACATGATAGATGTATTTTTCAAATCGAGCGGGATTGTGGAGCGTGTCGCTTTGGACACCCAGAAGACAGTCACAGCTAAATGGTTCAGGTTCAGGGGACAGTATCTGCCTGAAGTCATAGAGTCTATGAAAAACCTGCGGCCAAAGTCAAGATTGGACACTTGGTACCTCCACCATGACAACGCTCCAGCTCACTGTGCCAAAGCCTGCACCGAGTATTACTGGAGTGAAACTTATTGAGCATCCTCCATACCGTCCAGATCTTGCTCCCTGAGACTTTGCACTGTTTCCGCATGTAAAAATGAACCTAAAAGGAAAAACGGTTTTCTAGCGATGAGGACATTTTGAGGGCTTTCGACAACATGTGTGCCGCACTCCGGGGTCAAACTTGGCAGAGCTGGTTTAAGGACTGGTTTTGGCGGATGGAGACGTGTATTGAATATGGTGGAAATTACTTTGAACGCAGTTAATAAATAAAGCTATATTGCAAAACTTTTATAGTACCCTTTGTACATGGTGTTCGACTACTGACCTAATTAATAAAGTTGCTTGTTTGATAGACACCTATAGCTTCATTACATTTTTAGATAGACCTGCAAACTTTTTGAAAACATGACAACTAGTTAATCACTCTCCTTAACATCCTGAATTGTATCTAAGAATATATGTTATAGTCTTCAGCTAATACTTAATCCGTGCAAGTTGGAGGCTACCCTATATACGTGATTGAAACGAAATGTTGATGAACCGGCCAGTAGAGATGATGATACGAACCTAAACAAATATCAAACAACTATTACATATCACGTACAGAACTCATAATATGCTGTACTAGGGAACGGACTATCTGACTTGGATACGTGTATCTTGGAAGCTACTCGTGAAAAAACTTTGGTCCATGAATAATGTGCTAATTTATTAAAAAAATTAGCCACAATCCATTCCCCAAGGTTCTGGGTCACCATAACTATAATAATAATCTATATTCCAAATTGTACAATGACATTACAAAAATTGTATAGCCACTACAAAATGAAATGTTGCGTCACTGTCACCATAACTATAGTAGTTTACCTGAGACCTTTTTTTTGTGTTACATGGTTATTTATCTTAAAACAGCTACTATCTTATACTATTACAACTTCCATAGAACTCATCTATTGTATAAGGCTCTGACTGTACTAGAAATTGCTTAATAGTCTTTTTAAATTTATATAAACTGTTTATGTTTTTAATTTCATTTGGTAGATTGTTAAACAATTTTAAACACATGTAAATAGGGCTTTTTTATGTGGAGGATAATCTGTGTATTGGATAAGTAACATTGACTGTTCGAGTATCATAAACAGTTTGCACCTCAAGCTCAAATAAATTTTTATTTTAAAAAAATATATAAGACACTCATACACATAGATGGCATACACAGTCATGATTTTTTCAGTTTTAAACATCCCCCTGCAAGTTTTATTGAAATTTAGTCCCTTTAGCAGACGTACTGCTCTTTTTTGAACAACAAAAATTTTGTTAAATAAACGTATTGCGTCCCCAAAAAATAATCCCATACTTTAGAACACTTTCAAAATTAGCATGGTACAATATTTTCATACTCGTATTATTTAGATATCTTGATATCACCCTAAAACCATAGCAAATGGAATTGAGCCTCTTCAGTAGTTCAAATACATGTGTTGTCTAATCTAAAAATTCATCAATATAGATGCCTAAGAATTTTACACTTTCACTCAACTGCAGTTGATGATCATCTATATCGATATATTGTGGCTTAACAACTTTACTCTGCTTAGTTCTAAATAATGTTGCATCAGTTTTGGATTTATTCAGCACTAGTTTGTTCTCAGAAAACCATGTATTCACACTTCTGAATAAGAGATTCGCATTAGCAGTTAGGTCCTCTACACTTGTCCCACCCAACACTAAATTTGTGTCATCAGCATAGCAGATAATTTTATCCTTGCTATGATCACCACTAGTAACAAAACAGAGATCGTTTAAAAAAACTACAAACAAAATGTTGTCTATTATAGAGGTATGACTTGAACAATTCTAGCGCAGTTCCTCTTACACCATATCTTTGTAGCTTTAATAACAATATGTCTGTGTTGATGCAATCATAAGCTTTCGATAAGTCCAGGTAGAAACCAACCGCTAAGTTTCCCTCCTCTAATTGCTTAAGTACTGTTTGAACAAATTGAAAGATTGCAGTATCTGTTGATCGCCCATGTAGGTAACCATGCTGATGTGTATTAAATAAATTATAGTCATTCATGAGTTCTAATAATCTCTTACTGATGCCAAACTCAAATAATTTTGAAAAACCTGTTAAAATATTGATTGGCCTATAATTTTCCAATTGCTCTGGATTACCTTTTTTAAAAATTGGTTTTCACAATGAAATTTTACATCGTGTCGCACGACCCTAGTTACACAATGAAACATCGTATAGAATAACAAAAACGTAATGACGTCAATGAACTAAGTAAGCACTCACTATGATCAATGAAGAATATCCTTCCATCCGTATGAACCCGCTCTTCCCACCCTTCGGGCAACGGTCCCAGCACGTCGTCGTCCTGCGGCCGCCTAGCATTGTTAGGCCCTGCCCCTTGCTGACCGGCACCGCCCACTCCTTGGCCCGGTCCTGCTGAACCCGCCCCCGAGCTGCTGTGATTGGGCATCGGACTCGGCCTACCCGTTCTCGGGTCCACCCATGACGTGGTGCGCTCGTTGTGGTCGATGAAGAAGAGGCGGCCGTTTGGCGCACGTTGGACGCTCCAACCTGCTGGGAGGCCTTCGTCTAGCCGCTCCAGGGATTCCTATATCAAAGAAGGATCAGATCAGGAAAAGTTCCCACAATGTCCACAAGAAAGGCAGAAATTCAACAATGGCTCATATCAAAAGACATTAGTTTCAATGAAAATATGGTCAAAGCAGAACTTATCCATCTAGTCAGGCAGTACAAATATAAATATAATGTTATTGATGAAATGGATAAAAACCAAAATAAGACCGTTTTAAGGCGACCCCCTTATCACTGCGAATTAAATCCTATTGAAATGATTTGTGACAATATACAAAATTATGTGGCTTCAAACAATAGAACATTCAAATTTTCTGACGTGAAAAATTTGTTTTATGAACCTGTCAACAGAGTGACGGCAAACTATTGAAGAGATTGGATCCGTCACGTTCAAAAGACAATAGACAATCGAAACAAAGATGTGGGATCTGGACAATATGATCGATGTTCAAATTGAACCTGTAATAATTAATATTAACCATTCGGCCCACGATTCAAGCACTTCCAGCGACTAAAGAATTGTGAAAAGTATGAGCACTTCTTTCTATAAACATAATCATTAATTTTGTTAGATTATTCCAAGACCATTGAGGAAAATACGGACCTGAACAATCTCGATTTTGGGCATGTTGTATTTTGTCTGGGTGTAAATGGACTACGAATGGGATATATGTATATGGCCATATTGCCATTTATACAGGAATAAAAGCTTCAAAGCGTACTGATAAAGCCTGCCACCAAATTAATTTTTGATAGCATATATACCAATTTTCAATTTAAACAATAATATGACCCATATTTTTACCTGTTGCTGAACTTGACTCGCCGATGTAGCAGTAGGGGTGCTACCATTGGCCGATGTGAGAGAATCTCGTCTTGATGACGTACCAGTCGGACTATCTGTTTGGTCATCACTCTGCAACACCAAAATATAAAACAAAATAATTCCGAACAATAATAAAAGTAATGTTTCATATTATATTAGTAAGCTTATTATTTTGAATGAAAAATCAACAAGTTTTGAAAGCTTTTCCTTCACCGGGAATTGGAGGAATCCAAAAGTGTACGTTACTAAAAAAAAAAAGAAACAAGAGGGAAAGTGTTTTTGAAGCAAAGCATCGTGCTTGTGACAATACAATAGATGAAATTCAACATTTAATATTTTTTGCTAGTTATACTCACCAATTCCTTACTTAGACTTAATATACAACATTATGCTCAAACAGTATCACAATTATTGTAAATAAATATTGCTAGCACATAAGCAAAGCTGACAATAAATAATCGACATATAGTACGATGTCTATAAGACTAATAGCAACATAGATAGACGATCACAAACATCGAAAGAGCCACACAGCTTGGAACTATATTTTCGAAATCATGTCTCCAATGAAAATTGGCTGGCTGATAATGTGGCTTGCAAGAAATTGTTCGTTAGTTGTTGACAAACATTCTAAATTGCAGCATCAAGGACATGAATCACTTGCATCAATATTACATAGGAAACTTAAAATCACATGAAAACAATGGTTTCTATCATCTTATATACTATGCATTTAGCCAACAAGTCACGAGCGCCTTAAATGAAGAAATGTCACAACAGCCATTTAGTAGTAGTACTAATATTTTACTGGTCATGTGGATACAACTGTGTTTATAAATATATGTTTTTGACAAGTCAGTTGTTTATAAAGTACATTGTATAAAAGTGCAACGTCAAATCTAACAACATAACCTTCTAAGTTGCATTTACATACAAATATGATTTTACATTACAATAAAAATATCAAGTACAATAAAAAAATCACTAAAAAAAATGAACACAACAATTTCACTAAAAAAATCAATAAATACGCTAAAATTCAATAAGACGCAAATTTTAAGGAACGGACAAGATCAGTATTGAAATAAGTAAGAAAAATATAAAGTAAAATAAAACATGCAATAGGTAAAGTACACATTTTTAAAAAGAATGTGGGTCATTATAATTTAGGAATTGATCAACTGAATATATAGAATGCCATGTCCAATAGAAATAATTACATTTTTGAATTAAATACATCGTATGTAACTTTGAAACAGTTAGTGTCTCATCTATGGAGCTACAGCCAATTATGCGAATATATGAGAGCATACATGTATGAGATGGCCTTTCAAAAGTATATACAGGGTGTTTCACAACTTATCCGACAAATTTTAACCGCATATGCATTGTTACGAAAGAAGTTGATTTCTCAAATAATACAGTTTAACAGTTGACTTACTTATAAAAGCTGATCAAAATTGTTTCCATCGACTGCAATGCAAGCTTGGGCGCGTCTAATCCAATTTCGGCGCACTAATTCAAATACACCTCCTTCCTGTTGTGCCTGAATGCTCAAATTAGCGGCAGCCACTGTGATTCCGTCACGCAATTCTTCAATATTCTGAACTGGAGTACGGTATACCTCGTCTTTCAAGTATCCCCATAAAAAGAAGTCCGGAGGATTTAGATCGGGAGACCCTGGAGGCCATGCAAATGGTCCACCCCTTCCGATCCAGCGTATCTGGTATACCCGGTTCAAAAAATCACGAACTTCGTGCAGAAATCACATCCGTGCTCGGACCGCCAATGGCACTTCTTCAAGAAGGACCGGCAAATCATTCCGAAGAAATTCCAAATACTGGTGATCATCCATCCGATCTCGCAATATGAACGGTCCAATTAGAAGTTCATTGACAATACCTGTCCACACGTTTAAAGAAAAATGATTTTGGAAAGTGCCTGGACCACTGCGTGAGGATTCTCTAAAGACTCGAGCATTTTCTTGCAACCATTCACAAAATCTTCCTTCCCTTAGGGGGGTAGTCTGTAGGTAGCAACGGTTGGACACACTGGACGTGATAAGCGTACAGTTGGACTTGTTGGGCTAACTGCCTTGTGCTTATTCCCGGATGTTCTTCCACCATATCCAAAATTTCGTCTTCGGCATTTAAAACGCGTTGTGGGCGAACCCGACCCCCATCCACTCCACGTCTGGGGCGCAAATCTCCGCTATCACATCCACGTAAAACAATTGAACTAAATGTTTCGTGATGTGGTATGTGCCTATTCGGAAATCGGTGTGCTTACAAACGAGAAGCCGCTTGCGAATTTTACCCTGCTTCTCCGTACGCTAAAACAAGGTCCACTAACTCCTCATTAGCGTACACATGTGCCATTTTTATTAATGAATAACTAAAAACATAAACTCGCAAAATACCTTCCTAACTTCACAAAAATCGACCGTTCTTCATTCAGATCACCCACGATACAGATTAAACCTTATTTGCACGTTCTTATCAGTATGAAAAAACAAAAAATTCCTGGCATTTTGTTTTCGTCAGTTGTTTGGTACAACATTTATATTTATTTTCCAATTTATTATCGAAACTCAGGTTTATAACTTAATTTCTGTAGGACTATTATCAGTTTTTTTTTGAGAAATCAACTTCTTTTGTAACAGTGCATATGTGGTTAAAATTTGTCGGATAAGTTGTGAAACACCCTGTATATAGTAAATAGAGAAACAGCTGTGTCTATATTCAGTAGAATACATTAATCAATGTGTAAACTCTATTTTGGCGAAAACAAACAAAAATGGCACCAGCATCGCCGACTTCAAGTAGCCATGGATAAGTAATAGATAGCATGAATTTTACATCTGACCGGAACAGTCGCCATCATCGGGGTTGCAGTTGATTAAACAGTAATGCGGGCTGATAAGCTTACCAAATACCACTCCAAGACAACACAAAACACAAATTGAACGAAACACACGTCACACGATTCTACCGACCTCTCGCGCAGATCCAACAAACAACTCTGCTGGCAACTGATACACTGGCACATCGCAAGAGCTCCTCCTGCTACTGGCGTTGCTTTCTGCAGATCCATTATACCCAGCTTCCGATAAATCTGCTTCAGACCTTAAGCTGTGTCTGTTTTGGCCGGTAGTCACGTCAACGCCAGAATCGGGAGCATCCGCGTCTGTGAGCTCCTGGATTTCTGGAACTGCTACTTCTTCTTCCACTGACTGCTAATAATGGAAAGTGAACAAACAAGGCGCATCCATGAAAGGTCAGGAAACTGAGGTTAATGGCTACCCACACATTAATACAAATCTTATCCTCTTATGAATATCAATTTAAGATGACCTAAATGTATTTTGTTCAAAAACAATACGATTTTTATATGACCATCAAAAGGTCAATGATCATCTAAATCTAACTTACAAGGACGATCGAGTGATGGATGGAGTATTTTAGACCATCAATAATTGTTCAAATAAATGAAGCAATACCTTAAAATGACACTTGAGAGACATACAGTTCACAATTTGAACTGAAAATGGCGCTGACACATAATGCGAATTATTTCTTATATCTAATTGTCGCTTTGCGATTTTTTTTTACATTTCAGAATTTAACTATACTAAGTACATATAAATCCGAACACCCAGTTTAAATGATTTTATTTTAATAAAATTTTGTATAAGTACTTAATGATGCATAATAAGTAAATGATAAAAATTTCAAAATGATTGCACTGCTTTAAAGCCCTTTGACCTTTAATAATGTGTGGATGCACCCTGATGTGCTACGCATTCTCCAACGCGCCTAGGCATGCTTCTGATCAGGTGGTCAATGTCCTCCTGTGGTATCTCATTCCAGGCAAGCACCAACTCCTCTCGAAGTGCTTCTAGAGTCTGAGGACGACGTTGCAAATTGAGCAATCTCCTACCCATCATATCCCACACGTGCTCAATTGGGGATAAGTCGGGAGATCTTGGTGGCCATGGTAACAATATGACATCATTATGTTGAAAGAAGTCTATTGTGACTCTTGCAACATGTGGTCGGGCATTATCTTGTTCGAAAGTTGGATCTGCCAGGGTGTCAAGATAGGGTAAAAGATGGGGTTCTAGAACTTCGTGGATATAACGCTGCGCGTTCATGTTACCTCTGATGAAGATTAAAGGTGACCTGGAACCATAAGCTATAGCACCCCAAACCATAACTCCAACAGTGTGATGAACATGTCTTTCAACAAAAAACTGTGGATACCTCCTTTCACCACTTCGCCTTCTAACCCTGGCACGACCATCGTGCATGCCTGAACAAAATCGAGACTCGTCACTAAAGACAATACTGTTCCATTCCTGATCCCAGAGTGACCGTTGTCTGCACCACTCAAGGCGATTGCGTCGGTGTTCTCGAGTTAAAGGGAGGACCCGGTGTGGCCGGTATGAAAACAAGCCAAAACTTCTCATTCGTCGGTAAACAGTTCGCATGCCAATAGGTCTTCCGTGTTCTGCAAACCATTCATTTGAAATGGACCTGGTAGTGGAGAAACGGTCCCTTAAGGCCAATAATCTTAGGCGGCGATCTTCACGGTCTGTTGTTCTACGGCGGCGTCCAGTGCCCCTTGCTCTTTGCGTACGGCCTTCTCAAAGCCATGCCTGACAACACCTAACCACAGTGTCTATACTTCTTTGCACTCTAACTGCAATTGCCCGAAAAGAAAGTCCAGCTTCCCGAAGTCCCACTATACGGCACCTATCAAACTCACTAAGTTGACGAAATCGTACAGGTCTCCGTACTCTAGGCATCGTAACCGATCGTAAAGGATGTCAAGAACCAAAATCCGCCAACGTTGATTCTTTACTGCGGCTGAAATATTCATTTTTAGAGCGTTAGTGAATTAAAAAAAAAGCAGTATAAAAACCGGAATGTCCAACTGATAAGGCTGAAAATTTTTTCACTTGTTATTTACAGTAAGATAAATACATTCACCAACTTTTATTAAAATAAAACCATTTAAACTGGGTGTTCGGATTTATATGTCACTTAGTATATTTTGTTGTTGTTGAAGATTTATTTAGCATTAATGCTACAAGGTCAATTTTGTATGATGATTCGGTTACATATTTTTCTTCAATCCGTTTTCTGTAATTTTACATTCTTGTCTATTAAAATTAAAATTACATCACTGTGTATTTTGATTGTTTATAAAGTGATTTTTTAATTTCACCTTAAATATTTTTAACTTCGAACTCTGTTTAATATCATTATTCAATTTATTAAATTCAAATACTCCCTTTTGAAATATAGATTTACTAGTTATACTACTATTACCATCTTGCAGATGAAAATCTATACTGCCTCTAGTTTCGTAGTTGTGATAATGACTATTTAAATTTGTGAAGTTCTTTAAATGTGGTGGTAATAAACGATTTTTTAATTTGAATATGAAAACGAGAACTAAATTATATATTAAATTTTTCACATCTAACCACTGCATTTCTTCTAACACAGACTTAATCCTAGCATATTTGTTTTTATTTAAAATGATATCAATGTCACGAGCAAGCTGCTTTGCTTTTTTTAGCAAAATGCCTTAGTAAGAGAATCTGTTACCTGGCTAACATTTGTAGAACTATCTGCACTCCCATTGAGATCATCTTCAGCACTGATGTGATACCTTCTACCAAACACTTCTCGCTGTTCTTCCCTATCTGTCGCCGCACGAGGCTCAGATATTGCATTACTAGAAATAAATATTATGAAGGCAATATTCAAGAGAATGGTATAAAAAGGTTTTAGTTACTTCAAACCTTAAACCAGTACAGGGTGATGCTCCTGTACAGACATGGCAGTTGAAGTGTCATAAAATCGCAAATCACGGCAAGGTGGTTCTGAATATTATGACCACCTTGACTAATGTTTCAGTTTGCGAGTATCACGTGTGTAGAGTTTGATTCTGTTTGTATCTACTCTATCATTGCTTCAGATGGGTTGTATACTCACCTTAATGTAGGTCTTTCCCACTGTGTAGTTCTAGCCATATGGTTAACATAATATGTCCTACCATTGGCATCTTGTCGTTCTTCCCAACCATCTGGTAAAGGAGTCTGGGATTCTGTTGAATTTCTTACGAACACCTGGAATACAAATATGTTTTGATGTTTCATGAATGACTTATTGTATGACGAAGGATGAACCAATTGGGTTAACATATTGACCAAAATTCAAAATTATTATAAACAAACTAAAGAAATCATCGATAGAACTCACACCCCTAAGTTTAAAGCACAAAACCAGGTAAATCCTGATTAAATGAATACAAAGCAATCACAATAAGATATAGAACATGTTTTTGATGCTCATTGCACCACACTCAGGAAAGGATACTTATACACTTTTACTGCAATGCTTATACACAGTCTGAGGAATATTTTCAACAAATATTAACAAAAATCTATCCAATTCCTTCTGATTGTTTACCAACATTTATACCTAACTGAAGCAGTATTAAGGTATGCCTCTGTCACTCGATGAAACGAGGTATTTTCAATTTCACTGAATGACCAACTGTTATTTGATGTCAAGTTTTAAAGTATTGAAATATCGTACAAATCATTATTAGTGAGACATTATCTTTATATTCTTGAATTCTGCCTAAGCGTCAACTAACCTGCGCCGCCTGTTCTACCCTCGGCTCCCCTCCGACAAACTCCCACTCTCCCGACCCTCCGTTCCCCTGTTCCCCATCCACTTCGCCGTCTTCAGGGGCCGTCCCTGATTCCTGCACCATCCTCTGCTGCGCAACCTGCGGCGGGGCCCTGGAATCCTGTAGGTAGGCGTGGTAGAGCTCCAGGTGGCCGCGAACGCGGGATCGGGCGCTGAAACCGCTGTGTTGCGATCAACGCAAACATCATAAGTGGGATATGCACCATGCAGAGCGATTGAAGATACAGCAAGGACGTGATGTGGCATGCGAAGTGCGAGGATCATTATTTGTCTATGTGGTGTTATGTATACCAAAATGTTAAAGATATGATGCAAATTAGCAAAGCTCAAGGGGTCTAAGTAAATTTCCTGTATATCAATATCAGAGATGGGTTATGTGCTATACAGGGTTATCCAAATTAAGTGTCCACCATTAGTAACTTTGTTATTAGTGAAAATACAAAGTTGTTTGAATTAGCAAACTAGTAGCATTTTTAACGCTGGTAAAAATGAGAAATAAAAAAAAAACAATTGAGAGTCGTTATTTTGATTTTTTTCAGTAAAATAACATTTTTTTAAATGGAAACCCCTGTATATTATATTTTTTTCTGTTAAAGCATCAAATTTTAAACAAAAAAGTTCATAATGACTTTTCCGCTAAAGTCAAAAATAAAGTCAAAATAACGATAAATATTTTTAATTATTTGCAGTATTATAATATTAAGACGGCTATGAAAACAACATGGCGTTCGCGATTTGACAGCATTAAGATAAGCGACAAATTGTTAAACTGGACATACTCGCAACTAGAAGGCTTTGGAAAACAATGATAAAATCAAATAATGTCAAACATTAGTGTAAATACTTGTTTATAAGCTTTATTGTGTCATTAATTTAAAGAAAAATGTTCTCCCATGAAGAAAAGTGTGATATGTTAGAATGCTATTTAGTGTGCAGAAAATCCTCCTTGACAGTGAATTATATCCCGCTCGCATTCAACCGTATGAACGATATTTTCTGAGACTTTATCGAAAATTTAGGGGCAACGAAAATGTTTTTGCTAAAACAAGGGCAAAAAAAGAATTCATAATAAGCGAGGCCACGGAAATTGCAGTTATTGGATATTTTGAAGCTTATCGTGAGAATTCAATAGCAGATATTCTCAAGGACTCTAATTTCAGTTATGGTACTGTTCAAAGGATTTTAAAAAAATACAAATTTATTCCGTATAAGTACCGACCAGTTCAAACGCTTTTGGCAGGGGATCCAGAGAGAAGACTTGTTTTTTGCCATTGGTATCTTAGCTTCTGTCGCCAAAATGTAAATAACTTTCGTTACCTTTTATGGACAGATGAATCAAATTTTTCAAATTCTGGAATGTTTAATAGAAAAAACCACCATTATTGGTCAAGAGAAAATCTTCTGTTAGTACATCCAAGAGGCCCGCAAGTCCGTTTCAGTTTCAACGTTTGGTGCGGTATAATTGGTTCAAAAATTGTTGGTCCGTTCTTTTATGAGGGAACCCTAACTGGTGAAAGATATGTGGAATTTATGTCAGAAATTCTGACTAATTTCTTAGACGAATTGGATCTTATAAGTAGACATCATCTGCATTTTCAGCAAGATGGCGCACCTGCCCACAACTCCAGAGGTACTTACCATTTTCTAAGTACTACTTTTAATGATCAGTGGATAGGAACAAATGGCCCAATACAGTGGCCTCCCAGATCACCAGATCTAAACCCACTTGATTACTTCTTGTGGGGTTACTTAAAGAACCAAATTTACAAGCGAAGGTACGATAACCTTGACGCGTTAAAGACTGCAGTTAGGGAAAAGATAACCCAGATAGATGGTAGGACCATACTTAAGACAGTTCGAGCAGTTGAAAAACGTGCCCAAAAATGTATTGAAGAACAAGGTGGTGTTTTCGAGCATCTTCTTTAAAAAAATTGTTATTGTATTTTGTAAGATTATAAGTTGATGTTGAAAATAAAGTTTGTCGATACAATTTAATTGTTTCAGATTGGAGGCCATAACTTCAACAATTTGTAACCTAGGAGAAAAGTTATTGTAAGCTTTTTTGTTTAAAATTTGATGCTTTAACAGAAAAAAATATAATATACAGGGGTTTCCATTTAAAAAAATGTTATTTTACTGAAAAAAATCAAAATAACGACTCTTAATTGTTTTTTTTTATTTCTCATTTTTACCAGCGTTAAAAATGCTACTAGTTTGCTAATTCAAACAACTTTGTATTTTCACTAATAACAAAGTTACTAATGGTGGACACTTAATTTGGATAACCCTGTATACAATGATTAAGAGGCAGGAAGGGATATGAGACAATTTATCGTTATTTATGATTTATATTTTTAAGTGTTTATGCTGTTTAAATTTTATTTCTTCAGGTGTTTCATACATGATTCAAATGTTGAAACATGCTCAGAGCTTAATGTGAAAAAAATAACGCCCCGAAAGTTGGATCTGACAATATTTGGAAATGAAAGTGATTTTCCTCTTAGTTAAAATATACAAGACATTTTTGGTATGAGGGCTTACCAAATGTCTCTCGGACAAATCTAGTAAATTTCAAAATTTAATTTATGACAACAGGCTCAAAATGGAATCAAAACAATGTGGAAATTACCGAATGATCTATTTCACCATATTTTTTAAATAAGGGGTCTCCATGAGCATTATTTAAATAGCACAAAAATTATGTAAACTATTTTTAACTAACAGCAAAGTGTTAAAAATACACAGAAATCAGATAGGCAAATAAAGCTGTGAAAAAGCTAGAAATTAAGTGGAAAATAAACTATGCAACCCTTTTAACTTGACTGTTGTTATATATACCGGGTGCGCCATCTTTTATGTTGGTATTGAAACATCGAATGACTGATATTACCAACCGAGTGATTTGGTTATACGTGTTTCTGAAACGTAATTTACTACAATTTTAGTCATGAATCGCTTTACACCAAAACAACGCGCCGAAATAGTCACAATGTACATTGAAAATCGTCGTTCAGTTGTGTTAACGCAACGTGTATATCGTCGAAAATAACGTGGCAAACAGGCACCGTCTGACAACACTATCCGTCGTTTGGTTTCGAATTTTCTTGAGTACGGGACAGTGGGAGATCGTCAACATACTGTTCATCAACCACTAAGACGTTCCAATGAATTGGTTGAAGCAGTCAGAGTCAGTGTTGTCCAGAACCCAAAAGTGTCGTATCGTCACCGCGCTCAGCATTTTGGCATCAGTGGAACCACATTGCGGCGCATTTTGAAGGATGATTTGCATTTGTTTCCTTATAAGGTGCAGTTAACACAAAAAATATTGCCAACTGACATCCACGTCGCTTGGAATACGTCCAAACAGTCACTCGCATGGTTGATGCTGAACCTGATTTTTGGAAGCAAATTGTGATGACCCACGAGGCCCATTTCACACTCTCTGGCGGCGTTAATAAGCAAACCTGCAGCATTTGGCGGTCGGAAAATCCACATGAGATCCACGAAATGCCATTGCATGACCGGAAAGTGACTGTTTGGGCCGGCGTTTGCGCCAAAACCATCATTGGGCCATTTTTCTTCAACGAAAACGAAACAGGCGATGGAAATCGATATCGGTGGATGGTGGCTCATTATGTCTGCCCAGAAATGCGTGAAAAAGGTCTTGATGGTTATTGGTTTCAACAAGACGGTGCGCCATGCCACAATGCAAATGAAACAATGCAGTTTCTGCAACGAAAATTCTATAGATGTCTGATGTCAAAAAGAGGTGACATTGACTGGCCACCCAGGTCTCCAGATTTAACACCACTGTATTTCTTCTTGTGGGGTTATTTAAAAAGTCAAGTGTACGCCAGCAAGCCCCAGACCACTGAAGAACTCAAGGCAAATATTCATACCGCAATCGCCACTATACCACCAGAGATGCTCGAAAAAGTAATGGAAAACGCAGCAAAACGGGCACATTTTGTTTTGGCCAATAAAGGTGGCCACTTGATAAATGTTGTGTTTAAAAACTAGTCCCAATAAATTGTTAAGGACCATATTTAATGAAAATACCTGATATATAGAAATCAGTTTTTCATTTTCAAAGTTATTTCATGTTTTCATACTGACATAAAAGATGGCGTACCCTGTATATATCATTAAAAGTGCAGTGTAGAAGTATCAGTTATGAAAAGTTCTGCAAAATGTAATAAAATTGATTAAAAGACTGAAATCATGCCGGCATTATTAAAGAATCCTCAATTTTAAATTACATTTGATTTGAAATGATTTGTTTTTTTAAAAGCAGATTCCAATAACCACCTGTAGAGTATAATAATGATATACAATGGTTAAATGATTTAAACAAAGATTATGGTAGACTAATTACAATGAATTTCCCAGATTCTGACCTACAGAAAGCAAACTATTTTGGGTCAATTCGAGTTTATAAAGTCATTAGACAAGACAGATTAAACTACTCTGCCTTGAGCATTGACTTGCAACTTTGATTCTGAAATGCAAAATTACATCCACATGCATTTAAATGCAAAGAAAACAATCATCTGAAAAAAAGATCAAGTAGTTTGATGACGAAAAGATATGTCAAAAATGCAGAAGCAATAAATTTTTCAATTTAACTTTACACAAATGACTATACAAACAGTTTACTAAAACATGGGTAGGAAACATAAAAGGTAAGCTATCAAAAATCAAATAACACTCACTTAATCTATCTATCTATCAACGTACCTTCTAGGCAAAAGTACATATTTAACTGTTGGTATTGTCCTATCAGGTTGTTCTCTAGGTAAATTAATCAATGACAATTCTACCATTCCTAAAAAGTCATCCCTAGTGAGTCTATTTTCATCAAAAACCTGCAACACTAGTTTGTGCTCTGCTGGCTTAACCTGAAATGGAATTTCATCAGTAATATACTCAAGATATTAATGTTAAATGATGTGCATACCCTGAATATAAATTCTTCATTCCATTCTGGATTGAGTGTCTAGAATAAAAAATACAATGAAATATGGTGTAAAATTACATATAATTTGATAAATACCCTCTTTTTGGTTTTTGTCAGCACAGAATCTATAGTTTCATCTCCATTTGTTGTATTCAGGTCAATACGAACATAAGGATCACTAAAAAAAATATATGAAGTGTGTTTTTCTAAGGCATCTGGGATTTCTTACCTTGCACCAAATATATCCTTTTTCATCAGATTTTTCCCTCGAATCACTTTGAGTCTAATATTGCTAGTCGGTTCCTCACTCTGTAACAATTTGAAAACCTTTCAAAAAAGATTACAGTTGAAATCAAAACAAATTGAATGGGTAGTAATAAAACGTTTATTTTCAACTGTGACAGTGGGATTTTTTCGAAGAAAAGTCTACGTAGGCAGCGCGTAGCACCGATAAATTATTAAATTAGAGTAATTAAATAATGCATTTATCTGTGGTGGAATGTCAGATTCCAGTGGTAACCTTCGATTTGGGAGGCGCAGCAAAAAATACTCACATATCCATCTATTGCTATTTGCGGCACGTATCCGAATATGTTGTCTGATGCCATTAAAATCGAAAATCACGTCGCAGGTTTCACATTAAAACACAAATTTTACTCCCACAGCCAAGAAAACCAAAATCTTTTTTGTCACAATAGTGACATTTCAATGACATGATGAATTGACAAGTTGACAATCACGAAATTTCAGACTTGTAATGACCATCTTGCACCTCACAAAGGGTGCGTTCCGTTATAATTTTCCCCCAGTCTGTGTATGCTACAACTTTCCTTCATCTCTCGCTATTTATTTTAGCTGTTTTTAGTGTCCCTGAAAAATGGCTCGATTCATGCGCTTCAAATGTAAAGGGTACATTTTTTAGCTGAATGACTTAAAAACATCGACGTTGAGCTATTATGTTCAGTAAATATCGCGTTAGGCCTAGTCTGCTCCGTAGGTTTCTAAATTATTGTAGAGAAACCGATATTCAGTAGCGTTCTTCAAGCGCCTGTATCTCCACATCGACGCACCGTAGGAATATTTTGTACAAGGATTGTCGAATTACTCTTCAGTATTTTGATTAGTACGAGCGAAAATAATCAGTGATCAAATCTCGGCGAAGCCTGTACCATCTTCAAGTGTCAATGACCTAGTCCATTTGAAAGTAGCTATATGCCTATTTAGTTAGATACGTTATAGATTATGAATAATTTTATTTCCTATATAACATGAAGTGCATTTTACGTTTAACTTGGCTAAAAATGCATCTGAAACTCAGTCTGTTAATTTTAACACTTAACACTAACAATGCCAACACTTACTGCGTACCTAATATTTATACTATAGTCGATCAAATTTGTGGCAATTAACGGTACCTATACTTTTGGTAACAAGTATTACTTAAACACAATTTCAACTTTACATAATTAATAGAAAAATCATGAAGTCAAATGTAGAAAAGCTCTAAGATGATATGCTTATGATCAATTAAAAGGTTCATAACCAGTCTTTTGACCAGTGATGGTATGTTTAGTGTTAATTTAGCTTTGTTTTATCGTCGCTGACTTAGAAATTTGGAGTATATCCGTTTGATTAATGCCAGTACAGTTGTTGATATAACATTCATTTTATACGTTATATGTATAAAGAAATTTTAAAATAAACATTTTTTCTCTATTCAACGTAAAGCAAACACATATAAGGACTTTGAACTACGACTCGTTCGTCAGTATAATATATGTATCGTGTATCTCGCTATACGTATAGTAGCTAAAGATCGTAGGAAATTTTCAGCCATAATGCCAATCAAATATTATTTTATTAACTATGAAATAAGTATGAATAAGCAACTTCTTTCGTCAAGTAAAAGTTTCAATAAGTTTCTAGTTTGACACAAAAATGTGTGCCCAGTCACTATTGCAAGACCATGACAATTCCGAATCAAATTTAAAATCATCGTCCTTTTCAGTTTTTTTTTTCGATGAATTCAAAACGTTTCTAACGGTGTCTTCGAAAATGCATGAACATACTATTGTCTAGTTATAAACATCCATCATACTGACGCTGATACCTCATCAGTAGCCTCTGACAACATTTTGAAATATCACACATACAAATATGTATGTAGTTCTAATAATAATTAATAGAAAAGATGCTCAATATCTCTTCATGAGTATGAACTTCTGTCATATGTCAAGAATAAAGTCATGTGTAGCGTACTATTCATCTGTGGTCATGTGATAAAAGATTTCAGCAGACCTCTGACATATTTCAATACATTTTTTATTTTCCTCCATTTTTATATTTAAATATGAACTTACCGTCCAAACTGATCTTCTTTGGGTTCTAGCTTGGGTGGCAGTAATAGTGACGCCATTATTAGCATCAACAACTGGTGATCTCGCCGCATTAAAGGAGACACTGCGAGGTCTACTGATATAGGGACTCCCCAAAAGTTGTCTAGAGACATTACCATTTCGAGTTCCCGACATCTGTACATGTTTTTACACAATAAACTTCACAAATTTCAGCACTTTCTCACTTTAATAATGCCATTAGATGTTCTTTAATTTCTACTGCTAGACCTTATTACGTTTAGCAACGGTAAAGTGTACACATATATCTGGCTCCTTATCTCCAAAGACACGATTATTAGCGTAAACAACAGATAAGATGTTGATGAGATACATCAATATTTTTAACTGTAAGTTAGTCAGTAATTTAGGTGTATGAATTGTAACATGACCGTAACATAAAAACACTTTTGACTGAATGGAAACAAAATTGGAATGAAATATCAGTACAGTTGAATCTAATAAAGTAGTTGGTTCAATATTATATCATATAGCAATTTAAACTAAGATTGGATGTGTGGGATGTGGGATCATACAGATCTTTCAAATCACATGTATTTTGCTTTAATGTATAACTTGTTTAGTTAGTTCATGCATATTCATAAGCGATCATCGATCATTTATTACTTTTTCATGTAAAATACCCAGGCAGGAAACTTAATCTTGCTTATAAATGATATCGGAATTGAAATTGTCCACTACTATTTAACACAGGGTTATGTATCTAATATTCTGACCACAGAACACAACTCTGAATTCTAACGTGTGATCACAAATATTTGAAACAACTTTGGTGTATTTAATTTTTCATTCAACGGAATATCAATGTTTTGCCTTAAAAAAGTATATCTGAGTGTTGTCAGTTTTTTCTATAACACGCAAAACTGGTCTTTGCTGATATTGAGCGCTATTAATTTTATTGTTTCACGCGATCTCTCGGCTTGGCATCTGGAAGACATAAATATAAATTGTATTGTCAATATCACGTTTAGTTTGTACTTTAAAAAGGCCATCCAGGTGGCCGAAACTTCAGTGAACAGTCAATCTACAATGGTGCCAATTACAATAGAAATAGTCTTATCATATTAGCAAATTTACCCGAAATAATTGTAAAGTCTGGTTTTATTGATGCAAGTTGTACAAGAGGATATTTAAAACATGCACGCATAAAATTGGTACCCCAATTTTTGTGGGAAAACTTTTGATTCGACAACAAAGAATGATAAAACGTGTTTTTTGGGATTCAATTGAAAGTTCTGTCAGAAACCAAAAAAGTCTTCAAATAAGATTTTTAGGTATTTATAAGACGTACAGAATGAGATCACACGTAAAAAGATCCGACTAATAGTGAAAAAGTTATGGCCGAAAACCGCGACAAATTTGTGACGTCATAATCTCTGTCATGACGTAATAAGTTTTTCCGCGTTTATGTGGAGATTAGCCACATAAATATGGTGCTCTATGTATATTTAACTGCTTGGCTACTTAAGGTATAAATATGGCCACTGTTTATGTGAAACCCTACTTTCTGTCATGGTGGTTGGGCTTCAGTAGGATGTTATTATATAATCAAGTCCTATTGGTTGTTTCCTTCGGCGTGGATCCCTCTCAAGACAAATGTTGTACCCGCCCCTGGATCCTAATTATAGAGGTCACTCAAAAGGCTCTAAATTTTTGACATTAAAATGTCATTTTCGCTACTCCGTAACTGACAAAAAGCTAACCTTAACCTTTTAAACTAGTGTCGGTAAATATTAATCAAATGTAGTTTTCACAGTTTGTGTTTCAATATAGTTTTTTTTGTGGCAAATGTGATTTAAATTATAAACGATGAGTGATCCGTTCTTAACTGATTTTGAAAAGCTGCAAATATCAGCTTTCACCAAATACAGCAAAATCTGCAATGATGTGAAAGAAGTTACGATTGGACCAAATGCTTCTAGACATGATATAAAAGACGAAGAATTCGAATCCCCGAAGAAAAGCGTCCGTAAAAACACGCAAACTGATATTGTAAGCCCTAAAAGCGTAGAATTGAAGAGTACTTACAATGTATTGAAAAGTAGGAATATACAAAATGAACTACAACGCCACAAAAAACTCAGGGCTGCTATTCAAGCTAGAGTGTCCAAGGTAGAAGAATCTGCGAGGAAGCAGACGGAAGCTAACAGAAATGAGTGGCTGAAGGAGCAAGAAAAATTCATAAAGGATCTAGAGGAAAAGGAGGGTAGCATACTTCAGGTAAAACATACAGTTGTGAAGGCTCTACCATACCCCTATCTGTACTTATGTAAACATCATTCCTAAAATTTAATAGCATTTGTATATACTTTCAATTTCAACACCTAGGCACCTGCTATGTTGGATAGAAGACTGATTTACTGGTATGTACCAGGTGAGAAAGGTTAAATGAAAATAAGACTAACTTAACTTAAATGTTGATGGATGACTTTTGTATATAGTCTGTAACACATTATTACAAAGTGCCATAACTTCTGCAAGGTGCTTTAAACAAGGTATTCCACTATAAATTGATCTCTTTCCAACTTCATTGTATGATAGTTTAGAAAAGAAGTTGTGCTGGTTTCTTTGTATTCAGAATATCTTTGGAAAAGTCCAATAGATAAAGTTATATATTTTTTTAAATGGGGCATTTTATTCAATAGCACTGAGATCCTGAATACAAAAAAGGCACTGCATGCAAAAATGTATATGACTTTCTATAAAATGCTCATACAAAAAAGTTAGAGGGAGGTCAATTTACTATAATGGGACACCTTGTTTATAGCATATAAGTTATAGCCTGGGGAAAGTGTCTGGTAGTGCTAAATTTTATTTTGTAATAATTTCTTGCAATGTGTATATGAAAATCAACAATAATAATTTATTTAATTAGGCATTATTTTAACGGCTCCAACAAAAACTGTAGTAACTCAAATTTTACTTAAAACTTGAACCTTTAAAGTCGATTTATTCAAATCTGTGGATTTTGAGTTACAACAGTTTTCATTGGACCCTTCGATTTGTATTCTACCTATCTTACCTAGTACCAGTCATTCAGCCCTATACCCAATTTAGCATATACACAGGTGTTGAAAGTACATATAAATACTGTTGATTCCCCCACATTATACCTTTCAGAAAATAAGCAATGTCTGGCATCCCTCAAATCTTCAACAATCCAATGTTCTGTACAACTAATTAATTTTTAAGATATCAGCAATAGACACACTTCATTTTTTTCAAACAAATCATTTTTGTAAATAAAATGAAATGCTTTATAGAAAAAATTCAACATCATATCTTGAAATATATCCATACTATCAATAAATTGATATAAATTTCAAGTTTGTATTATGTTCAAGCATTTACTTGCCTTACCATTATCAGCTTGTTTAGTGCATGAATAAATTTCTCTATCAAGTCAGGTTTTAAAGTGGTTCATTTGTGAAGCATCAATCCATGCTCGTTTAGTTTATTCCAAATGTAAACCATTTGGTTAGTTGTTTTTATAATGACCATTTTGTATCTGAAATTTTGTAAAGCCTTTATTTTTTCTCTGTAAATAAACCTGCATTCATTGTTTTGCTAAAAACAGGTTATTAAATTACAGGCAAAGCAAGAACAGGAGAGAAAGGCTCTTGAAGAACAAGCTAAGCAAGAAGAATTGCAGCAAATAGTGGCAGAGCGCAGGCGACAACAGCAAGAGGAACTTTTGGCTAAACAAAAGGAGACAAAGCTTGTGCACTCATACATTGAGAAGATTCAAAAGTATCAACAAGAATTTGGGCAGTTGTACCAACAGATTGTTCCTTTAGTACCAGCTTTAAGAGGTCGAATCAACCAAGAGGATATCAAGCAATATTTTAGTTCACTCAATAGTCAAAGGGAGCATCTTGAAGAGATCACAAACAAATGTAAAATTGGACAAGTGACTGAAGGTAATAGATGGAACTTTTTTATCAACTTCTTTTGCTTAGATTAATCAAGGATTCATGCAAACACTTAATGGTTCGGGTTTGTTACAATCAAGGTATGATAAAGATAAGTTTGTATGAATCCAGAATTATTAGTTGCAGTTATTTTATTTCACTATTTCCCTCTATGCAGGTGATGTAAAGAAATGCTCTGAAATTATCGCACAAACCACAAACCTTCGCACAACAATCAAAGATGTTGTTGGAAGTATCACTCAAAAGAAGCAAGATCATGTTACACCTGCTACGACTACAGCAGCCAGACCTACAGCTCCTCCTCCAACAGAAGCAAGACCTGCTATTCAAAAACCAACACCTGTGTTTCCACAACCAAAACCTGCCATTTCAAAACCAACACCTGTTTTTCCTCAAGCAGTACCTTCTGTTTCTCAGCCAACATCTACTGCTTCACAACCAACATCAACTGTTTCACAGTCAACACCTGCATTTGATCTCTCAAAACTTACAGCTGGTCTTTCGTCACACCCAACATCTACTGTTTCACAGTCTGCTCTTCCCCAACCAAAACTTGCTGTTTCACAACCACCAGCTTTTCCTCAACTAAAACCTGGAGTTTCACAGGTAACCTCTACTGTTTCCCAACCAACACCTCTTCAAAAACCAATACCTACTTTTTCACAACCATCTGCTCTATCACAGCCAGCATCAACTGTCTCGCAACCTACTCCTGTTGTTTCACAATCAAGACATCTATTTCCGCAACCGACACCTCTTCAAAAATCAACACTTGCTTTTCCACAACCTACACCTGCTGTTTCACAGCAAACACCTGCAGCATCACAACCCACATCAACTTCTTCACAATCAGCTTTTGATCTTTCACAACTAACATTTGATATTTCACAACCAACACCCGCCGCTTCGCAAACCCCTACTGTTTCACAAGCAACGCCTGCGCTTTCACAGCCAAAACCGACTCTTGCACAACCAAAATTTGGCCTTTCACAACCAAAACTTGCTCTTTCCCAACCTACACCTGCAGTTTCACAATCAACATTTTCTTTTGCACAGCCACCATCTACTGTTTCACAACCAACACCTACCTTTTCACAAGCAAAACCTGCCTTTTCACAACCAATACCTCCTTCTTCTCAACCAAAACCTGTACCCACGACCTCAGCTGCCCCAAGTCAGCCTCAAGTTGAAGCAGTAAAACCGACTCATAAGCTAGATAAGTACGTCAGTCTATCAACTTTGAAGATGTATGCAGAGATCATGGAGTTTTATGAGAAACAAACTGCTTCCTTCAAAGAATTGGAAGCAGATCCTGCTTTGAAACAGTTTAGGTATGTGGTTTAACATTATATCATAATACTCTATGCTTGCATGTAAGTGCATTTTTGTTGCAGGCATATACAGGGTGAGTTTTGAGCGCGAGATCATTTGTTATAAAATATATCTAAAAAGCAATTTACAAAAATTATAGGCAACTATACTCTTTTTACTTGGTAAACATGGTAACGTCTTTTTATTTGTAAAACTATATCTATTCTACCATCTTGCCTCCTTAACAATATGATGTATAAAAGCTAAAAATTTGTTAAAAATTAATACCTGTATACAATAACGACAACAATAAAGCATAATCAATGTAAAGGCATAAAGAACACAAGAGGTCAGTTAACATGTATTTGTTACAAAATATTTCTTGAATTTGTGTAATGAATCAGTTAATTTTAAACTACAGTCTAAGGAATCATATAATTTGGGACTGAAAAAGTCTCGCTATATGACGGTGTTTTTGAATAAACAAGCCTGTGAGTCATAATTAGGAGCTGTTATTTGTACATTTCATCAATTTTCAACCATTTGAGGTCATTAATGACTCTCAATATAGGATCATATTTTCCGACATCATTTACAATCCTGCAACATGTATTCATAATACTATAAATACGACTTTTTGTTATAATACCTAAATAGATACAGTAAATCACTAAACAATACAATATTTTTTAAAACAAGGAAGAATACTATAATACCTAGTTAAAATGATCCACAACTATTTTATTACCTTTTAAATGTATGTTTGTAATTTTTTAAAGCATTCATTTTTGTTTTATTTGCTTATAATACTATACTGTACTAACATATTTGCCTATAAAGGGTCCAAACAGAGATTACTACTAAACTTTTCAATTTGGACAAGATCTTGATTAATGTAATTATTTGCTGTTTATATCATTACTCCTAAATGAATAACAGGGGTCCCAAGACAGGTCCATGTGCTACACTAGAACATTTTTTGTGCAGTTGAGTACTATTGATTTATACGAACTTTTTGAATCCAATTTTCAAGGTAGATTTGAATAAACGAAAGATGTCTTTTCAGAAAATCCATAAAGCCAAATTGTTTAGATGGAATAATTTTGTTAGAGTATAAGCAGTAAACTTTTCGGTCTCATTTGACCATAGTAGGATCAATACACTAACAACTATAGCTGTTTCACTAATTTGGGAACTATCCCCTCCCTAGATAGCAGTTGATTGTATGTAACATATATATATATATATATATATATATATGAGAAGTAGTCATTGCCAAAGCCAACGACTAGTTGGGTACAAAATACAATTACTTGTTAATTGGCAAATTGGCAAAACTTTTAGGCTTAAGTTGACTCTTTTGACGATAAAATCAAGCTTTCGGCATTCTCTATGGAGCCATCATCAGGATTTCGTCGGTGAGGTTGCAGCCACAAGGTGTTTCAGAAAGAACGTAGAGAAGATCGAACTTGTGTTCAGTATAAAAACAAAGGGACGGGGACATTGGGCTTGTTAAAAAAACGACAGATACCTTCGTTAAAAGTTAAGACAAAATAAAAATTATATCAATACACCCGAACAAGCTAAGAATATTATACGTGGGGAGACATGTCTCATATATATATATATATATATATATATATATATATATATATGATTGATAAATAAAAAAGACTCTCAAAACGTTTATTTTTAGAAATGTCCCACATTTTCATGACAGATCATTGCATGAATAAAAAGGCTGATGTTAAGCAGCTCAGTGTCATTTATTCCTACCTGTTGAATTGCGAAAAGCTAGAACGGCTACATAGCCAAATTGAACCAACATCTTCACAAAATTAGAATACATTTTCTCACTCAAAATTCATAATATAAACTCGTATACTTCATACCCAAATTTGGACAAGGAGGTTTACAGTTCCACGGTCCGTCGCGTCAATCACTTGTCATCTGTCTACGCTTTATCTTTCCGTGCCGTCCCCCTCTCCACGTGTAGCGGAAGTAGGAGGTTAGAGACTGCATTCCGATTGTTTCACTAAAATGTCTTCTCACGTGGAATAATTTTTAATTTGTTCGGGTGGATTGATATTTTTAACATGTAACGAAGGTATCTTTCGTTTTCAACAAGCCCAATGTCCCCGTCCTTTTGTTTTTATACTGATTACAAGTTCTATCTTCTCTACGTTCGTTTTGAAACACCTTGTGGCTGCAGCCTCAACGACGAGTAAGTTGTTTGACAATTTAAATCTGTCCTGTTTTCTTTGCTAGCATCACAATTGTGTTTTCAGAATCCTGATGAAGGCTCCATAAAGATTGCCGAAAGCTTGATTTTATAGTCAAAAGAGTCAACTTAAGCCTAAAAATTTGTCAATTTCCCAATTAACAAATATATATATATATATATATATATATATATATATGTCAAGTACTCATCAATTTCATATATACAAGGTATCAAATGCCAGTGGCGAAGCGTCCATGTAACCATTGTTACCATTGATAACAGTTAAAAATCTTAAAAATAAATATTTTATTTAATTTTTATATTTTGACTGTGAAATAAATTCATTTATTTGTTTACCAACAGCAATATGTAATAGTAATTCAGTAAATGGCAAATTAGCCCCACGAAAATAATGCGCCCTATACTGTCTAGGTTTTGCGAATGCCATAAAGCTGACTCGCCTCGACTTGGTTGTCGGTTGTTACAATTTTTGTTTATGGATACACTTGATGGTCCGTCGGGGACCGTCGGAACCGGCTCGTGTCTGATCGCGGTCGCCCGGGTGCTTGGGCCGCTGCGACTATTATGTGGGCTTGTTACCGTTTTTTGATATGGTTACTCACTTCTCACTCGTTAGTAGCCGTTTTGGTTACTGGCTGTAGTGTGGGTGCAATTAAACATGGATGAGTGTCGCTGCGTAATCGATCAATACTTGAAAAGTCATTCTCCTTGTATAATTTTTAAGAAAATAAGGAGATCATTGAAAATGGAAGACCAACACCTATTTTAGATAATTTTAAAAAGAAATAAAAAACGTAGTTTGATATTTTAAATTAAGTTGGTATATGGAAACTCTTGGTTATGTGGTTTCAAAAAAACATATTGTATTGTTGGCGATGTCTTCTGTTTTTTACAGAAAAAAATGGGTGGACCAGCAGCGAAGTCAACGGTTTAAACAGTTTTAGAGTTCTAAAGAGGAGACATGATATTTCTCCATTACATGTGAGATGTGTAGCCAATGTGATTCAGTCTGGGAAAACAAGAATTGAAAGTTGTCTCTTTTAGGCAGCACACTTATAGATGTATTTGGCCAAACAAGAATTAACATTTCGGGGTCATTTTGAAGGGGATGACTCTGACAACACAGGAAATTACAGGGTTAACATTAATTGCCAAAAAGATCAAAAAATTTCCGAACATTTAGAAACGTCAACTGTTTTTCTGGAAGGCTTAGATTAGTCATAGCATAAGACGATGAGGTATATCAAGTGGTCCAGACGCTCAGTCCAGCAATGTTCACCTTAATTCAAAAAAAAGTTTAAATAAAATACCTAAAATAAGCAAAAAATTGTATTTCGGAGGTCCAAAATAAACTTTTTTTAATAAGTTTTTTCACATCTGGTTGTGGTAACAGCTTAGGAGAAGTCACGCGTCGCCACTGTCATATGCAAGGTTATTTCATCTGAACCACTAGTGTTTGAGTTTATTTTATGAATAATTTTAACAATGGTATCAATATTTATCTTGCTAAATTGAAATTCGGATTCTGAATTATTTTTATTAGCTCGGTAATATGTAGTGTTATATTGGATTGCCAGTCTGGCGTTATGGAATATTTTGCTTATGAAATATTTTGTCCGAAAAAACAATCAATTTTGACCGCTTGACTCTTGCATATAGAGTAGCAAATTTTTTTACAAAATAAGTCGTCTTAACTTCTCGTCATTCAGGCATTTCTAATGTTTGTGTAAATACTTTTTAAGGTAAAAATCTATATTCTGTCGAAATGAAAGTTCTGGAACACAGCTCGAAGAATTTTAGACTTCAGTAAAATTATTTGTTATTCCACATTTTGGCGGATTATTGCGTACGTCGCTCTTTGTTACAGAGATGTTCTAAAACGAAAACATTCATTTTTTTTGAAAACCTGTTGTTTTAGTTCGCGGTCAGAACAAATCCATAGTCTTCACATGTACAGGGTGATTCACAAATTGTGACCAAAAATGAAACATCATATACAGGGCCGCATTTTAATGGGGATCTTCTATGTAAAATTGTTCCTCGAGGGCTTCATTAAAAAGATACGGGGTGTTTAAAAATAAAAAATAAAATTTTAATATCTTCAAAACCGTCAACTGGAATAAACTAAAATTTGGTTTGTGGATTTAGTATTGTCCACATTCAAAAGTCTCTACTTAAAATTAACGTGCACCAGTGGCGGAGGTACAGGGGATTAGTGGCATTATTTTTCCAAATAAAAATAGTAGGCCACTGTTTTTTTTTCAAAACTTTTCGATTTTTACCTTCAATTTGCTACAAATAATTACTCTTGTGCTTTGTCCTAGAATGCTTTGTTTTCGTAAAACTAAAAAAAAGCACATTAGTTACCTAATTAAAACTTTATTACATGTGCGGCATCTTATTAATAAAAAAAAACGTATTTCGGCAAAATTTGTTTTGGTTTGAATTTGACGAAACGCAATATCTATCCTTTCTTATTATTGCTCAGAGGATTCAAATCAGTAGACCTCGCAGGCTAATGTACGGGCCTGTTTCTGCCAATCCATCGTTGTCTAAAATGATTACGAACATGCGATGGGGCACCGTCGTGCGGATACCACATTCATACTCTCGTTGCTAACGGAATATCATCTGACACATTTTCTTGTAATTCTCTACAAAAGCTTAGTATGAGTTTGCATTTAAACGTTGGGACAATATGTGCAAAAACAGTTGGCTATTGAAAATGCCGCACCAGACATTTCTCATCATAAATGTTGAGTGGATTCTTACAGAACGGGGATTTTCTAACGACCAAATATGTTCATTATGAGAATTAAAGGTTCCACTTCTCGTAAAAAGCGATTCATCTGACCACAAAACCAAATCAATAAAATCTGCATTTTGATTATGCATTTGTAGTAACCAGACACAAAAATTACGCCGTTGCACTTCTTCGCCGGGTTGCAGACATTGCACATTTTGCCGATGTAAAACTTCCCGATTTAAAATTCTCCACGCAAGATGGAGGGGAATATGGTAACTGGCCTGCCATCCGCCTAGTACTTGTACTAGGATCATCCAACGCCAAATTAATCACTTCCAGTTCCTTTTGAACAGTATGCCGGACACCATGGCCTCTAACTCCGGGAAGTTTGGCAATTCCATATTGCCGAAGTCTTAGAACTGAACGCGTAAAAACCTTTGGGGTAGGTTGGCGTCTTTTAGGAAATCAACGGTGATACTCCCGAGAAGTCGCTAAAACATGTCCATTACCGAACCCGTACTAAAAAATAATATATCGGCGTACTCATAATTGCTAAATTCCATTTCACAACACTCAAAAATTGGAAAAAAACTTTTAACTTGACTTTAACAAAAAAAAATGATAGGAGTAACGATAACAACCGTATAACACATAACTTTAATAAACTCTTTCCCAAGAAACGTCAAGTTGGTATCAAGGCCTCCTATTTTATTTTGAAACTAATTGTATCCCAGCTTTTCATGAAGGATCTAAATTGTTTTATTTTTTGAAAACAGTGCACTCTAGGAAAAAACACAAGAGTAATTATTTGCACCAAATTAAAGATAAAATTCGAAAAAGCGCGCGTTTCGAAAAAAAAAACAGTGGCGTACTATTTTTATTTGGAAAAATAATGCTACACATCCCCTGTATGTCCGTCACTGATGCACGTTAATTTTAAGTAAAGATTTTTGGATGCGGACAATATTCAGGTAAATCCACATACCAAATTTTAGTTCATTCCAGTTGACGGTTTTGAGGATATTGAAATTTCTTTTTATTTATATATGTATAAAATATATATTAATTTTTATGTTTAAACTTCAACACCCCGTATCTTTTTAATGAAGCCCTCGAGGAAAAAATCTTACATAGAAAACCCCCTTAAAATGCGGTCCTGTGTATGATGTTTCGTTTTTGGTCACGATTTGTGAATCACCCCGTACATGTGAAGACTATGGATTTTTCTGGCCGCGAACTAAAACAACAGGTTTTCAAAAAAATTAATGTTTTCGTTTTAGAACATCTCTGTAACAAAGTACGACGTACGCAATAATCCGCCAAAATGTGGAATAACAAATAATTTTACTGAAGTCTGAAATTCTTCGAGCTGTGTTCCAGAACTTTCATTTCGACAGAATATAGATGTTTACCTCAAAAAGTACTTACACAAACATTAGATATGCCTGAATGACGAGAAGTTAAGACTTATTTTGTAAAAAAAATTGCTACTCTATATGCAAGAGTAATTGACAAGCTGTCAAAATTGATTGTTTTTTCGGACAAAATATTCCATAACCAAAATATTCCATAACGCCATTCAAAATCCGAATTTCAATTTAGTATAAAATATACTAAGTGACATATAAATCCGAACACCCAGTTTAAATGGTTTTATTTTAATAAAATTTTGTATAAGTACTTAATGAAGCATAATAAGTAAATGATAAAAATTTCAAAATGATTGCACTGCTTTAAAGCCCTTTGACCTTTAATAATGTGTGGATGCACCCTGATGTGCTACGCATTCTCCAACGCGCCTAGGCATGCTTCTGATCAGGTGGTCAATGTCCTCCTGTGGTATCTCATTCCAGGCAACCACCAACTAATCTCGAAGTGCTTCTAGAGTCTGAGGAGGACGTTGCAAATTGAGCAATCTCCTACCCATCATATCCCACACGTGCTCAATTGGGGATAAGTCGGGAGATCTTGGTGGCCATGGTAACAATGTGACATTATGTTGAAAGAAGTCTATTGTGATTCTTGCAACATGTGGTCGGGCATTATCTTGTTGGAAAGTTGGATCTGCCAGGGTATCAAGATAGGGTAAAAGATGGGGTTTAGAACTTCGTGGATATAACGCTGCGCGTTCATGTTACCTCTGATGAAGATTAAAGGTGACCTGGAACCATAAGCTAGAGCACCCCAAACCATAACTCCAACAGTGTGATGAACATGTCTTTCAACAAAAAACTGTGGATTCCTCCTTTCACCACGTCGCCTTCTAACCCTGGCACGACCATCGTGCATGCCTAAACAAAATCGAGACTCGTCACTAAAGACAATACTGTTCCATTCCTGATCCCAGAGTGACCGTGGTCTGCACCACTCAAGGCGATTACGTCGGTGTTCTCGAGTTAAAGGGAGGACCCAGTGTGGCCGGTATGAGAACAAGCCAAAACTTCTCATTCGTCGGTAAACACTTCGCATGCCAATAGGTCTTCCGTGTTCTGCAAACCATTCATTTGCAATGGACCTGGTAGTGGAGAAACGATCCCTTAAGGCCAATAATCTTAGGCGGCGTCCAGTGCCCCTTGCTCTTTGCGTACGGCCTTCTCGAAGCCATGACTGACAACACCTAACCACAGTGTCTACACTTCTTTGCACTCTAACTGCAATTGCCCGAAAAGAAAGTCCAGCTTCCCGAAGTCCCACTATACGGCCCCTATCAAACTCACTAAGTTGACGAAATCGTACAGGTCTCCGTACTCTAGGCATCGTAACCGATCGTAAAGGATGTCAAGAACCAAAATCCGCCAACGTTGATTCTTTACTGCGGCTGAAATATTTATTTTTAGAGGGTTAGTGAATTAAAAAAAAGCAGTATAAAAATCGGAATGTCCAACTGATAAGGCTGAAAATTTTTTCACTAGTTATTTACAGTAAGATAAATACATTCACCAACTTTTATTAAAATAAAACCATTTAAACTGGGTGTTCGGATTTATATGTCACTTAGTATATATATATATATATATATTAATTTTTATGTTTAAACTTCAACACCCCGTATCTTTTGAATGAAGCCCTCGAGGAAAAAATCTTACATAGAAAACCCCCTTAAAATGCGGTCCTGTGTATGATGTTTCATTTTTGGTCACGACTTGTGAATCATCCTATATAATAAATTAATACATCATCGTTAATTTTTCCAGGTTTGATTGCAAGAAAGCAGTGAACATTCCAGTAAATTCACTGTCAGGTATTAACGCAGAACACATTCTGGATAAATACAATAAATTATACAGACTATTGAGCGGACAAGATGTGATGGTCAGTGACAAAAATGTTAATGCTTCACGACATCCACAGGTAATTTTTATGGAGGCGCCCACATATGATGTTCTATGAAAAATTCAAAACTATACTTTATTTAAGTTTCGCTTACATTTGAATACAAAAACCAGCACTCGTTCTTCAAAATCTGGCGCTCGTATTGGCCAGCAGGCCATAACTGCCCAGGCATGCAGCAACAGGAAAGTGCTCTTGTTTTTACAAGGCGAACAGTAGTCTATTTATGCGAAATTCTGGCAAAATTAGGAAACACATATTATCTAAAATGAGTGTCAGTGTTTACTAGCTTTTGCAAGCAATTGATTATTATAACTTTATGCTACCTCTTTTAATTTGTTCTTTAAGTGACCGTGAAATTACCTTCAGATACCCTCATAGTGACTGATTGACCTCTGATTCGGGCTTAATGATTCATAAAAACTAAACAATATTTGATTGGGATCAACTGCTCTGCTTCTTTTGAAACTGTCCTTGATGTGCACTTGAAATCACCTTCAAATTCCGCCGTAGAGATAAACTAACGCAGGATTTGAAGTCAGCGACCCAAAAACTCTGTTGTACTGAGAATCTTTTTAATGCAGTAGAAATTGTAGCCAGCATTTAGCTATTTCACACCACTATGCAGTCAAATAAGGTGTGAACATATGTAGTTAAAACACCTTTAAAATTTCACAGGGTATTGCATTTTGCATGAACCTACTAGCAAAGAAATTTGTCCTACAAGGCGATTTGATGGTTGCCGGGAACCCAGAGTCTGCCTTCTACTATGCGACTGTGATCCTATCCTTATGGAATGATTTTCCAAATTTTGGAAAATTGATCCTGGCACATTTCTACAAAATTTGCCCGTATCTCGTGCCATATTACATCCCTAGAGAGCAAGGAGAGACTGACGAGGAATATTATGTGAAACAGGGGTACCAATATAGTGATGGACAAATCGAGAAGCAGGACAAATATCTTAGAAGAATGACTGGTGAGTAAAATTTTATTAAACACTATAATTTCGATCTGGAGTTGCTCTTGTATGAAAGCGTTTGAACATGTATTTATTCTACAATATGATATCCAACCTAATGCTATATTCACTTGTCCAAATTTTTTTTGAAAAGGTTTGTGTCTCATAGATGCTGCATATACAGGGTGATAGATTAGGTCAAAAGCAACCGATTTTGTCCTATAATGTCCTATCCTGAATTTAACCGTTTTCGAGTTATTTGAATTTTATTTTTTATTCCGATTTCAGACGGTTAAATTTGAAATACAAAAAAACTACATGTTTGATTTTGAGTTTTTTGTTATCGACGCATAGCGGACATTCCAATAGTTCATAATAAGTAATAAAATGTTGAAAACTTACAAAAGTTTTAAAATTACGCTTTTCAAATGTATGATTTTCTTATTTTTTACTAACATATTCGATAAAATACAGTTTCCTGTAAAAAATCTAATAGTTAAAATGTGCAAATTATGTAAATAATATCTCTATCTAACAAGCTTTCATTTGAGGTATAAAAGTTACAACTAACTCAAGTACAAAGACATAAAATTAAAAAAAGATGAGTAAAGTTGTACGAACGATAATTACGTAGGATAAATAAAAGGCTTTTATTTTAATTACAGTTTTATTTAATTACATTTCCTTTAGTATTTTACAGATTCTGCTCAAATTGTAATCCCCTGTTACGATTACACGCCCGCATTCTCTTACGTAATTCACTATTGGTAACTCTAGTTGTTAAGCGGCTTTTTATTTGGTCAGCTGCACTGATTATCCTTGTAATTAATTCATCGCGCGTTGGTACGGGCGAAACATCGTACACCAGGCTTTTCATATGTCCCCACACGTAGTAATCCATCGGTGTGAGATCTGGGCTTCTTGCTGGCCAGGCAATGGGCCCGCCTCTGCTAATCCATTGATTTGGAAATTTAGAGTCTAAATACGCCCGTACTAATCTACTGTAGTGTGCGGGACAGCCGTCGTGCTGGAACCGCATATTTTGTCTCGTCGCCAATGGGACATCTTCCGTTAAGGGAAACAAGTGATTTTTCAAGAACTCTTCATACACTTCTCCATTTAAATTGGCGGGCAGAAAATGAGGTCCAATTAAATATCCATCAACGATGTGCATCCACACATTGACTGAAAACCGGCTCTGAGACCCCGTCGGTCTTATTTTTCGGGGGTTTAAAGCTTCTTTATCAGCCCAGTAATGAGCATTATGGTAGCTAGTGATCCCGTCCTTATCAAACTTCGATTCATCGGTCCACAGAATGTTCTTAAAATAGTCTGGATCTTCTGTATCTGCATGTAACATGTACCTGCAGAAATCTAATCGTCTTGCAGGATCGCCCTCTTCAATCACATGCACAGGCGTGTAGTGATAAGAGTATAATCTTGCAGTATGCACAGTAAACCATACTTTGTATTGTGATATACCCAACTGAGCAGCCACAATGCGCGTAGACGTAGTAGGGTCTTCCTGAAACACAAGGATTTCCTCTTCATCTTCAGGAGGATAGACTCGGGGTCGACCAGCATCACTATGTTGCCTTTGAACACGTCCGGTTTGGCGGATGCGCCGATACACAGAGTCAAACACAGTAACATGAGGTGTTCGGCGATTCGGGAAACGTGGCAGATATTCACGGCGGGCAGCTACAGAATCGCCGTTACAAAGTCCATAACAGAACATTATGTCTGCGTATTCTTCATTTGTAAAAGTTTGCCCGTGCTCGCTATGGCGAGGTCCTGGCGGATCTTCTGCGTCTGCCATGATGATAAAGACACCACTCGAAATGAACTGGGAATCTCGAAAATAATAATCGTGCGTAAAACGTGTGCGCCTATGCAGTAGTTGATACCAACTAAACCTAATTCTCACTCGGTGTGCGGCGATGGCGTAACTACAATGATGAATAATAACAGCTCTCTCTCTCTCTCTCACTCCTCCACTAAGTCAGCTCTTCTCGCTCGCTTCCTCGTCGAGCCGATGCCATAAAACAATCATGGCATGCGAGTCCTTTGAGGACAGTAACGACTTGTTCAAACAGTTAATACAAATTCCTTAAAAATCCAGCCTCTGTGGGTGTCATTGTTGTTTCTCTGCATGTAATTCAGATAATTGAACGCTTAATGCCTCAAATGAAAGCTTGTTAGATAGAGATATTATTTACATAATTTGCACATTTCATTACTAGGAGATTTTTTACAGAAAATCGCATTTTTTATCGAATCAGTTAGTGAAAAAAAGAAAATGATACATTTAAAAAGCGTAATTTTAAAACGTTTGTAGCTTTTCAACATTTTATTACTTATTATGAACTATTGGAATGTCTGCTATGTGACGATAACAAAAAACTCAAAATCAAGCATGCAGTTTTTTTGTATTTCAATTTTAACCGTCTGAAATCGGAATAAAAAATAAAAAACTTAAAATTCAAACAACTCAAAAATGGTTAACTTTTGGATAAGACATGATAGGACAAAATCGGTTGCTTTTGACCTAATCTATCACCCCTTAACAGGAATACGTGACATTACAAGTCACCCTGTATGTTCATAAAGATGGCTACCATGATACTATAACTCGAGAAGATCGAATTCCGTACGCCGTTGCGTATGACGTCATTCGGTGACAACTGTTCCGCTTGTCACTAGGAAATGGATTGTATTATAATGTTTGGAATGTTTAACATTTTTTTGTGCTATCCATTTTACCTAATCATTTTAATATTATATAGAGCGTTTTACTTATATTTTAATGTTTCTACCAATATAAGTTAATGAAGCATATCATTATAGATAGAATAAATTATCTTTATAAAGATACCACTTTTAGAAAATGACTCAACAGATTTTTAATGTTTTGGATATTAAGCCTTTTTTCATTCATATACTGCGAGAAGTCTGCGATGCCTTGATAATTTCATAAAATGAATAGAAGGTATATTGCATTATACTTTTTTTTAGGTAATCCATTTTTTCTTTTGTACAGTGATCACTTTCCACATAACATTTCAAAACTCATTGTTCACAATCTAATTTATCCTTTAGAAAACTGTACAAGTGCCAATTCTTATTGTTGTTTGCTAGAACATGCCATCACTTCCCAGTACACCACACTTACATGATTAGTTAACTGTTTTTAATTATATTTCACACACCAGATAACTGATTAACTAATCCCAAAGTACATGCTAAAGAGCCATATAAAACTGAAAGTTTGTCACCAGTTTCTCACTGGTGCGAAAAAGATAGACTGATCGGGTAATAGTATCATGGGTGGCTACTCATTTCGGCCGGACCAGCAACTGAGCACCTCTGCAACACGTCAGATGCGATTAACCCGTTTGAGCTGAAACTCATGAAATAAATATTTCAAGTTTATTTCCTAGCATAAAAGGTAGCCTATGCACTATTCCTGACTATAATTTATCTCTGTACCAAATTTCATATAGGTCTGTTAAGCCATTTTGGCGTAGTTGAGCAACAAACATCCAAGCTTTCTCATTTTTAATATTAGTAGGAATCTATATCTTCTATAGGATATTCATATTGACTCCTCATGTGACTACATATTTGTAACTTTTGTCAATTCAATGCTTTTTGACTCATTTTGAGTCATCAAAAGAAAAAAAATTGAATGAAGTATATTAGAGCTACCATGTATGACTTAATGAAAGTATTTCATTGTGTCAACTCATACATAAAGGGTGACTCAACAATAGTGCCGGATTTGAATTTGCCGCCATTTTTTTGTACAAATGGTATGGTGTTTACTTGATGACACCTGTCATCTATAGACCACGTGATTAGACGTCATGGAGCAGTAAGGTATATTTTTTAATTCACCGGTTGAGCTACCGGTGCAACCGGTTAGCCAATTTTGCGTCCTTTAATTTCCGCTGGAACGACCGGTTGTACATCAGACTTGTTTTTATATTGATGGTGGATATGCCACCGGTGCCAACAGCATCCACCGACGTTCGGGCTCGGTTGATCCACGATATTCTAACCTCTACATCAGTTTTTGACAACTACAGTTTTATGTGAAAAAATGGAAGAAGGAAAGATTGAAGTTTTTCTACAGCATAGGAGTCGCGTGAAATTTAATGTTTTTTTTTCAACACAATTCGAAATAAATAGAGCATCTGAAAGCAAGTGAATTTGTTTTGAATTATGCATATCGACGATCCCAAATCAATACCTCGTAAGACCGAAAATGTCGATTTTCAGATGTTGTTCCTGTATGAAGAAAGAAAATCCATGTCGATGGTTCTTATTCGGAAAGCATCGAAGATCGATACGAGGCATTGATTTGAGATCGTCGATATCTGAAAATTTCTTGGTTTTCTGATTTATAATTCTTATATTGATTCTCGGAGCTCAAATTCTCTCCGCTGGATAACTTCTTCATCCGAATCATTACTCGAATCGCTTAACAAACGTTCCACGATAATACCAACTACTGCATATATTGGCATAATGTTTTAAATGATACGGTGCTCAAATTAACAAGTATCCATTTACGATAAAACAAAGGTTAGGTTTTCTCATATGACAGCAACCTGAAGGCTAAAATGCAAAATGCGTCTTTTTATTAACAACCAATCAACGGAACCGGTTGCCGACGTCATCACATTAGCTGTCAACCATAAGCTCACCGGATCCATCAGTGATTGAATCAACCGGTGAATTAAAGAATATACCTGTATTCAAACGAGCAACGTTTAATTGTTGTGAAAACTCAATACAAAAATGGAGAAAATTACGCGGAAACATTGAAATGCGAAAGGCTTTCGCGGCCATCATCCAATGTTATTTGCTCGGTTTTTGGGTAGTTAGGCCGTCCTAAAATATGTTTACTTGACGTTTCGCCAACACGAGTGGTTGGCACCTTCAGGACGTGTTCACAGTTCGGAGTCCTGTGAGCTATTACTACTGAAGGAAAAGGTGTATGCGAACAAGCTACAAACAATTGAACACCTTAAAGAAGAGATACGCCGCGTTATATATTAATAGAGCCACAGTTGTGCGAAAACGTTATCCGGAATTTTAAGAAAAGACTGACCCTGCGCCAGAGGTTTTGTGGTGGCCATTTACCGGATGTCCTATTCGCTGTTTAATCGCGTTTCATGTTGAAATATAAATAATCGCTAAATTCGAAAAGAAATTGTGTTTTTCTTGAAAATCACATCCGGCGCTTTTATTGAGACACCCTTTACCAATGAAAAAACTAGAATACTATGGCATTAGAAATACTAAGCTAGCGCTATTTCGTACGTAATTGTCAAACAGGAAGCAGTTTGTAAGGTCCGAGGGCATCGCCTATGAACTTTCACATATTTGAAACGGGGTACCACAGGGATCTGTACTTGGCCCTCTGCTATCTCTAATATATGTATATCAATGATCCTCGAGTATTTATAATGGATCCTGCTTCCTATTCACAGATGATACCACCTTTTTGCCTATATCTGTCCAAAACACGGGCGTGGATAGTCTGGAACAAGCTAAAAGATGATTTTTTTGTGGGTAGTCTGCTTTAGCATGTTCCATAGTCACATTGCATATAGCACAATGCTCTGGGGAAACTCGGTAGCATCTAACAAAAATTTCATTTTACAAAAGAGCTTCGAGGATAATTACAAATTCGTTATGGATCAACATGAAATCACTTAAAACATTTACAATTATTACCACTTCCATCATTTTATATTTTTGAAGTCCTTTGTGCACAGAAATCTGAACAAATATCAAACCTCTGCAGAAATACACTCAAATGAAGAACATAATTTTGAAAATATGTCTTATGGCTACTTCTCAAAGTTTGCTGAAAAAACATTGCTTAACCACTGTCTCTATGCAGTTGATGCTATGACGTTACTCCTATAGTTAATAAATTATACCCTATTTCACGAGTATCCATCACGCTTTGACGTCTACTGAGGTGAACAGCTGATCAGCAAGTGACATTTGTGTGCAATGTTGGCTATAATGAATCTAGCAAAAATTTGTTTGCAGCTTTTTTTTGTATGCAAATGAACTTTTCTGAATATAAGAGCTTTTAGCAAAAATGGATTTGTAGCATACAAAAAACAAAAAATGGCTCTGTCCACCTGGCAGTGACGGACCCGTTAGAATTATGTGTCCTTTGCCAATATGGGGAATTTTGAAATATTACTAGATAACCAGTCAGCCGTGTTGGATACTCGTGAAATAGGGTAGAGTTTATAAGACCTCACATGTACATTGAATATACATAATGTGGTCAGTAAATGGTATGGTGTAATGTAGAAACACCTGCAACATACTGTCAGGACATCTAGCTGCAATACTTTTTGCTGGAGAGTTAATATAGTTGTTCTCATTTTACAGGGCTGATGAGACTATATGCAACACTTCTAATCTCAAAGCCAAAACGTGGTCAAGCAAAATCACCATATAGCCTGAAAGAAGGTTGGAGGTACATAGCCTGCCTTCTAAATCTTGAACCCCAAATGGATATTACAGCAACAATGATGCACACTTTCCTTGAGACTGTAGGCTTTCGAATGGAGGATGTTTATGGGAAAATATTCCAGAAACTGATTAGACAAGTAACAGTTGAAAAGTTCCTACCCAATCTAAAGGATGCAAAATGTACAGGTGGCGCTGTCACTCGCCTGGAGCTGCTCTTAACAGAGTATACAGACAAAGGGCGATTCGAGGAACCTGCTGGATATGAAGATCAATGTTCTTGGTAGTGTTTTATTGATTGTGTACAGCAAATTATTTTATACTGTCTTTTTTCTTATTGTGAAATAAATATTTACGAACATTAACTATTGTCTGTTTCTGACTCATTTCACACTGATTTCACTAATAGTCGTTTTGATTTATCGTCGTTCAACTCAAGTTCTATTCGTTTCACTATCCACTTATTCTCTTTTTCATTTTTATCTGCCCAAAAATAAACTCTTCCCTTCTGTTTAGAGCCTTTCACTGGAACTTCAAATTTAGCACTGTTTCCAGTACAATAATTCTTTTTTGTGTCATCTACATCAATGTTCAAATCCTTAATGGGTTCTCCTAATAAATGAACAACTCCTTTGTGAGTTCTAACCGTTTTTAAAGCGTCTTTGTAGAATTCCGTTTGCGTTACGTTTTGAGAGACCTTACTTTTGGCTAGAATGCCCATTGTTACTGTAGCTACACCTCCGATGGCTGCGATTTTGACTAAGGTCATAGTACTCATGTTCATTTTTGAAAATATGAATTTATGAATTATAACAAAAGTGAAAAGGAATTGCGATTTTTGTTGGTTATATTTTCCTAACCTCAATGCTCCCCACAGAATAAATAGGGTTTATACATAACACTGAATGCTCCCTAAACAAAAATGAAAATGGGTCAAAAAGAAAGTGTTAAAACTGAAATCCTGCAACTAGTACAAATAGCGATAATGATTATGTGTTTGTATACTTATTATGAACTCTTTGTTAACCACAGCATTCAAACATGAAATTTTCAGAGGTAAAGCAACAAATAAAGTAAAGTTGTATCTAGCTCTAAATAAATCCCATCTCTATTTCTACCTCTTGTGGATCTGTCAAACGCAGAACAACGACAATACTGACATTCTTCTGTTCCGACAGTTTGTATGGTAGCGTCAGTCTAGGGGGATGAAACGTCTCATGGGCGAACTGGTCATGCTCTCCAGCCAAAAACTAGGAACCTGTATTACCGACATCACGTGACATGCTGTTTTCTGGGATTATATATCTTCATTTAAATGTAAAAATATCGAATATAACGCTTGTTTCGTTAATATCGAGATTATCAACGCTGATGCTTTCGGAGATATTTCGTTAGAAATAAGTATAAAATATAGAGCAACACTATCAGTAGCTGTGATGGTATACGTGAGATGTATTGTGAGGGATGCAGAAGTTCATGAGACTTTGTTATAAGGCATAAAGTGCTACAGGTAGGCTGTGAAGTTAACATGTCAGCAAGATGTAGTGAGTAGATTATTTAAAATTGCACGTCTGGATTCAGCCTCTTTATAATCCATTGCAGTTGGCACCGTTATTTGAAGTACGAAAGTTTTTTTTTGCTGTAAATAAGACATGGTAATATTGGCAGAGTACAGTCCTACAGCCCTAAGCTTTATAAAGCAAAATTCTACTCATCCAGGCCAACAAATTAAATACATAGAACTGAGCAAAGGAATACATCCATTTTTATTTTCATGTAATACAATTTTTATACCATTGTCAACAGCATATATGATTATTTTTTGAAAGTAAATATATTTTCTGCATCATAATTAGTGTTGGATTTTATTATTCTGAACCTTGTTCTCAGCAAAACTGCTGAAAGAAATATTACCCTTATTGGGGATATTTTATGAAGATACTCGAAGTTCATAAAATAATCCTTCAATAACGGAAATATCATTTTCAGCAGATTTCATATTAGGAACAAACGAAGCTCCCGGAACATTCTTAGCATTCCTTATTCCAGGCGCATTATCTGCATTCATTCCATAGTTTCTCCAGGCAAGTAGGCAGCGCAACCATCTGACAAACGTCAGCGGTGTTGCCATGGTTTAACGAGCAGCTCCCACTTCTTCACTTTATGTGTTTTGTGGTATGAAGGTTGAAATGAAATGGCTTGTGTTTTGTAATTTTTTGTTGGGCTCGCATCCAAAGTATTTTAATATTTTCCAGTCTTTGTAAATGCATTTTCTCCATATTGGATAGCGAAAAGGATTCAAGCATATCTTTGTTTCATAAAAACAGATACTGAACAGTATATCTGTATCTGTTGTTCCATACATCACGTAAGTTTTGTCTAGCAACTTCGTTACAAGTAGCTTTCATAGTAAAACCTTTTCCAGCGTCTTCACTTATGCCTGTTGAGGCAACATCAGCCTGCTCTTTAAGATTCGCTTGAAGATAAGGTAATCAAAATGAATCAGCTACTAGCTGCCTATGACAAAAAAATCGTCATGCCGTCTGGTAAAGTTGATGGGCACATAGCAGTTGATGATGAAGATTTCAGTTCTTCTGAGTCTGAGGAAGATGATGGAGATATTGATCAGTATGAACACGAATATGTTTATCAGGAAATGCGAAGATATGGCAAGTGTGCTGTGGAAGCTGATGATGAAGTGAGTATGGGTCATCCTTCCATAATCTCTTTCATTAGTCTAAGAATTATCACATAGATTTAGAGATTCAAGTGCATATATGAGAAAATGTTCTTACAATAAGTTCTAAAGGCCAGTGCTGTCAGATCAAAATGCCAAAAGCATGTTTAAAATGGTGTATTCTTTAATTCACAAGTTCACCGGTGCAAGCAATTAACCAATCTTTCTTCTTTTAATTTCCATCTGAGCGACCGGTTGTACACCAAACTTGTCTATAAATGTGTCTATATAGATTATAGACAAGTTTGGTGTACAACGGGTCACTTAGACAGAAATTTTGTTTACACCGGTGGCTCAACCGGTGAATTAAAAAATATGCCTAAAGTGGTAGATTTGAAAAAAATAAATGGCAGATCTCAAAAATTATGTTTCACTTACAGTGCAGTGAAACTAAATTCTTTTGATGAAAACTTATTAGCAACTTTTCAAAAAAAAAAAAACACGCGGAATTGCCTCTTGAACCCATAATTATGTTCTTATCTTGTTTTAATTATGTGTTTGTTTAATTGTAGAGTGGTATGAGTAGTGTAGATGGAGTTGCTGGTATGGAATATAAAAACAATCCATTGAGTGTTTACCAGAACTACAGGTTCAATGCTACTCTTGTGAAGAAGGAATTACCTATTGACAGTTTCAAACAGAAGGTAAATATGTTGTGGTATTGGTATTTCTTTACACTATTTATAACCATTTTTGATATTGATACTGGCTTTTCTGAAGCATATATTCTTTTACAAATATATGTCTCATTGTTCTTAGCATTTTAACACCTCAATGACCATGTGCATCATATTGGTGCATACTCAGATTTCTACACAGACTGTGTGTCTCTGTGTGAGCACAGTCAATGGTTATGTGTCAAGTCATATCAGATTAATACTGACCCAGATGTAATTTATTTCGTAGTAGTATCTTTATTAATAGCTTCAAGCTAAACAATACAATATATATAATGTTATTATCTAAAACTAACACTATTTTCTACATAAATTCTCAGTTGTCTTTTGAATTTGACAAAATTTGTAGATTTGACTTCAGCTGGCAGGCCTTTATGAAATAAACTATTTTGCGCAAAAGCAGACCCCACAGCAGGAACATAAAAATCAAACCTATTCCTTGTATTGTAACTATGAATATCAGAGACAAATTGCAAACTTTCCAATATGTGTTTGGGATAGATTCTATTCTTTATTTTGTAGATGACTATCATTGTATTGTATAATATATTTTGTTTGATACTTAATAAATTAGTTACCTCTAATGTGTCTTTAATTCTTGTGTATCTATTACATCTTAATATACATCTAAGAGCCTGATTTTGTTTTCTCTGTACTTAGTGTATCTATATCACCTTTCTGAAACATATATAATATGGAGGAACAGTAGTTAAAGTGTGACATGACTATTGTTTTATATATAAGTAGTGACGTCCATGAACTAAGGTCCTTTGTTACCCTACACATTAAATTAACTTTTTCAGAAACTTTTTTTTATAATATTCTCTGCATGACTATTGAATGTTAAATTTGAGTCTATCATAACTCTTAAATATTTATACTTGTTAATCTGTTTATTATTTTCAATTATAAATCCGTTGTGCAGATAAGTATCCTGAACATTAAATTTACATTTCAGTATCATACACTTCGTCTTGTCAACATTAATACTAAGACTATTCTTCCCTAATCAGGCATATAATGTCTTTAAGTCTTCATTAATCATTTTAACTAAATTGTCTATGTTGTCACATTCCAAACAAAATTGTATCGTCTGTAAACAACTGAATTTTGCAATTTTTTACAGCTTTCACAATATCATTTATATACAGCACCAATAGATCAGGACCCAACACTGTTCCCTGAGGCACACCATGTCTGTTTACAGAAGATAAGGAGTTTTTTTTTACTTTGTTCGCTGAGTTCTTTGTTCCAAGTATCCTGAGAACCATCTTAAAACGTTGCCTTCAAAGCCATATTTTTCTAGTTTTTTTATCAACAAATTTCTATTTATTGTTTCGAATGCTCACCTAAAGTCGAAAAACACAACATCCACATAATGACCCACACTCAAAACATTTTTCCATCCTGAAATAACAGACTGAAGCGCACTCTCACATGAATGGTCCTTCCTAAAACCAGCTTGGTATTTTGTGAGTAATTTATTTTCTTCTACATATTGACGTAATTGTTGATTGACAACAGTTTCTAGAAGTTTTTCATAAACAGGTACCATATAATTGGTCTATGCTCTTCACATTTTATTGTTCCACTCACTTTTTCTATAGGGATGACTATTGACATTTTCCAATCCTGTATTTAAATGTGGTGTTTAGTAGATTGGGTACTTCGGAAATAAAATACCTTGGTCCAGAAGCAAATTATAAAAATTTAGCGCTGGTCTTTAACATGTTAAGGCATATACTAATAAATGAAGGAAACAATTATTAATGTGCAATTGAAACAAGTGCAATTGTTATTTTTGCAAGAACTTATATGGAAAATCACAGCTTCATTAATCTCTCATGTTTACTTAACAGTCCCTGGCTATGCCTAGTCACCTTTCATTTTTCATACTATTTTCACATTTTAATTTCTCAAAAAATTGTAAATTTTCCTTGTACCTATTTGTCAGTATACTTGTTAATTAAAATACATAACAGGAATTTAAAAGCAAATCCAGGTTTCCCATATACAGTTCAATCATTGTTATTTACATTTTTTCAGATGCTGGACCTTATCAAAGTAAATAGTGTGTTGGTTATTCAAGGGCCAACTGGTTGTGGTAAAACTACCCAAGTACCACAATACATTTTAGATGATTGCAGAGAAAGACAAGAGTTTTGTAATATTGCTGTAACTCAACCAAGAAAAATTGCTACAATAAATGTTGCTAAGAGAGTTTGTGAAGAAAGAGGTTGGACTTTGGGCACTGTTTGTGGTTATCAAGTTAGTATATGTCACTTCTATACATTTTTTATTGGATTTTGAGCATATCATAAATATATTTTTTTAGGTTGGCTTAGAAAAAAAGGTCTCAAATGACAATCTGATTACTTATATGACAACTGGAGTTCTATTACAAAAATTGATTCAAAATAGAACACTGCATCAATACACACATGTCATCATTGATGAGGTGCATGAGAGAAATCAGGATTTGGATTTTCTTCTGATTATCATTAGGAGATTTTTGTTCACTAATTCTTCTAAAACAAAGGTATACCCTAATTTATATTATTTACAAAAAAGTTTATTTCAGTGTATTTATATGACTTTTAGATTTCAAATATTTATTATGGTGGATCTTTTTGCAACATTAAATTTCATCTATATCTCAAAATATTTGATACCAATATAAAGATATAGGAATTTTATATACCAATCTCTACAATTTTATTTCAGGTCATCTTAATGTCTGCAACCATTGAAGCACAAGAATTTTCCCATTACTTCAGATCTCAAGGTCCCAGTATGTCTATTCCTGCTCCCATAATTTATGTTAAGAAACAGAGTTCCTACAAGAAACACTTTTTCTATTTGGAGCACTTGAAACCAATACATGACTTAACAGAAACTGTAAGCATCTGAACATCTTTCAGCAATATAAATCAAAAATTTTGCAATACAATAGTTTTTGTTGCCTTGCAGACCTTCGATTTGGACAGACCAGAAATCTCTGAAGGAATATGGAATATGTTTACATCACTGGTGAATATTATGGATCGATTGGATGATAGAGATGCTGTTACTGGCAAACAGATTATTGGCAGTGTCTTGGTTTTCTTGCCAGGTATCAATGAAATTGAGGAAGCACATAGCAGACTTTTGAGGTAATCAATTAGTTATTTGCAGCAATGAATTTCTGAGTCCCAAATGGTCATTTACAAAGGACCAGCACCCAATTACATAACTCAAAAAGTGATTTTCAATGACATTGTGTGGGTTTTCTGAAAAAATGTCTACTTTTGATGTAGCTGTCATTTGCTTCACGTTCTCTTGTACTGGCTGTGCATGTTGCCTAAACATCATGACATTTGGGATATATAGTCTGGCTCTGATGTGACGTAACATCTGCTTTAGAGATGGCACTAGCAGAACCCATCATTTATAGCTTCTATGGCTTGAGCTGTAAATTATTTCTAGGTCGTTGTTGCAGCCCATAGGTGGCGTTCATATCGAGTGCGCGTGGCGTGGACTAGCCACTAACTAGTAAACAAGTTGACATGCTTATTTTTAACGATATTATATTGATTCTTACTTCCCCCGCCTACTGGTGAGGAAGTATTGTAATCGCGAAGAATTTCGATGATATTATGTTTTTTGGATGCTATATGACATGTACATTATGAAAAACCATGTCACTCATTTCCATTGGACTGCCAGGGTATTGATGAAATTTGCTCTCAAGGTTACTATTATGCCAAGAACGATAAAAAGCATTGAAAATTGGTTCCGCGGCGCGGGAGAAAAAGGCTAAAAACGAAAAAAATAAAATCGTTGTTTGCGTTTCAAAAATGTTTAGGGGTAAAAATTGAGGGAAGGATATGTCTCGGTAATTCTACGCACCTGTTAGACACATTGTGTATATCATAGATTTCGCTTGGAATGATACAGAAATGCGTTCGATACGCGTCCCTGCTTCTACTGTCTGGGATTTCTGGCGCGTTCTCAGGTATCGGGAAGAGCCGACGTTGCCAGATGGACCACCGGTAGGGCAAGGGAGGATTGTCTGGACCTTTTTGACTGACTTGATCCGATTAATTTCTGTGTTATACATGTTCGTAACTAACTTTTTCCTCAGAGAATCTAACTTGTGCTGAATATAATCCTTTATGAACTGATGACGGCATTGCCTTGGAAGTGCAGAGTCAACCTATTTAACACCATTCTTCCGTAATATCCCTGCAGTTCAGTTCAGCTTGTAGCTAGGTAACATCATTTCACTAACTCGTTTGGATCAAAATCCTTTGGAGATAACTGTTTAGATTGAGCAGTGTAAATGGCAACACAGTCTTCGTGCTGCCTGTCAGCATTGCGTCTTTTGTACAGCAGGTAGCGGGAGTTGATTTATAGGTTGGGTCTTATCACTAGGCGGTAGGGTTCGGCCTCATTTGGCGAAAAATACACCTTCGGCGAGCATAGGCCGAATGTTTGGCCGAAGATACTATGCATACTGTGGGAGTGAAAATGCATATGATCTTAGCCCATTCTTGACAATTAGAACCCATTAGGAATACTCTTTTAGCTTCTAATTAACACCAGTGTACATATTTTGTCAGATGATCACTTCTACAGGACAAAACAGGGGAAGATAGAAAAGTCACATATTAGTTTTCATCAAAAATTCACTGCATAATTATTTAATAAAAAACCATCTCTACATCAGACGCAATATTAGATGTTGTTAATCAAATACACCAAAATCTTGATAACAAAATTCCCTGTGTTTGTATTTTTGTTGATATAAAAAAAGTTTTCGACACACTAAACTATAAATGAGTGTTAGACATATTGGAGAATGGAAATGGAGAAATGTACTCATTACTAGAAAATTATTTATCCAACAGACAGTGATCCGTTAAAGTATCAAAATTTCTAACGAAACATTTAACTAATATGGCCTCCCTCAGGGAACTGCTTTTTAATGTATACTTAAATCATATATTTAAAATTGACTGTGTTGGAAAAATAGTAAGTTTCACAGATGACACCGCAGTTCTTTAAAAAGGTGATAATTGGTTTCATTTGAAAAGTATGAAATAATTTTGTCAAAATTATCCAGTGGCTTGATAACAGAAAATTGAGCATTAATTATTCTAAAACATATTTTTCACCATTTTTGTCATATTCCAGACATCTACCAAATTACACAAACATCTCCTTTATCATAAAAATCAGAAATATCAGCACCAGATATAAGATATCTTGGAATATTCCTGGATCCAGGCTTGCATTGGGATGTTCATATCTCATATATTTTCAAAAAAGTTACATATGTATTGTGTAAAATTAAATATATCAAAAACATTTTAAAAGAAATATATCTCTATACCTTATGCCATACCTTGATCGAACCACATTTAATCTACAGTATATTGGCATATTCATGATTTGGAGATTTTTCAAAAAATTATTTAAAAAAAATGTTTAACAAACCAAAATTGTATCCAACTGTTATCTTATACCAAGATACACAGGTATATAACTTACAACAGCTTTATTTCTTACATGCTATAACCAACTATCACAATTTTATCAATAACGACCAAAAAATTAAACACAATCACCACACAAGGCATAAACTAAGACGAACAGTTGTACCTAGACCAAATAAATCTGTAACACAATGATCATACCTTTATTCAGGTCCAAAATTGTACATAAATTTACCTGGCGGAATAAAGGGTCTATGCTTTGGGAATAAGTCCAAGAAAAAGTTAAATGAATGGACTTTTTCTCTGGCAAGATCAGATGTATACAAATTAATAGTCAATATGATCAAATAATTCGTTAATTAGTTGTATCTCGATTCGTATTTCAGTAATGCAGTTGCAATGTCAATGGTCCATGCACAGGTAATGCCTCCTATGGGCCGTTACTTCAAATTTATTTACTCATTCTTTGTATTGTATTTCAGGAGTAAATAAATATTATTATTATTATTATTCTTGAATATAATTCGAATTCTACAATTTTCTCGTTTTGTCCAATTTTAACAAGTTTTGGTACAATATTGAATCAAATCTGGGGTTACAACTGATAAGAAACAGTGCCAAGGGCACAAACGTTCATTATTTCACCACTTTCTTCTTATAATAAAACCCATACTTTTGATTAATCAAACGTTCCGAAGGTTTTGTTAAAAGTTGAACACTGGCTTTGGTCATCAACTTGACCTTCAGTCGGATCTTACTAGACAGAAAATTTGAACCCATTGTTGCCATTTGAAGTTCCTGTGATGCTAGAGTTGTATAGTATTGGTGGTAACATACTGTATATGATGTAGGTATGCATCTGAGAAGAAACCTAGAGGTGCTGAAGGCGGTTATATCGAATGGACAATATTACCTTTGCATTCCTCGCTGCCTAATGATGACCAAGCGTTGGTATTTCAACCAGCCAAGCCAAGCCACAGAAAAATTATACTGTCTACCAACATTGCTGAGAGCTCTATAACTGTTCCAGATTCATTTTATGGTGAGTCATCTTGTTTTTTCAATTTTTGATATTCAACCTTTGAATTGCTCTTATACATGATGCTGGAAGTCAAAATTTGCATACATTTTTGAGTTTGACATAGGAGATGATTTACATTTGAGGATGTGTTTTCCAGTAATTGATTTCTGCTTGACGAAAGTGATGACTGTAGACCCTGTGACGAAATACATGAGTCTAAAATTGGAGTGGGCTTCTCACACAAACTGTGAACAGAGAGCCGGTAGAGTTGGCAGAGTTGGAGATGGTAGAGTTTATAGATTGGTTTCATCAGAATTTTATGTAAGTAGATTATAACAATGTTGACTAGGAAGGTATTCGCAAGATGAGAAATTATCATTTGACAGTTAAAATTTGGAAATGAACATAGACATTCGACAATGTCATTTGATCTTGTGAGTGTTTAATTTTCTTCTCTTTTAACAGAAAAAGATGCCAGAGAAGAGTATACCTGAAATGCTAAGGGCACCTTTAGAACGAGTGGTGCTGCAGTCCAAAATGCTAAATTTGAATGATACACCTAGGCAGATATTAGCTTTAGCATTAAATCCGCCTAATTTGAAGAATATTGAAATGACAATCTTTGGTCTGAAAGAGGTAAGCATTGTAATTACTCAACTAAGAATATAAGTTTGAACCAGTTATTTGCTGAGAAAAATACAAAAAAGGGTTTTCCAATTTTTGTTGAATAACATCAGAGATCAGGAATTTTGCCTGTAATTTGGCTGAGATGTGTGATGTGTTTCTTGTATAGCATAATATTTGATCTTGATTCTTTTTTAATTTCAGATGGGTGGCTTGTTGCAAACCTGTCGCGGAACATATACTGCTTCTGATGGTGACATAACATTTTTAGGACATATAATGGCGAATCTACCTATAGATTGTCGCCTATCGAAACTTATCCTGTTAGGATATTTGTTTAGTTGTTTAGAGGATGCAATCATCATGGGTAAGCTGTTAGCTGTTACTAAATTACAAGATATTCTAAAAAATTATATTCTTCTGAAGGTTGACTCTGGAAATTTGTTGCTCTGCAATAATAGTCATTTTAGATACACGTGGATGAATTTCTAAACTAACTCTGAATCTCAGATGCAAAAGTTTGTTGCCTATAAAGTCGCACGTTATAGTTAATTTGGATCTTCTACAAGTTTTTAATTAGTGAACTTTTTCAGCTGCTGGTTGCACAATTCAAAATATTTTCTCTATTCCCTTTCAACAGAGATTGGATGCATATAAAAAACTGTTAATGTGGGCAGATGGATCTTACAGTGACCTTATTGCATTGTTGAATGTATTCCAGGTAAGTTATGATTGGATTGCAAGTGGTTATCGTGTTATTTGAATATTTTTTTATAAAACTACCTTGTTTTCCGGAAACCCTAAGCTACGTTTACCCGAAGTCCAGGAGATAATGGACAGTTTCCAAGTATACTTTCAACCAAGTTTAGTTTGACGGAATAACACTATTTTGGCTCCCAAAACTTTCTTCAGTTCGAACGTAAAATTTCTCGCTAAAGCTGTGACATAATGAGTTTCAGAATGACGTAATAAGTTTTTCCACGCTCTGTCTTCAGATTGTGACCCTACTTCTCCATGAAGGTTAGGCTTCCATCAGATATGAAGAAAATTTATTTTATTCCTTGAAGGTTGAGATAAAATGTGTCAAACTCTACCGCATTTTTCACAATACTTAAATTATTTTTTTTGTTAATATCTTTATTTTTAAATTGATGTTATTCCAAAATAGTCATACTTGATTGTTGGACTTTCTATTGCAGTAACACAACCTGTCCTATACCCGAAAATTATTTTCTACTTTGGGTTCGATTTGTTATTAAAGCAGGTTTTTTTTAAGTATAATTCATTATATTAAAGTCTGTACTGCTTAATTTCTTTTTAGGTATGGAGATCCTGCAAAAGAGATAACCAGTTCGAGAACTTTCATGCTGAGTACAGATGGTGTCAAAGAAACTTGATCAGCTTAAAAGGCTTACGTGAGTGGAGCATGCTTGTAACTGAACTTACTCAGCGCCTGGAGCGAATGAATATTCAGATGATACCAGGACAGGCACGGTTGAAACATGATGAAAAACCATTCATCTTAAAAGTAAGTAGAGCAAGAATGTAACAGAAGACCCGAACTTAGAACTAAGTTCGAGAGTGGAGAACATAGTCAGCTACAAATTGGTGTATTAGTTCACAATATATCGCTGCGTATTTATATTCAAGACGAAAACTAGTTTCATTGGAAATAGAATCAATGACTGGATGTGGAAAATGCGATTTCGGAAAAACTGCAGGTGCGAGTTTGTGGAGCCTTAATGAACCACAATTGATACAAAGTTAGTTGCGGTATGGGAATATCAAGCTAATTTTGAAGTTCTGTGAACTTGTTTGTGCCAGAGAAATGTATTTAGAAGTTCCGGGACTTGAACTACTGTGGAAGTTGGAAGTATACCTCTAACAAAACTCCAGTACTCACTCAGTAGAATGGAAAAACTCTGATCTGCACCATACACTAGAATCAGCTACTACTACTTTACTTGTGGTATATATGTACAAATACTGTTCAGATTCCAGATCACTGAGGACTCGATAAGGCACCACTACATCTCGTCAACAGCAGCAGCTACTGGGAAAAAGCTGGGCTAGGGCTATGAAGTACTTTTCTTCGCTTGACGTCCTTACTCTCTACAATGTCCAGATAAAACCTAGCCTCGAGTATTGCGCACATGTTTGGGGTGCTGTCGCCTTGACTACATTATCCATGCTCGATACTGTTCAGAGGAGGGCTGTCCGACTGATCAATGAATCTTCTCTAACAGACAGTCCCGGGACCCTTTCTCGCTGACGGGCCGTTGGCGATCTAGCTTTCTTTTGCCGCTTCGCCAACTGGCTTTGCTCTAGAGAGCTCTTCTCCATGATGCCGCCGCGCGATGTGCCTGTCAGACAAACCCGCCTGACTTCGGCCTCCTATTCTAACTTTGTCGAACGTCGTACATCCAGAACTGGCCTATACGACCGCTCCTTTATCACTGGCTTATCGAGATCGTGAAATAATCTACATGAGGATTTTTCCAGTTCTATTAACCCAAGGCAGTTCTAAAACTGGATTAACAAAGTTTCTTTAAGCTCTTCATAGCAGCCGCGGTGGCCTGGCATTTAGGCTTCTGTCTGCGCAGCTGCTACGGTATAAAAAATTTTGGATAGCCGCGCGATAGTAATGGGTCGGGAGTAATCTCCGGAAAGAACAATCCATAAACAAACTTGTTCTGTAAGAATGTTCAATTTGTTCTGTCGCAAGGAGAGAAAATATTTTTAAGTTTTAGGGGCAATGATGTCTGAAATAAGTTTAGAATTACCGGGGTTGAAAGTGTATTGATACTCTAACACCAAAAAAATTGATATACATCCTTCTCCGCCCACAAACACCTCACAACCCCCTATCCCCAATTTTTCACCCCAATTTTTTTTTTCAAAAATTATCAGGGCAGTCTGAAACGAAAGAAAACGCAGCCGAACCATTTTTTTTAAAACTACAAAACTGTTTTGTCCTTGATAGTACCTTGTGAAAAAGTTTCATCAAAACCTGAGCAGAACTTCAAGTTATAGATGGGTCAAGGATTACCGGACAGACAGACCGACCGACTTCATTTCCATGACTGACACGGGTTTTCGTCATATAACATACAAAAAATATAATATCGGATTTTCGAAATAGTAGCATATAAACACCACATAGTAAACTGGCTTTCCGGTTATCGTAGGTTTGTCCTACAGCATTTCATAAGCAACTATCCTCTGTCCAGGATATAAGATCTATCGAAATTATACAGCACACACTGCTATCTATTACCAGAATCGACAACTGTGAGAGTGAAAACAGCAAGTTCTCTGGATCTACATTATCAAGCTTAATTTCTGTTGGTGTACAAGGTAGTAAACTAGGTCCACTACTATTTATTTTCTACATTAATGACATTTGCAATATTTTAGATTATTGCAAGATTCAGATATTTGCAGATGATACATTAATATACATATCAGATGAAAATATAGACACTGCATTAAAAATGCTAAATTCTGACTTGGCAAAAAACATAAATTGGTTAAATGTAAATACACTCAAATTGAATGCCTTTAAAACAAAATGTATGCTACTGGGGAAATACCTAAATGAAAATACTATCACAGTGAGGATAAATGGTGATATAATTGAAAATGTTGAATCAATTAAATATTTAGGTATATATATACTCGTATATGATATATATATATATATTGATAGTAAACTAAAGTTTGAGGATCACTATGAGTACACTATTTCAAAAATTGTCAAAAAAAACCAAATTACTTTTATAGGGCTTCTCATATTCTTGGTACATATTCCAAAAAAATTGTTTATATTAAAATTATTCTACCGCATTTACTATAGTGTTCAACTATCTTGTTCACTGCCAATGAAGCTGTATTCTGAAAATTATAAGTCTCGCAAAATAAAGCTATGAGAATAATATTGAATAAAAATAAGTACACCAAAATAAAATTATGTTACAAGAATTGCAGTGGTTGAATATAAAAAAGTTGATATCATATGTGGTTCTTATTTTTATATTTAAAATAAAAAATCACCTTTGGCCATAACATTTAGAACACTACTTAGAATTGAATAATCATTACAATTACATATTATACAACAGAAAATATAGATTTTCATTTACAAAATTGCAATAGTAATATAACTAGCAAATCAATATTACAGAAAGGATTACTTGAATTTAACAAACTAAATAATGATATAAACTCTACTTGTAATTTAAAGATGTTTAAAAGAAAATTAAAGGAATATTTCATGTACGGTGAAAATTCTTAGAGATGCAAATTTTGATTTTTTTTTCTAAATATCTGTATGTTATGTAATTGTTTAGTTTTTTAAAAGAATGTAATTGTAGCAATCATGCTAACTAAATCTTAAACAAACAGACTGTCCACGTGCAGTCCGACTTAATTGCTACTAGGCGTGTTACCTGTGGTTCTTCAGCCGGTGGTTGGGGAGAAACGTTACCTCCGACTGTCGAAGTAGCAACACTTTCATAGCATATCTTTTATTTATCAGATAATAGCAGCTGGCGCCTTCTACCCGAACTTCTTCATCCGCGATCCGGACGCCGCCCAATTGAAAGAAAGGGATGCCGTAAAGATCGTGGGCGGTAGGAATCCGTTCAAGACGATCTATTTCATGGGCATGGACCCCAGACAACCTGGGCCACTTTATATTAGGGCTATCAAAGATATGCTGAGCGATAGCGACGAGAGTAAAGCTAATATGGAGGTTGGATTCGACGGAAGTACGAAGGTATTAATTTGTTTCTCTTTATTAGGATGGCTCGTTAGGACACATTCTTATGAAATTTGTCAAATATTTGTGTGAGCTTTTATATTGCATGCATCTCAGCAACCAGTAGCACAGATGTCAATGGCGTTATCTTGATTTACTTTATATACAGGATGTCCTGAAAGTTGCGACAGTCCTTAACAGAAACCAGTATATTTGGTATAACAAAGCTAATGTGTGTCAAAACAACAGCGAAACGTTAAATAGAATTTAATAAAAAGTAATCACTATTCATTTGAATTTCAAGTACTGCCTTGTCACATTTTCAAGTTCGTGAATACCGCTTAATGTTGCCGCCATTCCATTTAAGAAGTTTGTTAACTCCTTCATAAATTTCCAAAATTTGGGACGGTTTAGGTCTGTATCCATTTTGGCAGCGCCGGCCTTAGGATAGGGCGAGCGGGGCGGTCGCCCAGGGCCCGCGCTTTCAGAAAATTGGCGGCTAACCCAATGACCCAACAGCAAGTGCGAGTCAACACGCGGTTGCTGCAGTTAACCCAAATGGCCAATAGCTAACAAATGTAAATCGTCGGTTAAGCGGACCAAAGATCCACCTCGGCTTCAAGTTGAAAAGTAGAACACGTCGAAAATGGATGTTTTTCTAAAACTATTTGTCGGATTACTTAATTTTTAGCTGTTGCAATAAAACGTATGTACGTATGACGTGTCCCGTTTTTCTTCTTAAGATCGAGGCGAATCCTTGCGCCGCTCACCCGACGAAGTGCTTTGTTGTTGCTACCCTACTAACAATTACACCCAATAGTAAACCAGTGTAGATGCGCTGTTGAAAACTCTCAAATCGATTATCTTTTACGCTCAATAGCAAACGAGTGCTACTACCTTAGTAAATAACTAAACCAATTTCGTAAAAAAAATCGATTTTTTATTTTGAAAGATGTAAGAATTTAGATCTAAAGTTAAAAGATGGTGATTCGAAAGATGTAGATGGGGAAGAATTGTATATGGAATTGAAAATTTTTAAAACAATTTTACCAGTAACTATTGAACATGCCATTGACGTAGTTAATTATATAGTTAAAAACAAAATCAAAGCAATATTACACGAATATAATTTATAGAATCTTGTTAGCATTGCCAGTAACAGTTGCATCAGGGGAAAGATCATTCTCAAAACTGAAGCTTATTAAAACTTATTTAAGATCAACAATGAACCAAGACCGTTTATGTGGTTTGGCTATGTTATCGATAGAAAAAAAAGAAGCAAAAGATTTAGATTAATATTTTTGCAGAAGTAAAATCAAGAAAAGTGAAGTTTTCCTAATGTAAAATTGTGTATTTGTACAATTTATGTAATTTCGAATTTTATTAAAGTTGTATAAAATATAAAACTATTTATATTGTTATAAATAATAATTTTCCGAATTTCATTATTCTGTATTTTGATCGTTTAAATATTAAATGTTTTATGTTTTACTTTACATTATTATTAATATTAACCAATACGAAATATGGCACTTTTTTGAAAATTGAGATTTTTCACGCCCACTAAGGGGCCCCGCACCTCATTTTGGCCCCAGTTGTCTGGAGGAGTAAGGCCGGCGCTGCATTTTGGCGGCCTTTGCACGATACAAACCTAAGCCAATTTCATTTTTTTAGTGTATGATGTTTCAAATATTCTATCTTCTTTAAAATATAAAAACAACTTTGTCATAGATGGGATTTAATCATGTTTATTGAAAACTGTGCATGAGCACATCTTATTTCCAGTAACTATGTTGATTAATTAATCATTGTCCACTTGCAAGTTGCTAAGCATTTTAAACTATAGTTCAAAGCTACATCCTTACCTGATGGCTCTTGAAACAAAGGCTACACGTTCTGTCTGAGTTTCGTTTGGATAGCGCTCCCGAGAAGCTATATAAATATTTATAATAGTTTCTTTTTCAGGAACCGACATAGCTCTTTTTGCCCGTTTTCTTGGTAATTGGCCCTCGTCTAATAAGGCACTAATGTCGAAATATCTGGCAACGGACGGTGGCCGATAATATAATATATACTATAGTCGTACAATACGCTATAATATTATATTATATTACCACTGGAACAGACTACAGAATATATATTTTCATATCTTTCTAGTAGTGGTGCCGAACCTACCGATTTTTCAGCATTTCTGTGCGTAGGCTGATCTGTGCTGTACACAGTGTATTTAATTAACAAGGTATCCCCCATATGTTAATCTGCCGCGCTTGAGTAAATCCTAAAATCCCCTCTTGGGTTTACCTACTATTAGCTTTCAAACTACCTATGTATATAAAAATAAATATTTACAAGTTCCTACCGTCGGATATATTGCAATCAGCGATAATACTCCTCCAAGCTGCTTCTTTAATCTCATTATTTTCATACTCGTTCGAATATACCTTCCATAAACATGGTTGTTTTCTTACACGTTCAATAAAATACTGCATTTTGTCTATTGCGAATTCCGAAGTGCAAGAACAAATAATAAAATAGCAACATCGCGCCAAGCCGGCTGTCAGCAAGAGCGGTTCGTGGACATTTTCGGGTGACGAGACCCAAGAGGGGAATATACACCTTAGGAAAAACCATTGTTATACATGGGAAATCATTTCTTGGCAACAGCGTCTACTTTCATCGCTATTCGTACATATTTCCTACCGTTAACCGCAGACCTGTATCACGAATGAGAATAATAGGCAGATACGCTGTGTTGCCAATTTGAGTAGAGCTTCCCGAATTGTGGGGAATTTAGAGTTAAGTGTTGATTCATTCAAGCTTTTAATCAGCATGGCCTAGACGTTAGAACTTCATAAAGATAACATTGAAGCTGAATGCTGCTGGAGTATAGTGTTTCGAATATTCAAAGCGGAGCGGGACACTATACTCGTTCAATGGGTCATCAAGCCACAGTCTTTTCAACAAAGAAATTATTTTACGAAAATGCGTTATATTTTTACGATTTTGTCGTCACCAAATCTCTGTTTCTCAAAATGTACGTCTATTGTAGAATTTTCAGCTAAGCAAGAAACGTGATCTAGTATTTACTCAACATTACGGATTTCTCGAAATACATTAAAAAATGTGACCTAGATACCTAACTGCCCCAAGCTCTTTAAATATAACACCTTAAACCAGGGTTACCAGCTGCTCAGTCACTTTGATTGTCATGTTGTACTGCGCAAGTCAGCAAACAATCTGGTGTAATAAACGTTAGGAATCATCAGGTATTGCCAGATTCCCGAATACCGGGCATCATAGTACCCGTTATAGTTGTCCTTCAAAGTTGTCAAGTCGCCCCTATGGCGCAAATTCGCCACACCAGGCAACTGTGCTATAAACAAACCCTGTTTATCACTACTATTTGATAGTCATATGGTAGTTGTAGCCCTATCTAGCGGTCCATGATTTCTCTCAATACTGTTGTATCTCTACTGGCAACAAGAATAGCGATTACAAAATCATTTATACAACAATATACAAACATGAAAAATATGATTTGAACCATGAAACATTAATACAATTTTAATAGTTTGAACTTTTCTCATTTTTGGAATACTCTTATGTGGAATCCGCAGCTATTTTTCCCGAAATTTGGGTAGACTTAGATTTCTTAGAAATATGACATATTGGTATCGGCAACTCTGCGAATGGGAGAAACAAATCGCATTTGTTGAGCGCATCCGTCTAAACGGTAGGCGCCAGCGCCCGTTCTGCCATCTCTCTCTTTTATCACTCTTCTACTTTACCCCGTTGTCCGTCACACTCCGACGCTGCCACATATGATCCTACAATCGAGTGTCTTTCACGCACCTACATACTTTTGTATATTTCCATCTCTCTTCCTCATCATAATGTATAATAATGTTTTTTCCCAAGGTGTATACAGGGTTATCCAAATTAAGTGTCCACCATTGGTAACTTTGTTATTAGTAAAAATACAAAGTTGTTTAAATTAGCAAACTAGTAGCATTTTTAACGCTGGTAAAAATGAGAAATAAAAAAAAACAATTGAGAGTCGTTATTTTGATTTTTTTCAGTAAAATAACATTTTTTAAATGGAAACCCTTGTATATTATATTTTTTTCTGTTAAAGCATCAAATTTTAAACAAAAAAGTTCATAATGACTTTTCCGCTAAAGTCAAAAATAAAGTCAAAATAACGATAAATATTTTTAATTATTTGCAGTATTATAATATTAAGACGGCTATGAAAACAACATGGCGTTCGCGATTTGACAGCATTAAGATAAGCGACAAATTGTTAAACTGGACATACTCGCAACTAGAAGGCTTTGGAAAACAATGATAAAATCAAATAATGTCAAACATTAGTGTAAATACTTGTTTATAAGCTTTATTGTGTCATTAATTTAAAGAAAAATGTTCTCCCATGAAGAAAAGTGTGATATGTTAGAATGCTATTTAGTGTGCAGAAAATCCTCCTTGAGAGCAAGAGAATACTACAGTGAATTATATCCCGCTCGCATTCAACCGTATGAACGATATTTTCTGAGACTTTATCGAAAATTTAGGGGCAACGAAAATGTTTTTGCTAAAACAAGGGCAAAAAAAGAATTCATAATAAGCGAGGCCACGGAAATTGCAGTTATTGGATATTTTGAAGCTTATCGTGAGAATTCAATAGCAGATATTCTCAAGGACTCTAATTTCAGTTATGGTACTGTTCAAAGGATTTTAAAAAAATACAAATTTATTCCGTATAAGTACCGACCAGTTCAAACGCTTTTGGCAGGGGATCCAGAGAGAAGACTTGTTTTTTGCCATTGGTATCTTAGCTTCTGTCGCCAAAATGTAAATAACTTTCGTTACCTTTTATGGACAGATGAATCAAATTTTTCAAATTCTGGAATGTTTAATAGAAAAAACCACCATTATTGGTCAAGAGAAAATCTTTTGTTAGTACATCCAAGAGGCCCACAAGTCCGTTTCAGTTTCAACGTTTGGTGCGGTATAATTGGTTCAAAAATTGTTGGCCCGTTCTTTTATGAGGGAACCCTAACTGGTGAAAGATATGTGGAATTTATGTCAGAAATTCTGACTAATTTCTTAGACGAATTGGATCTTATAAGTAGACATCATCTGCATTTTCAGCAAGATGGCGCACCTGCCCACAACTCCAGAGGTACTTATCATTTTCTAAGTACTCCTTTTAATGATCAGTGGATAGGAACAATACAGTGGCCTCCCAGATCACCAGATCTAAACCCACTTGATTACTTCTTGTGGGGTTACTTAAAGAACCAAATTTACAAGCGAAGGTACGATAACCTTGACGCGTTAAAGACTGCAGTTAGGGAAAAGATAACCCAGATAGATGGTAGGACCATACTTAAGACAGTTCGAGCAGTTGAAAAACGTGCCCAAAAATGTATTGAAGAACAAGGTGGTGTTTTCGAGCATCTTCTTTAAAAAAAATTGTTATTGTATTTTGTAAGATTATAAGTTGATGTTGAAAATAAAGTTTGTCGATACAATTTAATTGTTTCAGATTGGAGGCCATAACTTCAACAATTTGTAACCTAGGAGAAAAGTTATTGTAAGCTTTTTTGTTTAAAATTTGATGCTTTAACAGAAAAAAATATAATATACAGGGGTTTCCATTTAAAAAAATGTTATTTTACTGAAAAAAATCAAAATAACGACTCTCAATTGTTTTTTTTTATTTCTCATTTTTACCAGCGTTAAAAATGCTACTAGTTTGCTAATTCAAACAACTTTGTATTTTCACTAATGTGAAAGTTACTAATGGTGGACACTTAATTTGGATAACCCTGTATAGCGCTCGGTAAGCATATCATAGCACACACAAAAAAAATTCAACCGTACGCCACAGTCCTGTGAAAATTCTTCTTCGGAAGTGCTGTTTGTGAACTTGACTTGACGGCTTATCTAATAGGAACGAGGCGCGTGCCGGTCAGATTATTTATTACTCCGTACGTTCGTTGGGTAGATTATGGTACTACATCAAACTGAGATTAGCAGGATACAAGTTCAAGTGGCATTATTACTCACATATAGGTGTTTTTATCGGTATTCTACTTCTCTGGAGAATTTCTGTCATTAATGGTGATTTCTTCAGTTAACAGATTGTTATTTTCTTCATACCTGCAGACGCCTAACCTCCTATAATACCATCATTCTTCCAAATTTCTTGTACTGTTTGACTATTCTATATTTAGCAAATAATTACATTTTTGAATATAATAAATTATACACAGAGATAAAAGACCAGAAAACTTTGACAAAATTTAAAGTAAAATTGAGAAATCACTTGTTAAATGTACAATTATAGGTTGCCCAGCATTCACATCATACATCATATGGTTTGAATTTACTAATTCTAAGTTGTTTACAATTATTCTATTTATGTAGCCAAATGTGCTAAATAAATCTTTTACTACTACTACATTCTAAGGACTTAATTCGTCATGCTACAACTTATTAAGTCACTGCTTTGGCGAGAAATTTTACATTTAAACTTAACAGAGCAGGGTAGCCACTTCTAGTTCAAATAGAAGACAAACAGAAAACACCAATAATTGATATTTTGGATTTACTAAATACTAAAATATAAATAAATAACATAACATAATAATATGAATACTAAAAATACATACAAAATCATTTTTTAATTCTCAGATCTACATAGAATTTAAGAAGTTCGACCAGAGAGAGCAGATAACCGTATCTGTAAATGGAAGACAGATGATTACAGATTCTATACCAACAAGAATTCCTAAGGAGGTCTATGAGGCAATTCGAAAGAGGCAGCTTAGATATGAATTTGCTATCAAAGTATTACCGTAAGTTGATTCACATGATTTTTTTGCTCAATGTTGTAATTGTTCAAGATTCACTATACTTTTTCTTATCTTTGTAAGTACCGTACATTTTTTCATATCTACATATGTTTTTTTACAGAGAAGACGACGCTTGGAAATGGGTGAAAGACCATAATATAAAACTAAATAGTACCTTCCAGGCTATGGAAATATCCTCGTCCTCTGACTCTGATAGAGATTCTATCAGTAGTTATGGTCAAGACGAATATTCACCTGTTCCTACATTGGATGTTGAACATATAACCATTAAAATCTCAGAGGTAATCTATTTTATTAACATTGCCACCTTTTTTCCTTTACAAAATTAGAATTTTAATATGGCGTTTCGTCCTCCAGCATTGGTTTTTTCTCGTATCTCTTACCGTTTCGGAGATCCCAATGGTGAAGGTCAGATTTTAAACAACCAGTATAATACCATTTATTCAAAGAAAATGTGTATGAACTTCCAAAAATCGAAAGTAATAAGTTTTATATTTTTAATTATGTACAGCTTACAACACTTGTCACATGGACCTGACCGTTACCACCGAGTGTACAAGGCCAAACAACTGGGCTGTGAAAAGCCTGTGACGTCACGCAGAGTAGGCCTATGCATGTTCTTATGGAGTTTCGCGATTATAGCTGGCAAGAGAGCAGCGCCACCATTTCTCTGCGGTGTTGTCATATCTAGATTTGATATAGCAGTATCGAAATCTCTACTAATTAGCTGTACCTCTCTGTGGGCGAATTTGCAAGATGTACTCGGGGCCTGCGCAGCTTCAGTGATGATGTGATTATTCTTTCTGATCTGCCTCAGTATGTCAAGAATACATTTTCGATATTACGTTCAATCTGTCACTTGTGAAGACTAATAATTGGAATATGTGGCAACCTTGATAACACCGCTAACATCCAACAGCCAACTAACCGCAAATTCTGAGCCTCTCTTATGTATCTTTTTGTGTTATGTAAACTGTAAATTATTGATGTTTTAAACTTATATTTGTGTCTCGCGATTGTTTAGCTAAGTTTTCAAAATGCCTTACAAGTACTGCGTTCCTAATTGTGCCGGTAATTACGGGAAGGGTCCGAAGGTACACGTATTTTCGTTTCCATTGAATGAAAACTGTCGTAAAAGATGGCTCAATGCAATTCCTGGTAGTGATTTAGTAGTCACAAAAAACACCAGAGTATGCAATTTGCACTTTGCCGAGGACAGCATCATTTGGGAATCCACCTTCCATTACTGTACCCCTTAAGTACCAAAATAGAAGGCAGATGTAATTCCAAGTATCTTTGCAAATTGTCCAAAATATCTTTCAAAGGACATATCAAGCAGAAGAAGCCGACATGAGAAATTGAGGGACAAGGAACAAGAACAACTACTTAAAGCACTGCAAAGTAGCATTGATGATTATTCCTCCTATCCAAAATCAATAAGTTTTCAAAATTATTCAGTCTTTCTCACAGTTTTCAGTTCATGGCAATGTCCATATGGGTGGCATAAAATTGTTCAGGATAAAGTCACTATGTTTAAGTTAGAATATAAATCAGCACCCATCATAACTCACTCTGTAATTGTTGATAAAGATCTCAATGTAAAAACGTATATGTACTCCCAAGCATTGTTACTCAACTCAGGTAATATTAAAACTCCATTTTTATTATCTAATATACACAACTTGGATGATGTTCTGAATGTTATTTCTGAGAATGTAGATGCTTCGAGAGAATATTCAGGTAAAGACCAGTTCAGAGCCACTATCAACTGTGCTTACAATATTTTAAATAGCACAGAACTATTCACCGATGAAGAGACCCACACTGTCAATCAATTTATTTGTCAGCAACTAAAGCTTGTTATTAGTCAGAAGAACAGACACAGTTACTCATCAGAAACAATAGTGTTTTGCTCTATGTTGTATACAATCAGTCCACATTCATATAGATTTATTAGGAGCCATTGAGCACTTATTTTACCACACCAAAATACTCTGAAGTCAATTTGTAATACATTGATGGTCGATCCAGTTCCCGATGAGAGATATAACTTTTTAGGCTATGCAAAGAACACAACTGTTCAACAAGCACTACATTTTTTATATAATTTACAAGTACTATTATATTATGCCTATAAAAATAGTAAATTGTCCACATTTGCCTGTGAAATTTTGTTGATCGGTTGTGACTAACATGGGGTTATTCATTGAAGAATTTATCATTTTTAGCAAGCTTTTATAACATCCACTTATTACTCTAATGTGCATGTAATGTTGGATAAAATATCGGTGAACATCAGCATGAAAATAGTTAATAACTACTTTAATATTTTCCACCAAGTTGCCTTCATATACCAAAAACACTTTTCTGAATTATCCGTTATTTACATCAGGTAGAGTATATTAAATATGCTGCAATAATAATATATTATTCACTAGCGCTGATGTACGGCACGCCGTGCTGTAGGCCGGCCGACCGGCCTACTCGTGGTGATGTCACGCGTCTATTGTCAGGCCTTGTATTCTCGGTGGTAACGACCTGACCTATTTATCATTATTTGTTATGAATGTGATTAGTAGTTAGAAAATTTCAGAACTATTGCAAACTTGTCTGTTTCATTGCTTGACCATTCCTCTTTCAGTTTGTTGACGCGTCTCACTTTTGGGTAAACTGCTACGAAAGTGAAAACCACTTAGCCCAAGTAGATCAAATCTTAAACAAGACTGTATTAAGAAGCGTTGTGGAAGTCAGAGATAAAGTGGCCGTTGGGAAAAGATATGCAGCGAGATTCCAAGATGATAACCTTTTTTACAGATGCCAGGTGTTGTCGCTTACGAAGACAACAGCACAGGTACGATCTAACGCCAATTTTCTGCTCATATCATTTTGTGCGTGCTCTTTACAGAAAATTAGTTTTGCCTATTTTCGGATTCGGTCAGCCTTGGTCAACATTTAGCGAAATTGAAAATATTGGAATATCGGGAAGAGTGATGTTAAAATGCGCAAGTATTCGTTAGTGCATTAGCATGACACGACGTTGTATACGGTTGGTTATGATCACAGAGACGGAAAGCAAACAGATCGTATCCAGTTTGGATTTATTAGTTTTAAATGTCTTGTAAGAGTGTCTAAAACATGGGGTAAAAATTCAAGAAGTGAATTATGATTATAAGACTTTTTTTGTCATTTCTCTGTTCGTTTCTGAGATACGTGCCCCTGGTAAGTAAATGGCGTTGGCATTCCTAGTGGAATAATAGCCGCCCTACTTGGGCTCTTCTGGTTAATAACATGCGAGGAACCACTCCGCATGTTTTTGTTTTTCTCTTATAGGTTTTCATGCGACTTGGCACTATTCACTACCTTCTCCCAGTCTTTCCTATTCTCATAGAGTTCTCTCCAGCTTCTAATTCCAAGGGTTTCTATGACTGTGCATACTTGGTCTTCCTACCTTCCTTTTGGTCTTCCTCTTGTTCTAGCTGTCGTTGGCTTCCATTTAGTAATCTTTTTGATCAACGTATCATTGTCTCTTCTTTCCTTATGTCCTACCCACCTTAACCTTTGGGACTTAATCTTACAATATCTTCCCCATTCAGCACTCTCAGAATTTCCTCATTTCTAAGCAGCCTAAGCCATTCGTCTTCTTTTATTGGTCCTATAATTCTTGTTGTTGTTGTTGAAGATTTATTTAGCATTAATGCTACAATGCCAATTTTGTATGATTGAAGTAAAAACACATAATACTGTTGTTGTTGATTATCAATGGTGGTATATTAATTTTGAAATGAAGATTAAACAAAATTACATATACGTTTACTACAGATCTCCAAGCTGTAATATTAGCCGATTTTTGGACTTTTTTTAGAGTGTTTGTGAATAACAGTATTATCCACTGTGCACTTGGGAGGCTTCAATATAAATTTTGATAATCACGATTTTTACGTAAAAAAATTTAAACAAGTACTGAACTTTCATGTTCTATGGCAAAAAGTTAATGACTACACAAGGATTACAAACTTTTCACGAACTAAGATTGATTTAATAATAACCAATGAACAGAATTTGAGTATTAAGGTTTTACATACTCCAAAAATAAGCGACCATTCGTGGATATATTTCGAGGTGGAAAATATGTCTAATGAGAGAGAATCAAGAGAAATCAGAATTATTGAGTTTGAAACGTTATGAGAGTCACTCTTACAAGCCAATATCACTGAAATTTTTAATGATGCTGACACTTACTTCTCAAAAATTATGGATTGTATGGAGAACTGCATGAGAGACGCACAAATTAGGAAAGTGTTATATCAAAGGAAAAAGCCAACACTCTGGTTTTCACAAATATTTCTAGACTCTAAATTGACGCGTGATAATGACTATAAAAAGTTTATGATCACTCAAACTGAGGAAGATTGGATACAATATAAGAAATCATGAAACAAATCTTAGGAACGAAAAGAAAAAATATTATGAAAACAAAATCGATAGCAATAAAAATAACAGTAAAATGATGTGAAAGACACTAAAAACATTGTATCTTCCAGTAGGAAGAATGCATTATCAAGAATGTGCTTCGAAGATGGTATAGTAACACAAAAAATATGGATTGCCGAACGAATGAACGCTTATTTCATAAAAAGTGTAAATGAGATAGTGGAATCAATCAAAGATGGGGATCCAAATCTATGTCACATGTAATTCTTCTATGACAAAATTCCAAACAATAAATATCAGCTAACTTTCAAAAGCCATTACAAGATTGAAATCGAATAGAAATTCTAGTGAACATCTTTCAAAAATGGTTATGAAGGAATGTTTCAACATTATTGGAGAGAAGTTATTATTGTTAGTGAATCACTGTTTAGTGTATGGCAAATTTCCTTCAAAATTAAAATGTTCCACAATTACTTCTGTTCCAAAAATGCAAAATTCTGAGTTATATACAAACATGCGGCCAATTAATGTACTGCCAGATGTCGAGAAGCTCTTAGAAGGAATCATATATGAAGTCATTGCATATATTGAAGAAAATAAGATATTGACAAAATTTCAAGCAGGATTCAGAAAAAGGTTTTCTACTGAAGCAGCAATTCAAATGGTAGTAGAAGAATGGAGGCGAAATATGGATGAAAAAAGTTTATAGTAACATTGTTCTTAGATTTCAAGAGAGCATTTGAGACTCTTGACGGGGATAAATTGTTAACGAAATTGCATTGCTATGGATTTCAAGGTTGAGTATTCAACTTATTACAAAATTATTTAATCAAGTCAAAGTACTAAAATTGGCAATACATTATCAAACATTAAAAACATTTCGCTAGGTGTGCCACAGGGTAGCACATTAGGTCCATTACTATTTATTTTATACATATATTAACGATATTCCTGATATTTTACAACACTGCAAAATTCAACTATTTGCTGAAGATACATTAATATACTAAGTGACATATAAATCCGAGCACCCAGTTTAAATGGTTTTATTTTAATAAAATTTTGTATAAGTACTTAATGAAGCATAATAAATAAATGATAAAAATTTCAAAATGATTGCACTGCTTTAAAGCCCTTTGACCTTTAATAATGTGTGGATGCACCCTGATGTGCTACGTATTCTCCAACGCGCCTAGGCATGCTTCTGATCAGGTGGTCAATGTCCTCCTGTGGTATCTCATTCCAGGCAACCACCAACTCCTCTCGAAGTGCTTCTAGAGTCTGAGGAGGACGTTGCAAATTGAGCAATCTCCTACCCATCATATCCCACACGTGCTCAATTGAGGATAAGTCGGGAGATCTTGGTGGCCATGGTAACAATGTGACATCATTATGTTGAAAGAAGTCTATTGTGATTCTTGCAACATGTGGTATGGCATTATCTTGTTGGAAAGTTGGATCTGCCAGGGTATCAAGATAGGGTAAAAGATGGGGTTTAGAACTTCGTGGATATAACGCTGCGCGTTCATGTTACCTCTGATGAAGATTAAAGGTGACCTGGAACCATAAGCTAGAGCACCCCAAACCATAACTCCAACAGTGTGATGAACATGTCTTCCAACAAAAAACTGTGGATTCCTCCTTTCACCACGTCGCCTTCTAACCCTGGCACGACCATCGTGCATGCCTAAACAAAATCGAGACTCGTCACTAAAGACAATACTGTTCTATTCCTGATCCCAGAGTGACCGTGGTCTGCACCACTCAAGGCGATTACGTCGGTGTTCTCGAGTTAAAGGGAGGACCCAGTGTGGCCGGTATGAGAACAAGCCAAAACTTCTCATTCGTCGGTAAACACTTCGCATGCCAATAGGTCTTCCGTGTTCTGCAAACCATTCATTTGCAATGGACCTGGTAGTGGAGAAACCGTCCCTTAAGGCCAATAATCTTAGGCGGCGATCTTCACGGTCTGTTGTTCTACGGCGGCGTCCAGTGCCACTTGCTCTTTGCGTACGGCCTTCTCAAAGCCATGCCTGACAACACCTAACCACAGTGTCTATACTTCTTTGCACTCTAACTGCAATTGGCCGAAAAGAAAGTCCAGCTTCCCGAAGTCCCACTATACGGCCCCTATCAAACTCACTAAGTTGACGAAATCGTACAGGTCTCCGTACTCTAGGCATCGTAACCGATCGTAAAGGATGTCAAGAACCAAAATCCGCCAACGTTGATTCTTTACTGCGGCTGAAATATTCATTTTTAGAGCGTTAGTGAATCAAAAAAAAAATCAGTATAAAAACCGGAATGTCCAACTGATAAGGCTGAAAATTTTTTCACTTGTTATTTACAGTAAGATAAATACATTCACCAACTTTTATTAAAATAAAACCATTTAAACTGGGTGTTCGGATTTATATGTCACTTAGTATATATTTATATATATATATATATATACTATCAAATAAAGCCCTTGAAACTGCAATAGAGCTGTTAAACAATGATATGAAAAACGTAATAAATTGGTTAAATGGAAATAAACTAAAACTAATCACAAACAAAACAAAATATATGCTAATAGGAAACTCTTTAGATCAAAATACGATAAAACTTACAATTAATCATTAAAAAATTGTGTCAATCGAATCATTTAAATACTTGGGCATATACGTAGACAGTAAATTAATATTTTAAAGGCACTATCAAATATTATTTCAAAAATATCCAAGAAAATAAATTACTTTTATAGAAGTTCGCATAGACTAAGCGTTTATTCCAAAAAAATTGTGTAAACACTATCATTCTTCCTCAGTTGTTATATTATTCGACTATTTTGTTCACTGCAAATGAAACTGTAAATTAAAAATATTACAAAATAAAGCAATGAGAATCATCTTATATAAAAATAAATATACTATAATAAATTTGATGTTGAAAGAACTACAATGGTTAAATATCAAAAATTTCATAGCCTACTTGGTTTTCATTCTCATATTCAAGTTGAAAAATCATCTTCTACCAAATCACTTATTTTATTGTATTGAACAATGAGTGCCACAATTATTCTACTAGAGGAAGTATAGACATTAATTTACAAAACTGCAGTAGCAATATAACGAGCAAGTCAGTATTTCAAAAGGGATTGTACGAATTTAATAAATTAAGTAATGATATCAAGATGTGTGTCAGTTTGAAAATGTTCAAAGGGAAATTGAAAAAATATCTCATGGAAAACCAGAATTCATAGCAGTGAAATTTTGTATAAAAATATGTACTCTTGAAGACATAATATATTTTGTGATATACTGTGTAATATGGATATAACAAAATGTCGTCTCACGTGTAATATTTTTAACTTGTTCGGGTGGATTGATATTTTTAACATTTAACGAAGGTATCTGCCGTTTTACAACAAACCCAATGTCCCCCCCTCCTTTTGTTTTTATACTGATTATAATTTCGATCTTCTCTACGTTCGTTCTGAAACACCTTGTGGCTGCAACCTCACCGACGAAATCCTGATGAAGGCTCCATAGAGAATGCCGAAAGCTTGATTTTATCGTCAAAAGAGTCAAGTTAAGCCTAAGAGTTTAGCCAATTTTCTCAATTAAAAATTAATTGTATTTTGAACCCAACTGGTCGTTGGCTTTGGCAATGACTACCGCTCATATATATATATATATATATATATATATATATATATATGTTTACTTCCATATATATATATATGGACATTGTAGCATTAATGCTAAATAAATCTGAAACAAACAAACAAAAATTCGGTTAAATATTTTTCTTCACTCTGTTTTCTGTAATTTTACATTCTTGTCTATTAAAATTAAAATTACGTCACTATGTATTTTGATTATTCATAAAGTGATTTTTTTCGGATAATTTTGCGTTCGAGAACTCGGAGCCCCTGATAAACGGCACTGAAAATCAGTTTTTCTTAAATAAACTGACGCCTGACTACAGGTCGCGCGACGAGTTGTATAAGGGTCGGTCCTGGTCACAAAATGAGCTGTTTGTGAGAAAAACACTTTTATTGACCAATTTTGACTGATACGATATTTAAATGAAGATTATCACATCGAGGGTATTCATTTTATTTTCGCGATTACGCATACGCGACATACTAACCAAACTGGCCTCTAAGGTCCTAGGTGGCTTCGCATTTATGAACTTCGAAGCTCTAAAAAGGCAGAGCTCCTATAAAAATAGAACCCTTCCAATACCTGCTCCTCCCGATTTGCACTGCAGCCAATCTTCAAAAAGTCGGACACATGATAAACGATATATATCCGATGGATTTTCAGGCCGTTGAACACAAATCTATTATCAAAATTACGATACTTTAATTAAGTGCATCAGAATCCGCATACTAATCGGTAAAACAGCACTTAAATAAGGCCATAACCAACTGGTTGAACAAACTGAAGCAAATCTCTTTAAAGCCAACAATCAGCAATTCGTACGATGCACTCAACTGAAACTGCTACCCAATTAACTGTTTGTAAATTTGAGACCATAAATAGAAATATATTGTTTGCAAAACTTGCAGTGTATGGAATTTCTGATAAAGTTTATAATTTGTTTTTTAATTACTTGAATGGCATGAAACAAATGGTTAGAATATGTCGTATAATTATTGAAAATAAAATCTGAGTACCGCAGGGCAGTTGATGGGTCCACTTCTTTTCATTTTATACCTCAAAGATATGCATCTATATGATACAGTACTGGCATGCTCTGACAGTAATCTGGATACAGCTATTAACAAGGTGAATATTGTTTTGTATAAGGTAGATAATTACATGAAACTCAATTCGCTTAAATTTAATTTGGCTAAAACAAAGGATATGATCATAACAATTAAATATCTGTGATGAACATATCTGATGTTAATTTTCACATTAAGAATTAAAAAGGTGAAATTGTCACCATGATCACCTATCTCGGAGTTCAGTTGGACAACTGTTTAGCTTTTGATAAATATTTTGAATATATCTGTGAAAATATATAAAAAAAACTATACTTTTTTTAATAAGCAGAATTCACTTCAAACTACAAAATCGTGCAATGAGAGTTATATTGAGGTGTAATCCTGTAAACACAATGCTGAATACATTCTGTATCACAAAGAGTATTCTATCTGAGAATGGTTTTTATCTTTAAGATAGTTGCCTAGGTACTTGATTGATAATATTAACTTTGCTTGTGATGTTCAGCTTTATTCAACCGGACAAAACATGAACAAAAACTTTTATAAACCTGCTAGAAGAGCTCTATGAATTCACTATATTTTAAAGGTTTCAATGCATTCAACAAATTGCCTAGGGACATCAAAGAACGTTCAACTTTTCATATATTCATACTTGAATTTATTAATACTTGTCTTTGTTTTTGCTGATTGATGTTCTTTGCTTTTAAAATGTACTAATCTTAAGGTAGCTAATGTTTTTGCTACATGTTTACTCTTTTAATGCCGTGTATTTTTATTCATTCTGTATATTAGGATTGTCCTATTTCTCAGCTCATTTTATTGAAATCAAACAATACATTTTTCACAGCTGAATGATTAGGCTTTTCAAAAGTAACATTATCATCAAAGGTTGTAATTTTATACAAATATTGACTGGCTTCCTTCTAGTTTTACGGGCTAGTGACACGAGTTCTATTTATTCCGAAAAACTTTCCTCATATCAATCTTGTTTCCAGGTGATGTTTATCGATTATGGTAACATCCAAGTAGTGAACACTGACGATTTATACCTGTTACCTAACAACCCCATTTGCAAGGTAGCACCTCTTTCATTGGAATGTGTTTTGCATGGTGTACAACCTTCTAGAAGGATGAATCCTAATGGTGTTTGGTCAGATAATCTCAATATGTACTGGAAGAGACAGCTAGTTGGAATACTACTCTATGGCAGGGTAAGCTATTACTTTTTTTTTGTTTTGAGTGAAATCCCCTGGATTGCCTCAATCTTGAAAAAAAATCACCGATTTTGACGAGGAAAGGCCAGTGGTTACGGGTCCATGTTCATAAGTCACAGTGGTAACTTATTTCTTATATTAACGTACGATTTATCTTGATAGGTGCATTCTGTTGTCGATAATGTAGCATATATTGTCATCTACAAAAGGCAGCGTGAGGAGAGCTCTGTGAATGATATAATGCTCAAATTGGGACATGCTGATCCAGCTGCTGAAAGTTTCCTTTCCAAGGTAAGACATAGGAATATTTCTTATAATCCAAGTAGATTAAAACAACAAAGTCACCGAAGCACGTTTCAAGCAACTATCAGTCTCATTTTGAGGTTGAGGATATTGCCATTGATTATATACTTATTTGGTTCCTAAAAATCTTCATCGGGAAGAAAATCGGAAGTTACGTACGCCATAAATAAATCCTTGTCAAATCACTCAGCATTATGCTTTATTTTTTATTTCCCAAAGGCTCCCCAATACATAACAAATACATGACCAGTTAGGGATTTGTGGAAAGTAACATATTTCTGTTGATCACTCATACACTATCAACTTGCTTGTCAGCAATCTTGTATCGACTGTAGGTCTCCTGGAAGGTTCTCAACACTGTTACTCGCAACTAAATTACATGACAGATTACAAAAACTTGATACAAAAGTGCTTATAGTTTTTTTCACTGTCACAGAATGACTAACTGCACCATGTGCAGAGCTTAACTTCCTGAAGGGAAATTACGCATTGCCGATTCTTAATGCAGCTGCTGCTCGCTCTTGCACACACCGTTTTCATACACTTCTTGAAAATATTTCAATAAAATTAGCACATCTATCCGCATTGTAGTTGTATCTTCATGCATTATGTTTTATATCAAATATGATCAAAAGGTAAACTTGAGTCGCACGTCCACGGCAAGTTGACATACCGACAGAGCCAACTATATGTTGACGAGAAAATGTTCAAGGTGAAGAGACAAAATTAAAAAATGGAGCCAATGCTTCCCACGTCCTAGATTTTTTTCGCGATTTCAATACTTCTTTGCCTGTGGTGCAGGAAGTAAAAACATATGATTCTGAGCTTAAACAAACAGCCACTCATCGAGATAGATTGCATATGTTATGTGTAAGGGAGATGGATGTTTGAAAGTAATTCACCTATTTTCACTGTGATCTGTCAAAGACCGTGAAAAGACGCTGTATATCTGATTATGAATTAATCTTTTAGAAAACGACAGGATCGTAGCTTCAGAACCCTGCACTTCCCTGCGGGGTGGAAGATTGCTGAGGTCATCATGATTCCAAAAAAGGTGGGTTCGATATTTCCTCAGGATTACCGTCCCATTAGTCTGCTGTCAGCTCCTGAAAAGGTGATTTATCGTCATCTCGAGAATCTTTCTTCAACTCACCAAATGATTCCTGACGTTCAATTCGGCTTTCGGTCCGAGCATAGTACCGAGCTACAGGCAGTCAGGCTGGTACATCATGTAACCAGAGGGTTCACCCTCAGCATGAGTACTGGAATCTGGCTTTTGGATGTCTCAAACAGCAAACACTGCTTTGACAGTGTTGCACGCGGGCCTCCTCTATAAACTTCTAAAATTACTCAAATCCTTTCTTGAAGGAAGGAAGTTTCGGATCAAAATTAACAATGTTTTGTCAACAACACGGCTAGTACGGCCCGGTGCTCCTCAGGGCTGGGTTGCAGAGTGCGGTGGACGAAGTACTAAAGTGGGCGGAACGGTGGCCGATTAAAATTAATCATTCGAAAACGCAGCCTATTTATTGTACCAAAAAACATCGCGCCCCCCAGCCGAGGTTTCGGTAGACGGAAATCGTATACCATGGACAAATTCTGCCAGGTATCTCGATGTCACCCTTGATAAAGGCATGACCTGGCAGAAACACAGCAGCCTTGAACACAAAATTCCAAATTCCGTTTCGGCAACTATATCCTTTGTTATGTAGATCCTCTAAATTGAGTTTGATAAACAAAGTTCGACTATTTATGTATGTGCGGCTTGGTGTTTTCTTGCCAAGACACACATGCAAAGTCTTTAAGTACTGCAAAGCAGAACTTTACGAACAATTTGCAATGCTCCATGGTATGTCTCAAACAAGACACTACACAGAGATCTTGACATTCCTTACTTGAGGGATTATGTCAAGCTTCAGGAGCAGCGACGTTATAGTCAAGCGGAATCGTTGCGTGACTAAGTGGACTACACAGTGGAGCAAGTTAGTAAACATTCAAGGCCACAGCTCGCGCTGTAATAAAAAATTAGCGCGAACTTTTAGTTCACCTCATTAATCCGTGTACCAAGTCAAAAAGTGTAGGTGTTTTCTCGTAAAGTAATACACTTCTGTTTTTCCTTGATCTCCGCCTTTTTTCTTCTCTTTCTCTTTTTCCTTGACATTGTATGATTTCTGGGAAACCAGGACCGACAAATTCGACTAACGTACATTAGACAGTGACAAATAGGCAAAGAACCTACGGACCGCCCAGACAAACAAATGGCGAATACAAACGTTAGCTGAAGTGTTACAATGACATTTACCATGAATTGGAGGGCAACCGTAAACGCACTGGTTGCGGTAGAGCTAGCAACCGTCGAGCAATTGGTTCAGTTTCCGCGTTTTTGGTATAAAGGCTTGTATTTGTATATACGTCTCGAGACTGGTTGCCGTCGTATTGCGGTTGCCATTTGAACTATCGCTAAGATTTTTTAACACCTTTCCAGACAGATCACGAGAGGCGCAAAATGGTGATGTCCTCAGCTAACCCGACAGGCGAAGCCGCCCGTTTCCGCTTCGACAAAGTGATCAACTACAGTGACTTTGAGACACCCCAACTGCATGGGGCTCACTATAGGCGGGTGCCTCTGAAAGGACCTTTCAATCCATTGGAGATGAAAATATTCGGGTGTTTGCAAAGTTCCGGCAACAAAACTGTGGAAGTCGAAGGACAATCGGTCAATACAGTGTTGCTGGATAGTGATCCTCAAGATCAGCATACCAGGTAAATTATTTTTGAGAGCTAACTACAAAACTTGCGTTCCCATTTTTCTATATTTTACATGAGCTCCTGGCCGGAATTCAAATCAATTTCTCTCAGTTTTTCGTAAATTCGCCGTCTTAATTGTTCTTCATCTTGGGCTTCCCAGCCTCCATGATAAACCTTCCTAGAAAGTAAAACCCAAAAATCCTCTATTGGGCGAGCCTGCAGCAAGTTTGAAGGATTATCGTTTTTGGTAATAAAATATATGTTGTGTTGTCGAAGCCAGTTTTGGGTATCTCTTGAGTAATGGCATGATGCTTGGGGTGACTAAAACATGTCATGATCATTAGAATGATGTTCGTGGACAAACTGAAGCTGTTTGGAAAGGCAGTTATCAATATAGCTCTGACTATTCAAAGCTTCACCCCTCACTCTTCCAAAAAAGGTTGGGATGCACCCTAGTTAGACATTGCGCACCAGACAAGGAGTTTATCTGCAAATTTCGCTTTATGTTTGTATCTAACATTGTCAGAGCATTCCTCTACGTTATAAAATCTGTCCCTTCATTTCAGAATTACTCAAAGTGAAATACTTTTCGTCATCTAAAATAATGATTTTTCCATTGGCAAAGTGTACCCGCGTCAGTTGACGACAACATCTTGGTATCCGAATGAGTTGCGCTTGAGAGTATTTGATGCACTTAAGTCTCTTTCGATATTTAAGACCATTCCTCCTCACTTCCAACGATATCCTACTCTTAGAAGATGTTGGCATTCCAACCTGTTTTTTTTTGCTATTCTTACCAATCTCTCTGATCTCTGTGCAGTAAATGCACGTGGACTTCCACTTTTTTGAGATTCAGACATGGTATTCCCTGCTCGTAACGCTATTGTTCGATAAGGAATTGAACCTTTAGCGGTGTCACCTTTCTAGTCTGAAAAACTTGACTTGATTAATTGATGTTTGATCATATACCTCTTGCATAACTTAACATTTTTTGCCCTCTTCTCTTTCTTTTAAAGCTCTTCTATCTTAGGTTCAATGATGCTCAATTTTTCATGTAATGAAGAACTTGATGTACTGGAAGGTTTTGCCGCAACCTCTGTTTGCAACTGAGTGATGGTCTGCTTTAATTCTGCAGTATCAGTTTGTGCTTTTTGTGCCATCTCTGCATCCTAAATCGCGATTTTGCGGTGGCCTACATATTGGGTTTAGAATGACGTCACTTTGCTTATTGTGTTTCTCGCATCAAACCCTTTGATTTCATATAAAGATATCATAGGGGTTACTATGTAAATTAAGGATCGCCATTTTGTAGCATCCGCCATATTGCCTTCAAAATGGCAGCAGTTAATTCATTTTGTATTGTCACGCAAAACAGACGTGTTTACAAAATTTTGCCTCAATTGGTTAAGGTTTGCTGATTCAAAATTCACTTTCAAGATTTGACCCACACATAACATACTGGTACATATAAACAGGTCAAATTAATTAAAAGTTTCTAAAAACTAGTATTTTACTATTTTATGAAAATACTTGCGGTTTGACCCGTTCTTATCGTATCATATCAGTACGCGATGATGTAACCAAAAATTTACGATCAGCTCCCCCTTACTGTAATGCAGAAGAAACCTAAGGTTTCACATAATATGGGAGTCGTTTGTTAAGAATGGCAAATCAGAAAACATACAGCTAAGTAGGTTTAAATCGTTTGATGAAGGAGCATTTTGGTGAAGATTGGCGAAACAGGGCATACCTTTTGTGGTACAAAAAATTATTAGACACTAACGAAGGAGAACACGTAGATATTTCGGAAAATAATGAAACCCAAGAAGATAGAGACAAGCAAAATGAATATTTTTTGTTCGCTCACAGTGTGTCATTTTGTTTGCAAACCACGATATATCCAATGTTTATTTGCTAATAACGTCCAGTTGTTTACTTTTTTTACAAAAAAAATATACGTCAATCATTTGGAAAACCCCATTAAATTGAAACAGCTTTCTCAAAATAACACAACTTTTTGAAATAAAAAAGTAGGGTGTTTTTTTCATCGCCTGAAAAAACTGTAAAAGTGGATATATCCTCATATTGTCTTCTCCTGATATAACTACTCTTTGGTTTTGACACATTCCGATATTTTATCAGGTTGTTGGTGGCTTCGAGCGTGAATCAGACAACGCAAGGTGACAGACTGAGACTCCGGCAAACCACTTTGATGCCCAACATCCCTGGTCTTCCCATGTTGCTAATGTTGATCTTTTGTCCCACAATGGAGGTAAAAGTGACTGAAGATGGAACACGGGTGGCATCTATTTTATGTGGTTTGGGATTCAACAAGTACACGAAGAAAGCACTGTATCCTGCTCATGATCTTTGTTTGATATTGGATACCGAACTTACTGCGGACGAGATTACAGCGGTAAGTAGAAATTCCTGTTTTATATTGTGGGATGCGCGGGATACGATCATATGTAGGCCTAGTAACCGAATCTGAAATTTCCGCTAAGCAATGCCGCACAACGAGTCACAGGAATGCGACCTGGCCACGTTTATTTTTAGAAGATTAAACGTATTCCTAAACGATAGCCGTGACTCGTGAAAGTACATCAATGTGTTGTACTTCCTTAGATGTATTGCAATTGTGCTTACTTGACGTATTGGATTGCTAAACCGCGGAAATTGTACCTTCCGTGTCTATTCGTTACCTGTAACAGGTACTTAAATACTCGTATACGTTCCTGATTGTGCTTCCTGTAACCACATGTGATTACTACATTACATACCCCTAGATAACCATAACAAGAGCTTAACACCCTAGTACTAGTGGGTTTTCCAACAGGGATTTAACAAATTTGAACTTTCAGTGTGAACGCACCTTTAAATCAATTACCGAACTGTCAATGTCAAAACATTCGGTAAAGAAAACATTTTCATCATGCTGGAGTACACGAACGAACAAAATTTACAAATAATTAAAATTTACTACCGAAATTCCGAGTCGGTGACTGCAACTTTAAGAGCGTTAACGCCAATTTTTGGTCGTAATTCTCGTCCCAGTAGACAAGCAACTCATAGTCTAGTAAAAAATTTGATCGCTGCTGGTTCCCGTGCAAGTCGAACAATATTGCTGCCGTTCAAGCTTCCGTCGCAAACAGAACACGTCGATCCAACGGCGTTCTCAAGAATTGGGCATCGCTCAGACCACACTAATCGAGTTTTGCGAAGAGTTTTTAGCCTGCACCCTTATAAGTTCAAGTTAACTCAAGAATTTAAGCCGTTCGATCATATGAACCGACGTACCTTCTCGAATTGGGATCTAGAAATGTTGCAACAAAATGACCAATTTCATTGCAAATCATCTTCAGTAATGAGGCGCATTTTTGGCTAAACGGCTTCGTCAACAAACAGAATATGCGTTATTGGTCAAGTGAAAACCATCATGTGCTTCAAGAAACACCACTTTATCGACAAAAAATAACTGTATGGTGTGGATGTCATGCCGGTGGTGTCATTGGGCCGTTTTTTTCGTTGATGAAAATGACCGTCACGTTACAGTCAACGGAGATCGCTACAGATACATGTTGCAGCGTTATTTTTTTGCCAATGGGATGGGCTAGACATTAATGATACGTGGTTTCAACAAGACGGTGCTACAAGCCACACACTGGGTGAAACAATCGACTTGTTGGAATCAAAATTCGGTGAACGTGTTATATCTAGAAATGTGTGATTTAACACCTCTAGATTTTTTTTTTGTGGGGCAACATTAAATCGTTGGTCTATGGCAACAAGCCGGCGTCGTTAGAGGAGCTCAGAGCCAATATTGAACGAGAGATAGCGGCCGTTTCTGTCGAAGTGTGTGGCCGAGTCATTGAAAGTTGGGTTCAACGAATCGATCGCTGCGAACGTGGTGGACGTATAAACGAGGTCGAATTGAATACACAAATGTTTTGAATATACTTCAATCCAATAATAAAATGTTTCGAGATATCTCTAATGGTTAGCCTTTTGTTTAAAAAGAAAGTTGTCAAGTCCTTAATGAAATGACAATTTCACAAAGTATTTCATTACGTGTTGTCTTAACGGTATTAAGGTATTTTCAACAGTTTGGAGTATTCTTAATATTTCTCGTCCGTCAGAGATGACTAAACAACAATATCAATGAGAAAAATCCATTTTTACGATTTTTAACAATCGTAACTTGTTAACAAACAATAGCACAGTTCTGCAAATTGTATAACAAGGATGCTGGCGGACGAAAGCATGAATTTAAGTGAGATTTTCAAAAAAGTTGTTTGAAATATCGAGTTTATACATAAAAAAGTGAGTCAATTTTCCGAGAAATTGAATAACATAATGCCAAGTTTAAACGAATAATATAAATAAGAGTGTGAAAAAAAATCTTATGAAGTCATTGTTTTATGTTCTATTAACGTTAGCAAAAATATGTATATGTATGGCTATTTTAAGATCAGCTGCATATGATGCATTAAAAGAAACACGTATTCTTACCCAATTGATAAGTTGAAATTTGATATAGTTATTATAGATGAGTATTTTTTACACAATAGTTGACTAACTTAATGATCAAACCCTAAGAATAGAGTACTTTTCATTATTTTCTTCATCATCAGTACTTTCAGTAGGACAGGAGAGACATTCCTATATCGCAACATTGTCATATGGGTGAGGATGAAAGATTATTACATGGGCCTGTTTGACTGACATGATTAATTCAACCTTTTTTTGTTATACATATCATATTCAAATATAATTACAATTTTATATTGTCACCCTCAAAGTAACTTACTTCTAAAGCCACACAGTGCTCGAGACGGTTATTCCACTCCTCATAGCAGTGCTAGAACTCCGATACTGGAGTAGCCTTCAGCTGGTCCGTTTCAGCCGTTTGAATGTTTTCGACTACCTCAAAATGAGTTTCCTTGGGGTGATTTTTCAACTTCGGGAAGGGAAAAGGTCACAGTGACTCAAGTCAGGCGAATAAGGAGGCTGAGGAGCCACCGGAATGTTTTTACTGACCAAAAACTCGTTTAGTGACATTGTTGTACGACAAGGAGCATTATCGTGATGCAACACCAGGCTGTTCTTGATTTGATAAACGGTAGTGTGAGTAAAATTTAACTTCTCCTTGATCACTCTGTCTGTCAACCGACAACCTGAACGCACAAGATCCCTGATTCTGTCGATATTTTCATCGGTTCTTAAAGATGAAGATCTTCCGCTTCGTTGCTCATCTTCAATCGACTCTTTCCCTTCTGAAAATGCCTTAAACCACCAACAAATCTGGGCTCTTGACAAAACACTATATTGGTAGGCCTGCTGAAGTTGAGCAAGAGTTTCTGTTGCATTGTGCCCAAATCTGAGGCAAAACCTGTTGCTCGAAATTGATGTCATTTATTTTTAGACCACAATAGGGAAAACTGTTTCACAAAAAAATCGCTACGGGCAATAAAATGAGAAAATTTCTCGAGCGAGTTAAGACTTGGTACTGAAGGTGGATCACATTTCCAGTGTTGCCAGATCGAACGCTACGTTACCAGTCTCATATCTTAATTTACAGACCTCGTAGCTATTTCTGCTGGGCACCTTGTCTTAGATATATGAATTGAATTTTCTTCATTTGTCTCAATAGTTGATCTCCATATTGGTGCCTTAACTATAAATACAATCGAGTTAACGCCATTTATTAATTTGGTCTGATTACAGGTGAACGTTATCCGATTTTACTTGAACCAAGGCGTCAATCTCATGCAAGAGATATCTAACAATATGTCAAGTCAAGAAGAGATGATTGCTACACAACAAGCACTGAAAAGAAATATACTGGAGTAAGTATATATTTCAGCAAGTTTGACTAAGACTGTCTACCAAATCATTTTGGAAAAATGATCAGAATATGTATATATGTCGTCAATGTTGATTTAGTGCTGGTTGATTGAGGTATTTTCTTATTTTTTTCTAGTTTAATATATGCTGATAGAGTGGTGATACCACGAAAAACTGTCAAGCACGCAAACGTGTGGGGTCAAACTGACAATAAGTTGATGGTGCTCAAGCCAAATGTGGCGGATGAAGTCGAGGACATCTGGCCATTGCATTGGTTCGTCAAATTGAAACAGTCCGACAAATTCAGCGAGGACGTTCCAACGAATTTGGACGACATGGATCAGATGGCTAGAAAGTAGGTATTGTGCGCATGGTGATTAGGGGAATGACAATAAATTTCATCGATGAATTTTTTTCCTAAACATGATGCTTTCGTCTGTCCGACCAAAATACAGCCAACCATGGACAGCTGCTTCGTGAAGTCTTAGCTACTCATCATCATGGTCTATTGGACAACAAACAAAAGCATTGCGTTTAATGTCAATGTCATGGTTATATTCGGATGTAGAATTTCCTCTCCAATTCGAGTGTAAAAAGGGGAGAGATTACTTGCCCTTGAAGGTCGTGGTAACCATCATTTTGCACCTCAAAACCCCACAACTTGCGTTTGAAACTATTTTCAAGGATGCGTAGGGTTCCGAAATGTTAGGTAGGGAGATTAAAATGGGACACCCTGTATAATTTGTATTTTCAAGAGTGAAGTGATATAAAGCTTGAAACTCTCGACAAAAGACGATTTTAATTATTTATTAATATGACGAGCTAGCTGAACTCGTTATGCTGATATATTTTTCATTTTCAATGAATCCCAGAAAGGTTTGAATATTGAATTTTAAGTGTATTGCAAATTACTAGAATTTTTTTTTGTTTTCAGTATGATTCCTATGCAGCAAATTGAATGCTGCCTGTGCAGAGAAGTTTCCTTCACAATATATGAGCTTAGATTACATCTGGCTTCAGAGACGCACCAGCAGAGGAAAGCAGAGTATATGGCATCACTAGAATATGATGCTAAAGATTTTGACTGATTTTTTTTCTATATTATTAATTTAAACTGAATTCCAAGAATGCTAATAATTGTTAGTCTGGAAAATATCCAGTTAAGAATTTAAAAGTTCAATCAGTAATAATAGCATGGATATCTTTTTATTTTTCAAAGTATTTTTCTTTTTATTCTGTGATTTATATTTGGAGAATGGTTACCTTCATTTCTTCTATGAAAATATTTTTTTACTGTTATGTAGAATGCTAAGTATTATGTTATCATTTTAGTTGTGTTACAAGATTCTGTTTTGTGTACCAGTATGAGAAATAAAGTGGTAATGTTATTATAAATGTTTTATTTATAATTCATTATAACATACAAATGCTTAACATTAAACTTCCACATCTTCCCCAGTTAGTCCAGCTAAAACAAAAAAATTGATGTTAATTGCAAAAACCAAATTTAGAGAAAACTATCATAGTTACATCAAAATAATTAGAAAACCATAGATGGCACTCTAGAAGTAAATTTACAGGTCTTTTTTCCTTTTTGAGGAAATACAAAAAAAATATGATATAGAAAATTAGATTTTGGTTATTACCTTATTTTACAAACACCCTCATAAGAATGCTTTATTTTCTCATTAAAATGTGAGAGATGGCATGATTTAAGTTGCACTCATTTTACAAGTAAACAGAGGCAGTCCACACAGACAATCAAATCACTGAAGGTCTGGCTCACCTTAGAATTCACAGTTGAGTTAACCTTATCAGAACATGACCAATTTCTAATAATTTTTAACTACATGTACTGTAGAATTGAATTTTTTATATCTCTTGCTGAGATCTATGACTTTAATAAGAATTTGGTTCATTTTGCTGTAATGCAGTTGAGAGAAGGTAATCTCACATTTAAACCAAATTTTCGGAAACGAAAACAAGTAGTCCAAACTAAAGTGAGGTGAGCTTGTCTGAGATAGTGGTTCAAATGAACTTAACTCTAGTATCAAAAAAGAATTGTCAGTTTGAAATCAAATTTAATAATATAATGAATCGGGTGTAAATCTAGCAAAAATTTGTTTGTAGCCTTTTGTTTGTTATATGCAAATGAACTTTTTTTTTGTATGCAAACGAACTTTTCTAAATAAAAGAGCTTTTAGTACAAAATGAATCTGTAGTGTACAAAAAATAAAAACAAAATATAGCTGTGTCCACCTGAGATTGACAGATACGTCTGAATTATGTGTCCTTTGCCGATATGGAGAATTTTGATATATTACCAGATAACCAGCTGCCATTGTATGGTGATGGATACTCGTGAAATAGGGTATAGATATCACTGATGAAATTAATAGGTTAAAAGAGCAATTCATAGTTAAACAAGTTTTGAATTGCAAGCATATTCTTTTTTGCTACTAAATCAATTTGTGTAATATTGATGGTTATCCCTAAAATATAAAGCTATGTGATAATTTACCGGTTTTGACAATAACTTCTGCATTCAAAAATATATACAGGGTGACTTTGAAGTTGAGTCATTAATTTTCAGATAATGATTGTAGAAGGAATATAAACCAAAATATGTGTGTAAAAATTAAAAAAAAATTAAAAAAATTTTTTACCTTGCTTTATAAACTATCCTCCCGACAAGTATTTCAGTGCGGACCTGTATTTGATCGTGAGGTCCCCTGTGAGGTCTTAAGTCACCTGATTCACGAGCCCGTTGTACTACATTAACAAAGGCACGAGGGGTTGGTTGCACTCGATTGGGAAACCGATCCGCATAAACATGTGCCATTTTTTATTTCGTTTGAGCCACGCAACAGATACAACTATTCACTGACACTGACTGTATACAAATGAATGAAATAATTCGTTCCAAATTCTTTCGCTTTTTTGTTTCCGATGCGATGAACCGATACGACGGATTATATCCGTTGTCGCCAAACACGAGCACATTGAGACAGGGCGGTACTCAAACTTCCAAAGGGCTATAACTTTGTTACTTTAATTTTACCAGAAAAATGGTAAAGGAAAAAAACATTTCTTTTGATCAGATCTACTCACTGTTAAAATAAATGACTCAACTTCGAAGTCACCCTGTATATATATGAGGGAGCACCCATGAAAACTGTGATTTATAACTTATCAAACAGAAGTTATTCTCAAAACTCAGGTTATCCCATAGCTATTCAACTTTTAGAGCACATGCAGTTTAGCAGCAAAAGAGAAGTGTATGCTTGCAATTCAAAATTTTTTTTAATCTCAATTTGCTCATTTGACCATTCAGCATTGTCAGTTGTATCTATACCCTATTTCATGAGTATCCATCACAGTAGAATGACAACTGATTTCCTAGAAATAAAGGGTGATCCATCTATTGGTTAATTTTTGAACTAAGCCTTGTCTCATCATTGGCAACACTTATATTAGTTCCGTTCTGACAGGAATTTAATATAGAGTCTGTGGTGAACGAATATGGATCGATATACGCTTGAACAACGTTGGGAAACGCTTGGAGAAGGACCCCCATTTTTACCAAAAAATAAATTTTTTGGATGAGGGCTATTTTCGTCTTGGTGGCTACGTCAATAAGAAAAATTGCCGTATTTGGTGCTCTGAACAGCCAAATAAAATTACGTAAAAGCTAATGCATGCGCCACGCGTGACTGATGTGGTTTGGTGGCATTATTGGCCCTTTTTTTCAAAGATGACGAAGGATGTGCTGTTACTGACCTTTTCTTTCCCGAAACCGATAAAAAGACTTGGATGGCATGTGGTTCCATCAAGATGGCCTGCCACGCAGCCGCGAAACAATCGCTCTTCTTCAAGAACAGTTCAAAAATCGCGTAATCAGCCGTTTTGGTGATGTGACTTGGCCACCGCGAAGCTGTGTTGTAACTCTGTTGAATCATCTTTGGTGGGGAAGCATAAAAGATAAATGCTATGCGAATGCCCCAGCGACGATTGAGCACTTGATGACCAACATTCATGCAGCCATTGGTGAGATAATGCCAAAGACTTTGGAACATGTACTGAAAAATTGGGTCGACAGGATCGGCTCAGCCGTGGCGCGCATATGAATGAGATTGTGTTTCATTTTCATTTCACCTCAAATAAAAAAATCTGTTTGGAAAACGACGAAACCATCGATTTAAAAATTAACCATCAGATGGATCACCCTTATCTCAAAATTCCCCATATCGGCATAGGATAGATAATTCTGACAGATACATCAACGCCAGGTAGACAGAGCCTAATTTTGTTTTTTGTATGCTACAGATTCATTTTGTACTTGCTAACAGCTCTTTTATTTTGACAAGTTCATTTGCATACAAAAAACAACCTGCCACAAACAAGTTTTACTAGGTTTATACCTGATCCCTTATTGCCAACATTGCAAACTAACACAAAAATGTCAATTGCTGATCAGCTGTTCTCCTCAGTAAATATCAAAGCCTGATGGATACTTGTGAAATAGGGTATATACATACTCCCTTAATCAAGGATAGAACCCAAGGCAGATCCAGCAAGGTGCATATTATTAGCTGTGTGTAATTCAAAATGAACAGATCTATATGTGTGATGATTGAACAACTCTTTTGAAGCGTGTCTGCAGTATCCAGCAACTGAACTACGAACTGATAACAGACACAATCTAGGGAACCCTCTTGTTTTGAGATGTCTCATTAAATTATATGTTGAAATGATGAGATATGAGAGCAAAAATTGCATTTTGATTCAGAATTCGGTAATTCCTCAAAACCAAACCACATATCCCTTCTTTTTTCAGAAGAATGTATACATTCGTTACATTCAATTTCAACCAAAAATATTGATATAAATACAATAACATCTGCAACCTTAACCATTCATTTCATTGTATGATGTTTATCCTCTGACTCAGTGAGTCATTACTATAGGCAACACAATAATCTCGTCAGCTTCGAGGCCGGTCGGTAATTCTATCGTTCAAATGAACGACTCACTAAAGAGAGATGAACGAAATGAGCGAGCTCAGAGAAAAGAGTTTTATGTCTCAGGCCTACATATTGTGTTGTTCAGAAAAGGACCAATTAGGTGTATGAAGGCAACACCTTATTGGTTTTGCTATAAGTTACCTTAAATTAATGTTTGCATAAAGCCAGTTTGCAGTTTTTATATTATCATGCCTTGTACTTCTAAGTTTTACAGCTTCAGCTCTACTCTTGTTTTGAGATTAATAATAATCATGTTGGTTTGTAGTCTGTGTAAACTGAGAAAAACAACTTTTGTCCACGCTGTAGGGTACTGTACTTTCTCAGCATATCAACGTCACTGTAAAGAGACTCAACAAAGCACAGCTACAACATAAATCGTTGTATGGCCATATGAAACATACCTTTTTGAATCCAATATCAGCTGCGTACTCCCTGAAACACTGGCGGCAGATGTTCAGACCATATTTGCGGATCAAACCGTGTCTGTTGGAACACGCACGGCTGGAATGAGAAATTTCAACTCAAAACGGCGAACCATGCTATATTTTGAGGTTATGTTTAAGAAATTTGAGAATTTTCACTTACCAGGACCTAGATCCTTGTCCGTATTTGCGAGGGTGAGAGTACCAGATGTTTTGGAAACCCATGTTTGTATTTTCAAATTTGTATCTGCTCCTTCAAGCGATTATTTAGATTTTTAAGATCTCGGCTTGCTTGCCTCGATTTTTCCACCATTAAAAAGACAGTTGACGTAAAACAAATATGACAAGTTGGCAGTTTGTCATCCTTCCAATGTTGTCAAATTGTGTAATACGTATACACGAGGGTACGGGAAAACATTCTGGACATCCGTCTACTACGAAAAGTTTCTTCCGAGAATTTGAATCATTGAGACGTTAGGTAATAATAGGAAAAATGCTCAAAAAAGTGTAGGTACTTTATAAAAATTTAATAAACCAACATAAACACAACAATCCAAATACCAAATTTACACTAAATGAAGTCTGTATCTAAAACCTATGAAAAACTCTTTTACTGTACTTTGGTCCGATAGCATTAATTCAACTTCATATCAACGAAGGTAAAACAAAAATGAACACACAAAACTGAATTTCTTGAACATTAAACTTTTTTATACAGTTACACCATTATCTGCTGAACATTTTTATTTCACAAGTTGGAATGTTAGAAAATAGTCGAACAACGTGGTTTTGAGCATCTCTGGATCCCATCTCAGACTGGGACCTATAAAGTTTGAACTTCTAAGTTGTTATATCTAAATACATGAGCTGTATATGCACCAGCACACCATATACATATTACGCCTTATATTATGGAATTTAAATGCTTATCTTTCAAAATCTGAACAATCCTGATAACTTGGAAAGTTATGCAAGATACAAATAGAAAGTGTGATCCACTAATGTAGAAAATGTAGAGATTCAATATGGGTGTTATAATTTGATGTTCTGCCCAAAGTCACTATGTTAAGAATACACAAAATATGGTTAAAATTACAAATAACTTTCATATATATTAGCACTTAAAGTGCTAAGCTTATCATTGATTGACAAGTTTTGGACCAGGAGGTATGGAAAAGAATTTTTTGTTAGCATCCCATTGATAATAGGTATAAGTTTGGCAAGAGGTTTGGACTCATTGAAAGGATTCTGGAACCCATCACCAATGGAATTATCTATTGTGGAGTCACCATTGTAGAATTCTGATAGTTTATCACCAAACAGAATGAAACTACGGTTCACACAATGGGTTGCTATTGATTTCACCTCATCACTCTCTAGTAGGTCAGCTGTCTCAAGTAGCTAAAATAAAAATAAACATTTATAGTATTATAGTTATCTTGTTTTGAAACTGCTATTGCTTTGGAAATGGCATTGCTGAAATTTAAAACCTACCAGTTTTTCATGGGTGTCACTCGTACTTTCAACATCACTGATTATGTAACTTTTAAATTTTTCTATGGGACTTTCATCATGAGATGCTAAGGATGTCTGCAAACTCCAGAATATTGCTTCTAAATCGCTCAACTTTAATCTCTTTGTCAATTCTACCCCTTGTAACAGTGTTTCCATCTGAAATGATTAACAAAAAAATCACTACCTTTGCTGTTAGATTCAGTTATTTTCTGTAAAAGGATAAATAAAACATTGGTTTGAAGAAAGCCAAAAGTACTATACCTCTTTTTCGGCAAGCCTTGCAATCTTAACTATACTATTATCAAGAAAGCTTTGACATAGAGACAGGTACTTCTCCTGAAGTTCTGTGGTCATAGAATTTGGATCCCTATACAAATATCCACCAATTATGCTAAATTGTATCTTCAAAGTGACCATCAACATAACTGTTGAATAGATTATAGTTGCTATTTTAGAGAACACTGAAATCTGAAAAAACATGTTTTGTTAAACTGCACTTTGTCTGTTATTTGTTACTAGGGGTAACAGATCTACTGACTTTTGAAGGTTAAAATTAATGGACTGATTCTTTTTTATTAATGTCACTATTATCTGTTATTCTGAATTAGGAGCTGATAAAACCAAATGGGTCTGAATCACCGACTATTGGTCTGAACGCATTTTCAAAAGAGACATGTCTTCAAAATCATTTTAAAAAGCTCTCATTATAGAGTCTAGGTTTGATCTTTACAACTCACGACTTGGAAATCTCAATTGGAACAAGGTTCTGAATTACCTTTAGCTTATTCCAAAGTTCGACTTTAGCCTCTGGATATTTCTTGATGTTCTCCACAATATCTTCTGTATCAAAATGTTTAGAGACAACTTCATACAGAGCCCCCGACAAACTCACTATTGTTTGATTGCATGTTCTTGCAATGCTCTCGAAATGGTTGAGTTTGCGATTTCGCTCAATAAATTCTGTTGTTTCTCTCTCTTGCCATTCTTTCAATCGCTGTTGAGCGTATTTAGTGAACAGTACCGAGCCCACAAGGAGGGTTCCTCCAACTATAAACTTGTTTTTGTGGCGACTGAAAAATCCACGTATCTTCGAAAAAGACATTATTAAGCTGGTTTGGAGTAAGTGATTATATGCATACTATTTCGCCTCTACTTCAATCGCTAACTACTATAAATAAACAGAAGCAATCAGATTCTCTCAAATCATGTTTTTTAATATGTAACCTGCAAAACAAACATCACAAAGACGAAACGTCAAATGTTACGCTAGGCTAGATTAGGGATGTTCGATACGATCCGATATTTAGAAGTATCGATACTTTTGCTTTCGATACCCGATATTTTGGATCAATATTTTTTATACGATACTTGGGTGTATCGATATATTTATACGAGTATCGTTATCTTTCGATCCGGCCTGTCAGACCGACGCCTCAGATTATTTTTCTTCTTTGTTTCCTTCCGCTGGTGCTACTCACTTCAAGCTAGCTTTAGACGGTGTCTTTTTTCGTGCAACTTGATCCATGCCTCGTAGCGCAACTATGACGAATGCGTCTCTGCATGCACTCTTCGAAGCGCACCAATCGTTTGCGTCAAAAGGCATAGAGACGCAGTGTTTCCCGCGACTTTTGGGAATTTGTTTGCGTTGCCTTTTGCCTCTTCGCATTTTTACATGAAAATGGAATGGAACAATGAGAAATCTATTGAATTTATCCTATAGAAATTTCACTTTGTGGCGATGTGAGGACCCCAATTACGAAAACAGGATTATACGAAATGATGCTGTTCAGGAATTGTGTACAAAATACAGTATAACACCAAAGCAAGTCTTGAACAAAATTAAGAGCTTGAGGTCATACGTCCATAAGGAACACACAAAAGTTTCTAAGAAAAAAAGTGGAAGCGCAACCTCCGAAGCATACAAAAGCAGTTGGTTCGCTTATACCTCCACGTTATTAATTTTGGATGGTGATACGCAACGCAGCGGCACAGAAACTGAACTTGCAGAATATGACAGCCAAGAGGGCACGAGTGAGAACGAGGGAAATAGGAAAATAGAGGTAAATTGTTTTTCAAATCCGAAATGCATTAACTTAAGTATTTATTTATTGTTTTTAATATGGCATTCTGAAATACAATCAACTGTAAATGTTTACTACATAGTTGGTTTTTCTATGAAATATGAATATTTTAGAACAGAGTGAACAGTTTATTACGGTATTATAATTCTGTATTTACTATTGCTGGTTTACAAATGTAAACTACTTGTTGGCAAGTGTTTCTTGCCATGAAATACTGCCTTCTTTTGATACAAAGTAGTTCATAAATTCCTCTCTGATTACCTTCGCATCATTTCCGGCTTTACGTGGAATTTTCCTAAAACTGATTATGCCTGTATCACAAGCGGTATCTCTTCTCCAAATACCTGGTGTTATTTCTCCTGTATCCACATTTTCGATATCGAATGTTCCTAGTGGAGAATATTTCTTTTTGGCAACAGCATTTCTTCTTAAAAAGTTATGCAAGTAAGTGCAAGTTAAAACTAGTATCTGGATTCACTGCTATCGGTTTTCTAAAAATTCGAAAAACTGCTGATAAAAGTCCGAAAGCATTTTCCACAATACGCCGGGCTCTAGATAGCCTATAATTGTATATTCTCCTTGGAGATCCTGCTGGTATATTAACCGGAAATGGTTTCATAATATTGGTTGTCAAAGGAAAGGCGTCATCTGCTACGATCACAGAAGGTACTTCTAAGTGCCTGCTCTTAGAAAGAGGTGTTGGTTTTGGTATATTTAATCCGTTATTAACCAAGCCTCTACAGAAAGAGGTAGTGTGGAAAACGCCTCCGTCTGACATGCTTCCCGTCAAGAGACCCTATGCAATGTGGAAAATTCCACTGGTTTTCAAAATCTTTAGCTATTTCAAGCCATTCATCTTCAGTTGAAGGAACCTAAAAAAAATGTGTTTTGTTATTATAATATTTTATTTAAAAACTTAATTTTTATAACTAGAAAACATTTTCAGATACTTGAACACGAAACTACTTCATCAAGTACAAGTCAACAGGGATTGGATTTTGCAACACCTTCATCAAAACTAAACGCCAAAAAAAAAATCGGCGCTGAAACCGAGTTTAAAATTAATAAAATTTTATTTGAAGCGGAAATGCAAAGTTTAAATAAGCAGTCAAGCTATCCCACTATAGTGCGTTCAATTGATACTCTGCAACCAGATAATAGCCGCCCCGGATCTTCCATTGCAAATTATAGTTATGAATGCTCAAACTCAACTACACCAGAAATGCTCAGCCCAAACTCAGAAAAGCTAAATAAGTGGCCAAACTGTCCTACTATGGTTCGTTCAAGTGACACTCAACTCGGTAATAGCTGCACTGGATCTTCAACTACTAATTCTAGGTGTGAACTGTCAAACATATTGAGCCTAATTCAGAAATGCTTCCAAACGATATTACTACGGCATCCAACCAGAATTCTGCGCTAGTACAACTACAAGTTATTCAACAACTGAATCCTGATATGGCACAATTTTTGAATCTTCATAAATAATCCTTTTTAAGTAATGTTTGTTATCTTGCTTAAAAAAAAGACTATTTAGATGTTAAAGTAGTTTGTATATTGGGTTTCTCGTATACAGTTATTTTTCTACTTTGGAAGTACATTAATCTTCTTACCTTAACATATCCTTTCAAAACTTGATTCAGGGCATTACACACTTCAGGTATAATTAGTAAAATAGTTGAGTCAGAAATTTTAAATGTATACATTAAACTCCTGTATGAATCTCCGGATGCTAAGTATCTCAGACAAACTGCCAGTCTTACTTTTTCGGGAATAGCTTCTCTCATATTTGTATTTTTTTTCTAATAATTGGCCCAACCATTGACAAAAGTTCTTAAAAATCAGTTGAAGACATCTTAGTAGAGTTTTGAAAGAACCAACCGCCATCTAACAGCATTTTTCTATAAAGGAATAGCTATGTTTTTTTTCAGCAATTCCCGTATCCAACACTTGCGTTTATTACGTTGTTTATTTCTCATTATTATGATAAGCGCAGCACACAAACCTACAAGTTAAATTATTCAACACGCACCGATACAAATTTAGGTTTAAATGATATGTTGCACGATATATTGCATACGCTGTTGCATGAAATGCCGATTGCGCTAACGCACAAAAAGAAGCACCGTCTAAAGCTAGCTTCACGACATCACATAATTTATTTTGGGTTCCAGTGTTGCCACATTAGTGGGTTTTCCCAACAATCAGGGAATTTTTACTTCAATGGGGATGTTTTTCTGGGAAAACGAATTTTACCGGGGAGGCATTTTATAATATAAAATTTTATTAATGACATTACATAATGTACTTGTTATATATTTATTTGTCTTTCGATTCGAAATAAATACTTTTACCTATTGGTGTATTTATTTAGCGACATACGAAAAATATGTCGCTGAAACAAATATTTTAAGATCCAGAATACTTAGCAAGTTGATAACCTATGGTAAAAAAAATAAATGGTATTTTTTGGGCATTTTTTTTTAAATCCAGTTGGATTCGGATAATTACACTCGCATGACACAGTGTTTTTAGATTGATTGATTATAGTTTAAAACAAAACATTATTGTGATAGTGATTCCTCCTGTAAGAAGTGATTTGTGGAGCTACTTTGTAAAACCGGGTTTAGGTAAGAAATGTAAATTATGCAACTGTGGTTTTTTACCTATTTGTATTAATGAACGTATTTAATAATCTAGCCATGCAGTTGAAATTAGAAAACATTATTTTGGGGGTTGTAGAAAAAACAACTTTGATTTTCAGCAGTGTAGGGTATCGAAAGGTTTCAATACTTGTAGTATCGATATTTTTATTCCGATATTTTACAATATCGATACTTCCTAAAATGATACGAATCGATCCATGGTATTGACACTTTTGGATCGGAGCATCCCTACGCTAGAGGTCGTGGCTAAAGGCAAAGGATAAGGAAGGATATAGAACATGAAAATATGAATCAGTGTATATGTTTTGTGGTATTAATCATCACATGATTGGAGCAGGACCGTAACCACAGTGTCTTGGAACCCCATGCAATTATTTTCTGAACCACTTACTTTATTTGTGTATTGTCTTCGATGCTGCACGCTGCATCAGTGTAACACAAGGAGGGGAATTACTAAACAGATGTTAAATGAGTTTTATATATTTGAGTTGAGAACATTACAGTTACATAATAAAGGTGAGAGTTAAATTTCACAATCAATATTTAACATACATTAACAGTAAATTAGTATTATTTAGCGCACAAGATTTAACTTTTCGTGAAACATAGCATGTTTTTTAAATTATTTTTTAATGTTCCAAGTACAAATCTCAAAAAATCAAATCCTTGCGCAATGTCGGATAGTTTTCGTAAAAACACTCAGAACTATCAATATGAACTATACTAGGATTAAAACAGTGATGAAACCATCTTGACGGATCATACAACGATACATAAATATATTTCCTCGTATATATTAATATTATACTAATAATAATTTTATACTTTCAAGATCACAGCAATCAATCACACTTATTTATGTCAATAACATTTTATATCTCATGAAGCTCGCTTAATTTGGCGATAAAAATTACTCCTAATATGTATATAATGCACATACAACATTGTTTCTTGCATTATAGCAATCATCAGTACGGTAATAGGTCTAGTTGTGTGGCGACCAACAAAATGAATGCATGGTCATGGTCTACCCAGTATGTTGTGTGTTTGTCTAACTTTCGTGGGTGGCAGTTGTCAGTATTGTTTTTGCGCACAACATCCCGAATTCTTCAATGGATCGTACACTCTTGTTTGCTTTCCTTTTGCTTGTCTAAACACAATTAAAACTATACTGTACTGATGATTGCTAAAAGGACCTGGAACACAGTTGTATGCAGCGGGTAATGGTTAGAGAGACGGAAAGCAAACATATTCAGTTCAGCATATTCATGCGATAGCGCCTTAATCTCTTCGATATTATAGGTTTGTGCAGCATTCATTTTTGTATTTATGACATTTTTGTCCGTTAGAAAGAAGAACGGAAAATCATGGAAGCATTCCATTTGATGGCATGAGGTAGATGTGAAGTACGACTGCAGCAATGACCGCATTCGGAAAACGGAAATGTTACGGCTCGGTAGCGAAATTTGTGAGTGGTGTAGTCACCGTTCTTGGCGGGTCAAAGTATAAGACTACCAGTATCCCTTTATATATCTCCATTTTTCTCATACATACACATGTAACCTACCCCTGTGTGTGAACGTTTTTTCGGTCAGCTGAAAGACATGTTTTTCAGTTGTGTGTCTACGTCTCGAAAACTTTACGTTACGTATGGGTGCCCTTCAACCATATTTGTCAGAGTGACAGCTTTCTTGACAACATCGGCGTGCAATTTGAGTTGTCCTGTTATCAATCTTCAATATAAAAGTGTACAATGCCGGAAAATAGCAGAGTAGCAGATGCGCTGAAGATTAGTCTGCGCAGTGTTCGGCCCATCGTACGGAGACTCGATCTGTTTACTTATTTCATTTTTCGTTAATGACGCCAAAAAATGACTAACCATAAACAACACTGTTTCATGCTTATTAGCAATCATCAGTACAGTATAGGTCTAGTCTTGAAGAGAAACAAACAGAACACAAACAAGCAAATATGGTATACTAAAAACTCAGAATGCAGTGCATGAGTAGGAGTCACTGCCACCTATAAGTAGTTCACCAAAGCAAAACCTTTATAGGGTTGGTACTATTCAGCATATTAGATTGATAAATTGACATCTACTAATGGCAAGTGAGTGTTGCCAACTTACAGGTTAGGCTCTCTAAAGATGAGTTTTCTCTTTACCTAATCCATCAGGGAACATGCATTTAAGGTTTGTTTAAAATTGATTACATTTCAGTTCATATTTTTGCTGCAACACTCTTAAAATACCCATGATTTTATATTATGTTAAATAAGATAGAATTACAAAAATTTTGACCTCAAGATTAAGATATGATTTAATAAGAACATTTAACTACACTCAATATACTATACTTCTGTTGGACCATACCATCTAGGTGAATATTTTTTGAATAACAAAATTGTAGTGTTAATTAAGTTCATAACCATTCAGAATTGTTATTGAGTAATACAGCTAATGTATTTATGGATTGTAAATAATCCTGCAGCAAAACTTGTCAATGCAGTATGGATGGTCCCTCTCTAACTGCCTATGCACAGCATACAACAATCATACATCCATGTCATCGCTACGGTACAATCTCCTGAGATTGGTTTCCTTCAAGGTGCCTCCTAAAGGTTCAATACTCTCGAACACTACCCTCACTACTCCACCAGACATTTTGCTGCCATAGTGTCCTTTCCAGAATTGGGTATCCTGTCCCTCATGTTCAAATACTAGCACTGCTACGTTTTTTGGATACTCTTCTATAAGGATCTCCACCTTTTGCCACGCCCTACCTTGCCATTGATCAATAAGAACTTTTTTTGACATTTGAAAAAGAGGCCTCAGCCTGGTATCTTCGGATTGGAGTTCCTCATAGGTGTAGTTATAGTATTGGTCATTATAACCCCTGAAAGGTATGAAAAACGTTAATTTAATAAGATTATTGAAAAATGGAGTTGTAGTACAGAGCAGAGTTCGAAAATATCATGATATTTATATAAATATCTCATCACATGATTACAGAGTGGCAAACAATGAACTTTATGGTTTCAATTATTACTTAGCACTTAGAACCATATGACTTTCAAGAATATTCTGAAATGTAAAATCTCTATTCAGTCTCGATGTCACTATGACGTATATTTCACCTAACAGTGTGTAATACATTGTAATCATGCACTGTTATTTATACTAAAACCATTATTTTGAAATAAAGATTTATTATTATTATTACTAACGCGTTTGTTTTATAAGATCAGTTTTTTATTTTTTGGGATTCAGTAAAGTAGGCTTGTGATATAAAGCATTCCATGACAAAGCAATGAATCAAAATAATGGTATTTTATTTTCAAAGACCAAGGGTCACTCAATACTCATAATGTGATTACCAATTTTCCATATTTGACAAAATGGTTTTAATGTTTCTCAATTTTTAAACAAAAACCCATTTTATGAAATATGATACATTTATGAGATTATTGTCAAAATGGTTTTAGTATAAATACATACTTAAAATCAATGCCTGAAAATAGTTTACATGTAAAACTACTGCTTGATCCTGAAATATTGAAAAATCTCACCTGATGCCTAACTTATACACACATCCACAGTCAAACCTCCCTGCCATCCACTCACTGACATAGATGTGTGGCATGAATTTGTTCAGGATGTAACGTAACAACCGTTTTTCCTTTAGACTTATTTCTTGTACCTTGTTGCATTCATAGAAGGAAGTCACAAAACAGCTAGTTTTTCCATTGAAATCTGGTACATCTTTTGGTAAAGGATCTGAGCCTAAAATAATGTATAATACACATATATATTCTTTTTTTACTTTCATCAGTCTTTGATTACAAATGTTTTACAAATAAATATGACAATTCTTTCCATAAACTTGAACATGACATAGTTTTTGACAAACTAGATACTTATTTGCTTTCTTATTTATTTTTTTTTCAAACAAAATTTTAATAATAGTGCTGAACTAGAGGAATATTGAACTTCAAAAATAACAGCTAACACAATTAATTGGTTCATTATGGTGAATATTTATAAATTCATATTAGAGTGCATAAATTCATATTTCAATTATGACATGTAGAAGCTCTTACCTTTTGGTGGATTTTCAATTTGGAATTGATCCCCTTCATCGCTTATAATTTTCCAGTGTTTAAACTTCTCTTGCCCATTGCCATTTTTTAGCATGTTTTTAAAAGAATCTGTGGTATGGTAACAATAGTATATATACCAGGGCAGTTTTTTTCTAGGGCTACTGGGGTTTCTCTTTTTATGAACCTCCATCCATAAGGGCTCAGACTTTATCATGTTACACCATGTTTTACAGACTAATGTTAGCGCCAGTAAATTTTGAGGAGGTATATAGCTGAGTATGTTCAGCAGGATCTCTTCTGGCAAGTAGGTACCATTAAAACACAGCCCGTTCGTTTCATCATCCTAGTAATGGAAGTGAATATAATCTCTAATTATTGTATGGTATAAAATCAGAAAAATTACTCTTTCAAGTATATAAAAAAAATGTAAGGGTAGCAGAAGAGTACAGAAGAGTTGTAGGAGACAAAAAAAAATCACTTTTAAAAAAATACCATTAATTATGGTGGATCTGGGATCTCTGGGGCCTAAAGCATGTTGGTCTGTCCTGGGAAAATTTGGATAGTGTTGCCAGGTCTACCGATTTTAATGCAAAATCTACCTCAAATGTCTCAAATTCTTGATAAGTATTTATTTTTCTGATATAATTCAATGTAACACAAGTATATACTTTCCCATCTTTTTTCAATTTTGTATTTTTGTATTAGTGGGAATTTTTTTAATAGCAGCTCTTCAAAACAACCAAGTGAATATCAAGCAAGGTACACACAAGTCAGTCTCATCAATTTTCAATCACTGGAAAATAGTTTTTGTTTTTCGGTTTACCATCTACCAAAAAATTTCACACAAATCTACCAAAAATAGGTCAAGACTGAATCTGGGACTCTATAAACCTTGTTCTGGAGCTCCTTCTGAGTCCTGATGCTGATGCACAGTGTGCCAACATACAATCTCATATCTGCCCTTGATCATTAACCACTATAGCAAATTGAAGATATATCATGTCTCATTTTTAAGATCTCCTCATTCCCTATAAGCCTTCTGTGTACCACTTACACCAATAATTTGATAATTTGATTTTTAGTTAAAAGTTTCCCAGCAACATGTATCGCTAGGTGAGGGACATGTTCATTTTCCTGCATGAGTATACTTTCACTACAAAATTAATTTGCCTGTATTCTTTTCTAAATTCTAGATATCCTGTGTATACAGCTTACTGCTATACTGGGTCGGATATACAGCAGTTTTTCCAGAAAATAAAATATGTAACCTTAGATTGAGAAATGTGCTGGTACAGCAACCAGATTACTAGCATCAGTTGTAAAATATGAATAGCTCTATCTAAAAATGCAGCTCATTATAGCATTTTCACATACATTAGTATAGTCACATATATACAGGGTGGCCAAACACGTGACGTCATAAAAAAAAAATTAGATTCCCCACATCGAGAGGAACCCAAATCACCCCCATATATATGGTCCGATTTTGTTTAGTTTAGGAGTTATGATTTTTTTTCGGATTTTTCGAGAATTTTTGAGTTCTGTGTTTATTTTTACCATAACTTCGTTAATAATTGTGATAAATGCCTGCTTTTTTCACGATTATGTAGCTAAGACCTAAGGCTTAACTATCATATAATCATTCAAGTCATGTAACTAATACTACTTTTTAATTTTTTTCAAAATCTTCGAACATAACAAAAAAGTGAAAAAGTGCAACAACTTTGAACGTTTATAAAAAATTGAAAAAACATGTTCTTACTATTCGTAAGTATCTTAAAAACTTCCTTACGGTATCAGCTATTTACCTTAAAAATTTCATCAACCTAGCTTTACTACATGCTACCGTAATTGTGGCTCAAATAGAACCGAACCCAAAATTGGATAACCCTCTGCTCAATAGAAATTGTTAGTTTCGGAAAAAAAATTTGCAAAAACCACAAAAACACGTTTGATTTTTACTGAACAGCAGATTATTATTCATTTATGTTATTTACAAGAGGTTTTCAAAATGTCTGCCTCTAACAGAAATGCACAGTGTACACCTACGTATGAAATTTTGTTTTAAAGCTCTAAATGCTTGTGTGTTGTTTTTCAACACATGTGTCGCTTCTTGAATTTTGTTCCTCAATGAATTTTCATTTGCACATTCTTGGGCGAATGTTATGTCTTTAAAATATCCCCAAACAAAAAAATCAATGGGGTTGAGGTCAGGGGAGCGTGGAGGCCATCGTATCGGTCCGTTTCGTCCGATCCATCTGTCTGGGAACCTTTCGTTTAAGTAGTTTCGCACGATCGTTGCGTTGTGGCATGGTGCACCATCATTCTGGAACACCATGTTCCGTCTGGCTTCCAGGCTTGAATCTTCCAGCAATAATGGTAGGCTATTTTCAAGGAAGCTTTTGTAGGCTACCGAATCCAACCTTGACGGCAGTTCAAATGGACCGATAAACGTCATCACCACCGACCAGCCACGTCATCTACGGCACAGGACACGTCAGCCGTTCTGGTATAAATAACCCCGAAAGGCTAAGTCACCTGCAGACGAAATAAGAGGCCATATCAGCCGAAACCTCGTGCTCTAAAAAATTGGATATTCCGGGACTCTGCTTTGCATACTGATTTGGACTTTGTTTGCTAAGAAGTTTGTGATGCATTATACGTTGCGTGAATATGCAGAAATGCATTATTATTATGGCGTTGCTCAAGGCAACGGCGCTTTAGCAGCTCAGCTGTACCGGGAACAACTTATACGCCGAAGCGGACCACAACCTGAGCATTACCCAGACCACCGTGTTTTTATTAACACACATAACACTTTCATGGCAGGCCGCATTCCAGGACGAGGAAGCAATGAAGGATATCCTACAGCTGATCCGGATCGTAGAGAAGTAGTACTTGAAGAAATTAGCCGGAATCCCTCAACGAGTACGAGATCTATGGCACAAAACCTTAGAATACCACGAACATCGATACAAAATATTCTTCATGAAGAAGGTTATCATGCCTATCATGTTCAAAGAGTTCAAGCGTTGATGCCTTCAGATTACCAGTTAAGAGTGGATTTCTGCGAGACAATGCTGCGAAGACAACGAGAGGATCCCGATTTTTTTGATAAAATTTTATGGACTGTCGAGTCACGTTTTGAAAGAACAGGGATATTCAATATCCATAATTTACATACTTGGGCTGTTGAAAACCCCCACCAGTCAAGGCCGTCGACATTTCAACACCGTTTTAGTGTGAACATGTGGTCAGGAATATTCAATATGGAATTTATCGGTCCATTTGAACTGCCGTCAAGGTTGGATTCGGTAGCCTACAAAAGCTTCCTTGAAAATAGCCTACCATTATTGCTGGAAGATTCAAGCCTGGAAGCCAGACGGAACATGGTGTTCCAGAATGATGGTGCACCATGCCACAACGCAACGATCGTGCGAAACTACTTAAACGAAAGGTTCCCAGACAGATGGATCGGACGAAACGGACCGATACGATGGCCTCCACGCTCCCCTGACCTCAACCCCATTGATTTTTTTGTTTGGGGATATTTTAAAGACATAACATTCGCCCAAGAATGTGCAAATGAAAATTCATTGAGGAACAAAATTCAAGAAGCGACACATGTGTTGAAAAACAACACACAAGCATTTAGAGATTTAAAACAAAATTTCATACGGTGGTGTACACTGTGCATTTCTGTTAGAGGCAGACATTTTGAAAACCTCTTGTAAATAACATAAATGAATAATAATCTGCTGTTCAGTAAAAATAAAACGTGTTTTTGTGGTTTTTGCAATTTTTTTTTCCGAAACTAACAATTTCTATTGAGCAGAGGGTTATCCAATTTTGGGTTCGGTTCTATTTGAGCCACAATTACGGTAGCATGTAGTAAAGCTAGGTTGATGAAATTTTTACGGTAAATAGCTGATACCATAAGGAAGTTTTTAAGATACTTACGAATAGTAAGAACATGTTTTTTCAATTTTTTATAAACGTTCAAAGTTGTTGCACTTTTTTACTTTTTTGTTATGTTCGAAGATTTTGAAAAAAATTAAAAAGTAGTATTAGTTACATGACTTGAATGATTATATGATAGTTAAGCCTTAGGTCTTAGCTACATAATCGTGAAAAAAGCAGGCATTTATCACAATTATTAACGAGGTTATGGTAAAAATAAACACAGAACTCAAAAATTCTCGAAAAATCCGAAAAAAAATCATAACTCCTAAACTAAACAAAATCGGACCATATATATGGGGGTGATTTGGGTTCCTCTCGATGTGGGGAATCTAATTTTTTTTTTATGACGTCACGTGTTTGGCCACCCTGTATATGAAAAAATTCAAAATGCTAAACATTCAAAGCCTGTTGCATTTTTAGCATATGGGCAGGGATTGGCTAAGTAATCCTGACCCCCCAATTTTCTCACAATATCAAAGTAGGGCCGGATTACTGCTCTGCCCTGGGGCCTGTTCAGTCAGGCTTCTGTGTACCCCAGCGGCCCCTACATTGCTTAAGATGGCCCTGCTTAGTATAATGTCCAGAGATTTGACTTTTTATTGAATGGTATGAGAAAACAGGGCATTTGTGGTACCAAAAAAGAAATGTTATAAATATTTAGATGCAACTTTGAAGCAATAGTTATATGCACATACCTCCGCTATTCCAAGGGGTTCCATGAAGTCGAATTTCTCGACAGGGGTGTAATCTTCGGAGTTACTCATTTTGGATGTACTTCTCAGTCTTTTATTTTTACTTTCGAATGATGAACTGCTAGCGTTATTATGGTTGTTACCCATAATAAAAACAAGATTCGCAACGTACTAAAAAAATTATCTTCTCACAATTCTCTTTAAAAACTGACTCATGCCATGTGTCATCTGCCATATGATATCAACAAATCCAAGATTAGAAGAAAATTCTCTTCGGATTCCTTTTCTCGATATGGAACGAGTCGGTCAATATAATTATAGATCAGTCGACAGTCACCACAATATTTTAATTTTTGATTTACTTTAATGAGCAGAACATTTCTTTATTTGAGGTAACAAGTGAACGAAACTTATTGGTATAATTAGGAAATTTGAGGCGCTATATTCGAATAATATCATATACAATTTTATAGGATTTTGAAGACTCTTTTATAATACGTCTTGCAATAAAACTGAGACTTCGACAAGTAAAATTTGTATTTTCGTTATTTCTAGCTACTAAAGAAAAAACTTGGTTACAGAATACTGTCATGAAAATTTAAGGTCAGATTTAGCAAATATAATTATCAAAAAAGCTTATGTGTTAAGATATTTAAGAGTATTGGTTCGAAAATTGCCCGTCTCCATGATGAGGTAATTTAAGAAACTTTGAAAAATTGGTCGCCGCTGACGGTTTTTGCAAAAAACGTTATCGTTTTTTGAAGCCATATGGACTATTTAGAGTGTTTCGTTAAGTTCATTAAAAAATGCAAGATGCTTATGATATTATTTTTTTGCCAGAATCAGTGGCGTACTGTTTTTTCGTTAAACATATACAGGTAGAAAATACATCGAAAAATGACACGAAAAGTCCGAACATATGTCTAAATTGTCCCCTTACCGTGTGATACAGGGTGTTAAAGTTATGATTTCGAAATAGAAAAAAAAAATGTTCGGGGTGAATTAAGAAATTTTGTACATATAGCAATAGCAGCATAGCCAATATATACAAATAATATTGTGTCTAAGAGTATTCCAGCGGGGTAGAAATTGGGAAGTCTTGACTCCTACAGAAAAGAGAAGTAAACATTATTTTCTACACCTCCTACTTTTTAAAAATATCCATTGCATTTTTGAATAGAGTATTCAATTTCACATGTTTTGTCACTCTACTCATCCTTTTGGAGAAAAATTGGTTTGAATATTTGAGATAAAACTCGTATAAAGACTTTATTTATTATTACATAAAATATATATTTTACATGTAGCTATCTGCAGGGTTGTTACGTAAAAAACCTATTTAATGACAAAAAAATCGATAAAACATCAACTCATGTGTGTCATGTGTGTTCATTCCGATCTTCTACAAAAGTGAGCAAGAAGTGAATGTCAGCTAATTCAAAGGAAAACCTACATAATGTCAAAAAAGCCTATATAATGTCATAAAAATCGATATAACGTCACTTTTACAAGTGAATATGGAGTAAATGATATGGCTAGTAACAAAGCGATAATTATGGCAATTAAGTCGCTGAAGGAAAGCAGTCCTATCTCAACATAAAGCTATTTGAACAAAATATTCATGTTTTGTCCTTATTGAGTCTCATCGGTGGCATATAACTTTACAACACCCAGTATCTTGACATTTTAGAACATACGTTTATATGAACTTTTTCTATTAGGTATTTGTGGATGTACTTCTTACCTAAAAATATTTCAGCGTTTTTATGAATCACCATGTATATGAACCTTGCAACACGAAAGCAACTGATGTCAGCTAAAAAACAATGTGACCTGTTGTTATTTCATTTGCATGCACCAAAACTCATCTCAATATTTCAATGTTTTCGAGAAATCCAAGGTAAATTGTTCCGGACCTATATTTAATTGAACTTTATCTTCATATCTTAAACTGTTGAATCTCCATTGAATTCGCTTGTTAACATCCTATAATTTTTATTTGTCTCGTTCAAGGCCGCAAACGATATTTGGGGCTGCTCATTTTTCAACCTCATTGGAACTTCTAGAATTTATCCTATTATCGCTCCTTAAATCCATTGTGTTCTATCTGGTCACGGCCAGCTTGACAAAAAAAGCATGGAAAATACTCAGAAATCCTCAGAAAGGCAATAGCACTTCTATTATATAAAAATATCGACATATATAGTCAATTATTTTTTGAAATTCAATATAGATGTTACAGTTATTTTTCAGACTTTCGTTGTCGAACTTAGATTTACGGCATAGTTGTTGTTTTCTCAGTTTTCAAATCGGTGTTGATCGTATGTAAAAATGTTGGAAATCTTTGGAAAAAGCTATATCTGTTAGATCGTAATCGTAATCGAATTTACTGGCAGCTCAGTTTTTTTTTTTGAAAAACGCTCAGACCCGTCGATTTTGTTTTCGAGGGGGACACAAGTTTGGCAAAAATTCACGTTAGCACGTGCAGCCCTCTAAGCGGGGGTGACACCACCCCCAATATCTTAAATGGAAAGGGGGGTCGAGTGATACCTTATTTTAAAGGTCTTTCAATTCCCTTTATAATGATATAAAACTAATGTACTTCAGTTCAGTAGTTTTGAAGAGTTAATGATTTAAAGCTTAAATAAAACTATAATACATCATCATTAGTGGAGATCAATAGTTTGGCAGCAAAGTAATTTAAAAATGAAGAATGAACTGACCCGTTAGGCAAGTAAATGTTGAAAATGGCCACCATGACTCTCCATGCAATAATAAAGATTTTGGTCAAAACATTGCCGTACATTTTGCAATATTTGAGGAGTAATTTGAAGGCACTCATTCACAATTCTTTGTCGCAGGTCTTTTAATGATGTTGGCTGAGTAGCATAGATTTTGCTTTTTAAATGACCCCACATAAAGATATCCAAAGGTGATAGATCTGGAGATCTGGCGATCTTGGGGGCCATTCAATGGCACCTCTTCTACCAATCCATCGATCTGGAAACGTCTAATCTAAATATTGTCGAACACGTAATGCGTAATGTGGTGGGGCACCATCCTGTTGGAACTTCAACCTATTCTCAATGTACCGCCGATCATTCTGATTTTCAATTATGGCTGTTAATGCAGGATCTATGGAGTCTTCCAGTAATTCCAAATACATTTCACCGGTCAAATTTCCAGGTAAGAAAAAAGGACCAACTAAATGATCGCCAAAAATACCATCCCAAACATTTAATTTTTGTGGCTGCTGTGTATGAACCTCATGATAAATTCTGGGATTAGAATCGGACCAATACCGGCAGTTATGATAATTTACTACGCCATTTAAGAAAAAGGAACATTCGTCGGAAAAGCAAGTGTTGAATAGAAAATGTTCATCGTTTATAATTCGTTCACTCATATCTTCACAAAATTGTAATCGCCGATCAAAATCGACTTCATTAAGTTCTTGTACCAGGTGAATTTTATACTGATGAAAACCATAGGCCTTTAGAATCCGTTGGACTACTTAACGTAGGATTTACATAAACTTGCCCTAAAACCCCCACTTCTATTGCTTCGTTCCTTATGAGATTTTCAACGTTGCGTTTTTTATTGGCGACTGACCCAGTTTCCCGAAATTTAGCTACAAGTTCTAGAACATATTTTCGATGCACGTTACTGTTCTCATGTCGCTCATTAAATATTTCTGCTGTTCTATTAGCGCACTGATTATTTCCGAAAAATATTTCGATAATTTCAAGTCTTTCTGCTGTGGAATATACCATGGTTAATTTATGTAATAAAGCGTTACAAGTTATTTTAGCAACAAAGTTTGGTCAAATCAATCGCAAACTATGTACTAAATTCGTATTTAAAATAAGTACGAGATATTTCCTTATATTTCTTCAAGAAATATCTTTATTGCCACAAAAAAAAAACGCTCCAATAGCTATTTTCAACAACAAAATGATAAACAAACCATGGGCGTAGTGAAGAAAAGCATTTACTTATTAAGTAAATCCTTTTTTTTCTTCTGAAAGCAGTACAAACTAATCTGATGTACCTATTAAAGTCTACTTTAAGCTTTAAATCAATAAATCTTCAGAACTACTAAACTGAAGTACATTAATTTTATATCATTATAAAGCGAATTGAAAGACCTTTAAAATAAAGTATCACTCGATCCCCCTTTCCTTTGAAGATTTTAGGGTTGGTGTCACCCCCGCCCAGGGGGCTGCACGTGTTAACGTGATTGTTTGCTAAACTTATGTCCCCCTCGAAAACAAAATCGACGGGTCTGAGCGTTTTTCCAAAAAAAAAACTGAGCTGCCAGTAAATGCGTCTGTTTCGTTTTCGATGCGCCACCCTGTATAGTCAAAGTCACGAAAGATGACTATTACGTCATACCTTAAATTGTACTGAAGTAATCAATGGACGTACGTCGATGATAAAATCATAATGTCAGGAACATAATGACAACAAATTTATATTATGATTTTGCGAAGTTAGGTTATTCCACTGATTATTTTTACTTTCATTTTATTTCATGGTTTTGAGTGATACCATAATAATAATTTTAGTGGGGAGTTTTTGTTTTGAAAAAACAGTTATGAGTAGAATAGATTGAGACAGGAATACCAAATACCAAGGTATTATTCGAAAACAACCTAACCTGCTTTAACATAACCTAACTATTCATCTTTCAAATATGATCGATCATGCAACATGAGAACATCGTCTATCTTTGTCGGATACATGCAAATTAGCAATACAGCAGGTTTAGACAATAAAACTATGTTTGTCTCTGTCTAACATATCTGAAACTTCATTAAAAATATTCACAAATCGCTGTCGTTTGTCTTTACTACACACTAAAATGATGGCGTAATCGTCATCTTTCGTTATTTCGACTTTAGCTAATATTTTAGTCAGATTTGTCACAAGTCACAATACTCGTATGTACAGGGTGAAAAGTTAGTAGTGGATCAACGGAAGTCAGGTGATAGAGGGCCTCAAAGCCTATCGAATGAACCCCTATATGTGTGGTCCGAAATTTTATAGTTCAGGAGATATTTGCAATTTTTTGAAATTTAGAAAAAACGGGATAATGAACTTTCAATCGGAATTACAACTAAAACTGTATCCATCGAAGAAACAAAGTAAAATCAAACATATACACCCGTATTGCACGTGATCAAGAACTTAACCGTAGGAGACGCTACAGGGCCGTATCAAGCTATTGTGACTGAT